TCAGTTTTGTGATCTGTATCTGACTTTTTGGATCATCCGCTTACATCTTCTTTTAAAGGTGACTCGATGCGTGCATTTACACCGCACATGCAAATTTGCAACAACCTGGCAAAGAATAAAGCAGGTGCTTTGATAATAAAATAGCTGTCTATTCTTCATTCCTGTATTTTAATCTGTTTGCAGGGTTGAATTTTTTCATACTGTTAAGGTCAGAATTATTAGCCCTCCTGAATTATTAGACTGCTTGTTTATTTTTCCCCAATTTCTGTTTAACAGAGAGAAAAAAAAATTTCAACACTTTTCTAAACATAATAGTTTTAATAACTCATTTCTAATAACTGATTTATTTTATCTTTGTCATAATGACAGTAGATAATATTAGACTAGATATTTTTCAAGACACTTCTATACAGCTTAAAGTGACATTTAAGGGCTTAACTAGGTTAATTAGGTTTACTAGGCAGGTTATGGTAATTTGGCAAGTTATTGTATAATGATGGTTTGTTCTGTAGATTATGTTTAAGAAAAAAAAGCTTAAAGGGGTAATCATTTTGTACCAAAAATGGTGTTTAAAAAATTTAAAACTGCTTTTATTCTAGCCGAAATAAAACAAATAAGACTTTCCCCATAAGAAAAAATATTAACAGACATACTGTGAAAATGTCCTTGCTCTGTTAAACATCATTTGGGAAATATTGAAAAAAGAGGGGGGAAAATGAAGGGGGCTTTGAATTCTGACTTCAACTGTATATAGCATCCTTAAACACTGTTATTTCTCTCTCTTAGACACTGCTGCCAATTTTTGGATAAGTTGATTTGTTATAGTCTATTAGAGAAAATTCACATTTAGCCATCTTCTTTTAAAGTAGAGAACTTTTTTGATTAGTAAGCATTTTAATGTCATGTCCATTGTTACTTTATGTATGAAATAGCTTTATATTGTTTACATGGCGGCATTGTGCCAAAGTCCCGTTAAGTTAAGTCATTTCACTCTGCGGCCTATCTATGAAACGCCTCTTTGGCAGTATGCTCCTGCATTCAGTTTGAATGGGGAAGCATCAAACTCTCCAAGACTACATGCCAAGCTTGCAATTTAATTTCATATTACGAATAACCAATAAAATTAAACACCTGTCTATTTAGGGTGCTTTCACATCTGTAGTTCGCCTCATTTGGTCCGGACCAAGGGCAATAAATAATACCTTGTTGCATTTTCTGCCGTCTTTGGGTCGTTTTCACACCACACTGCTGGTTTTGGTCCGAACCAGTTGAAACGAACCAAAATGCAGTCATCTGACAAAATCCACATCACTCATTGGCCAGATGTTGTTGAACATATTTTCTAAACTGCTTATTGATTGGTCAGATTTCACGTGCGGGAAAAAGCCAATGAACTCCCGCAAGTAAACAAACCGGCAGACACAAAATGACGTTTTTACATTGGAGGGACGACTGCACTGACTGATCGTATGCCTGCTTTAGACAAACTATACATTTCGAGAATGAAGTGCGGCTGCGGCTGGAAAACAATATTTTAATGCATTGCTCATCACTTCAGGAGGAGGCGTGTATTAATTTAGCTAAACTGCGACATGGTCATTTTGCGGAAATATTACCAACGATCCATTAGGTCATGTTTTCCCCTCTCTCTCTCTGTAGGTAAAGCGCTGTCAACAAATATTTTTCCTCCATATGCCATAATGCACAGCGCATCGGCCTACGGCAGCTGGATTAGTCCAAAAGGCGCAGTACTTTTTGCGGCTGGACCTGTTTTAGTTCGGATCATATTCTTACCATAAACGAACCGCTCCAGGGTTCGTTTGAAAGCGTACCGAGACCACCTCTTAAAGCAGGTCTCGGTACTCTTATTTGGTCCGCTTTTGGTGCGCACTTGAGTACGACTGCTGCATTCTCACCTGCCCAAACGAACCGCACCAAAAGGGAAAACGAACTCAAGTGCGATTCAATCGAACTAAATAAGGCAGGTGTGAAAGCACCCTTAGTTTCATTTCTAAATGTTTGTCTCACACAAAATCTGCAGAAACTCACATCTGGTCCAATCCCCTCCCCCGGAGAACTGTCATTCTATAGCGATTGCTGATTGGCTTATGTACTAGAAGGCAGGCTTTATTTGCCATATAGCGATCACTGATTGGCTCCTTTACTAGAAGGCGCGGCTTTATTCGCCATATTGACAGTTATACTTTTTCCTATTCAAAAATATACGAGTGACTGGTCTTGTGTATTCTTTAGTCTGTGTTTGTGCACACTATCTCTCCCTCGCTCCCTCTTGCTCTCGTTAACATGCTAAAAGGGATAGTTCATCCAAAAACGAAAATTCACTTTACAGGTGCTGCCCCCAACCTGTAACCCAGGGGTGTCAAAGTCAGTGCCTGGAGGGCCGCAGCCCTACACAGTTTAGTTCCTACCCTGCTTCAACAAAACTACCTGTAGGTGTCAAACAAGCCTAAAGGCCTCATTTAGTTTGTTTAGGTGTGTTTAATTAGGGTTGGAACTAAACTGCAGAGTTGTGGCCCTCCAGGCACTGGCTTGACATGTGTGCTCTAACCATAGACCTCCATTGTAGAAAAACAAATATACTATAGACGTCAATTGTTACAGGTTTTCAGCATTCTGCTGAGGAAAGAAACACTGGATTGGAATCACTTGAGGGAATAAATGTTCAATTTTGGTTCTTTTCAAATGCATTTAACCTGTGCATCCTGATTATATAAAAGTTTTTTTGGTCTATTTATGAGATTTAAGGTATGGGACTTAAATGCAGAACTATATTTCTAGATGTAACCGTCACAATTGATGTCATTCGCTACCATTTTTTTTAATGACGTGCGACTCACATTGCAAATCTGATCTACCTGATTACACTGCAGACACAAGGGCACGTATCCAATCCATAACGGATAAATATCCTCATATGAACAAGGCCTAAATCTGATCTGAGTAAATTGAAATCCATGATCAACATTAGATTACTTTTTTTTTTTTTTTTTTATCCTTTTTGCCTTTATTAGATAGGGCAGTATTTGAGAGAGGAAGCGAAGTTGGAGAGAGAGAGAGCAGGGTAGGGTAGGGAAATGTCCTCGAGCCAGGATTCGAACTCGGGATGCCCTGACATGCTATATGTTGGCACACTAACCACTAGGCTGTTGCGCCGATGAAATTGGGTTATTTGAATCATACAGTGTAAATACAGTCCTAGACCTCGTAAAGAGTTGAGTGCTATTGAGAAGTAAAGAGACTTTCAGCCAGAACAACCAAAATGCCACCTACCTTGCCTAGACATCACAGTTTTGTATAACTTAAGACAAAGTCCCCTTAAGGCAAGTTTTTTTCACTCGGCGCTCATCTTTAAAATGGCTCTCGGGCATTTAACTTGAATGGGGAAACATCAAATTCTCCAAAATTGCTCGCCAAGCTTACGATTTAATGTCACATTGGAAATCACCAATAAAATTAAACAACAACCGTCTCATAAGTTTCATTTCTAAACTTCCAAATTATACAAAATCTGCAGAAACTGGTCTGGTCTAAGCCCCTCCCCCAGAGTATCGTCAGTCTATAGCGATCACTGATTGGCTCCTGTATTAGGAGACGGGGCTTCATTCGCCATATTGACCATTACACTTTTCCCATTCAAAACTATACAAGTAATATGTCTTGTGTATTGTATAGTCTTTGCTTTAGATGTCATCTATCAACCCATTCTGTCCGTCTCTTTCTGTTTTCCAGAACCTTTGTTTTTCCAGATCCACTGTTATTTCAGAGGTAAGAGCTCTTAATGAACTGACGTGAGGTACCTCTGGATGTTGAAGACGCCTTATTGTTGATATGTTGTCTGCTGGTTCCTGAGGATCGCGAGAAGCTCACAGACTCTGACACTTCAGATCTGACAGAGTCTCGCGGTTTATCGGAGCGTCGAGGTCTTGAGGGTCGTTCGCTTCTGGAGGCACGAGACTTCTTTGATGGGGCTTTGGACACGGCTGTTATCTCAGACTTCGAGGAGAGCGCGGACACCGCTGACGTTTTGGAGTTTGTGGAATGTTCGGAGATGATGGAAATGTTTGTGCGAGAGGAACGCAAAGCATTGGCCTCCACAACAGGAACGCTGAGAGTCGGCACACTGAGGATGAAACATAAGAAAAAGTCGATGAAAAGCAATAGTTCATTCATTCATTTTCCTTAGGTTACTCCCTTATTTATTAGGGGTCGCCACAGTGGAATGAACCACCAACTATTCCAGCATATGTTTTACGCAGCGGATGCCCTTCCAGCTGCAACCCACTATAGGGAAACACACATACACTTTCATTCACACACTACGGCCAATTTAGTTTATTCAATTCACCTATACCGCATGTCTTTGAATTGCAGGGGAAACCGGAGCAGGCAGAGGAAACCACGCCAACACGGGGAGAACATGCGAACTCCACACAGAAATGCCAACTGGCCCAGCCGGGACTCGAACCAGCGACTTTCTTGCTGTGAGGCGACAGCTAATCACTGAGCTAACTTGTCACACCCAAACTTTGCAATATTCATTAATAATGTAATACATACAGTTGAAGTCAGAATTATTAGCCCCCCTGATATATTAGACTGCTTGTTTATTTTTCCCCCAATTTCTGTTTAACGGAGAGAGAAAAAAAATCAACACATTTTTAAAAATGATCGTTTTAATAACTAATTTCTAATAACTGGTTTATTTTGTCTTTGCCATGATGACTGTAAATAATATTTTACTAGATTTTTTCAAGACACTTCTATACAGCTTAAAGTGACATTTAAAGGTTTAAAGCTTAAAGGGGCGAATAATTTTGTCTCTAAAATGGTGTTTAAAAAATGTATAACTGCTTTTATTCTAGGCGAAATAAAAATAATAGAAAAATAAGACTTTCCCCAGAAGAAAAAATATTATCAGACATACTGTGAAAATTTCCTTGCTTTGTTAAACGTCATTTGGGAAATATTTAAAAAAGAAGAAAAAAATTTAAAGGGGGCTAATAACTTCAACTGTATATTATTATTATTAGTTAAACACTTACTGAATGTAGGTCTGAGATGAGAGTCTGGAGACTGAAACTAGAAAGAAAGCCCCTCCAGTGATCTGAACAGCACATCCCGACCATCCAAGAAACAACGGAACTCCCAATTCATATCTGAAAACATGAACACCCTTTGTTAAGATTACATTTTTTGTTTTGGAGTCTGGTACTGCTCTTGTCTTGCTTTTTCCCCTCACAAACCCTGACATCTCATGAAAAGATAGAATTGTATTGACAATATTGTATTGTACACTTTCAGAAATAAAGGTATGCGAGCTGTTCCTGTGGTATCTTTTCAAAAGGTACACATTTGTACTTAAAGGGTCCATATTGGTTCCTCAGAAGTATATATTAGTACCTACAAATTTTAAGAGGAACACTTTTGGACTTTTTAGGTACTAATATTTACTCTTGAGGTATTAATATGAACCTTTTAGGCAGAAATTTGTACCTTTTGAAAAAGTACCTTGATCCCAGTGACAGCTCGCATACCTTTATTTCCGAGAGTGTATAGTAAAACTTCATGTAGGACTTACTGCAAGCCAGCAATTGTAGGGTTGTAATACTCTGTATAAATACGCTCAGCATAAACAGCATAACCAGCGGACGCCAGCAAACCTGAGACAACAACACGGTCAGTCAAATACACACACACAAACACACTGAACTCTCTTAAAATAACATTGTGAAGACTTTTACCGCCTGATACGTGACAGATGCCTGCTGCACGCACAGATCGGTTCTTCTCATTGTCGTTTCCTCCGATGTAGGTGCACTCCATCCCTACAAGGCTGAGGATAATAGCGAGAACTCCGACACCCATGCCGGCCATCAGCAGAGCTCTCACGATCTGAAGATAACCTGGGCAGTCAAGATCCAGAGCACTTATTATTAGATAAACTTTAATATTATAATCTCTTTCTCTACATTCCTCAAACACCATCCGTCTATCTATCTATCTATCTATCTATCTATCTATCTATCTATCTATCTATCTATCTATCTATCTATCTATCTATCTATCTATCCATCTATCCATCTATCTATCTATCTATCTATCTGTCTGTCTGTCTGTCTGTCTGTCTGTCTGTCCGTCCGTCCGTCCGTCCGTCCGTCCGTCCGTCTGTCCTTCTATCTATCTATCTATCTATCTGTCTGTCTGTCTGTCTGTCTGTCTGTCTGTCTGTCTGTCTGTCTGTCCGTCCGTCCGTCCGTCCGTCCGTCCGTCCGTCTGTCTGTCTGTCCGTCCGTCTGTCCCTCTATCTATCTATCTATCTATCTATCTATCTATCTATCTATCTATCTATCTATCTATCTATCTATCTATCTATCTATCTATCTGTCTGTCTGTCTGTCTGTCTGTCTGTCTGTCTGTCTGTCTGTCTGTCTCTCTGTCTGTCTGTCTGTCTGTCTGTCTGTCTGTCTGTTGGTATATCTACTTTTTTGGGCTGCACAATATTGAGGTAAAAAAAACTGACTATATATGACCTATAAGAAAAATACTTTAAAATGATTTATTATTAGTCTAAATATTAATAAAAAAAAACTATAATGAAATGTTTTTATTCAGATAATTATTTAAATTTACAGGGAAAATTACTTGAACAATTTTCTTGTGGTATTTATACACTAAAAAGTGAGTAAAACTAGTTGACTTTTAAAAAGAAAGTGAGTAAACCTATTGCCTTAAATCTATTGAGCAAAAAAACTACATACTTAAAAATAAACGTAAAAGTTCCAACACAGCAGGCGCAGGATGTCAACATGACGTCCGATTGCTGCTTTAGGCCCTACTCCAATTTCGTGGGATATTGCATTTTGTTTGGAAATGAAAATCGGATTGATTGACCATTGTCAGAACGATGTCAATGTCCAACGTTGGACAGACGTTGCATTTTGGTTACTTTCCAACACAACCTAAAAATAACAAAATATCAGCATCTATTGATGTTATAGTTTGACGTTGTGTGGACATTACCACTATGACGTCTATCAGACGTCAGATTTTAGTTGCCATACCTAACGAATAAACGTCAGTGTTTGACAACAATATGACGTTGGATTAGGATGTTGGCTCTACATTGAATTTTAGTCACTTTCCAACACAAACTTAAATCAACAATATATCAATGTCATTCGTTATTGGACATCAAAATAAAATTGTACTTAGACACTGGTGACCCTAATCTAATAATAACGTCTTATAATGTTGTGTGTCTGCTGGGGAGTTACAACAGATTTACTGACTTTTCTAAGTAATGTGAATTTGTTGGATTTAAGGCAACCCCAATGTGTTTACTCACTTTTTAAAGTAAATTACATGCTTTTTACTGTATAGTTGCTATGGTAGTACAACAACTATGGAAATATATACAAACTGAACTGGTTAGAACTGGTTTTTGCCAGAAAGGCAACTAACACAACTGACAACTTCTTGAGAAGTGTATCTCTGAATATCAAATTTAATGCAAATTGCGGGATAAACATTATGAAATAATTCAGTGGCATCATAAAAAGGCATAAGGTCTATTTAAATGTATCTATTGTAAGTTTAACATGGATATTGTAAAATTTGCTTTGTAATGAGGCAAAAGACACATGTTTATAACAAGGCAAAAAAATGCATGAACATTTGAGTATGCATCCTGATCTCACGAGGAAACGTAACCATTTTTTCTGTTTTATCAGTTTAGTAGTTAAGGCCGCAGTCACACTGGAGTTTAAGCTTGCGAAATTCTGTTGTACAGCGCAGCAACAATGGGCGGGATTAAACAAGATGATTAGACATTATAAAAAGCATGCGATTGGTCCATGTTTTAAATTTCTGTCCAGAGAGGTCATGTTTTGATTCTTGATTGGTCTCATGCAGTCAAGTGATGCGATTTCGCAGGTCAGAGTTCACCAAGCTTGAACTTTGCAACGCAGTAAACTGCGAAACTTAACGCACAAACTTGCGTTTACAGTCTGACGCATTCGTGTGCGTATGAATGGAAGTCTATGGGGAGAAAAGTCCAGTGTGACCGCAGCTTATTTCGTACAAATTAACTGAGTTTAATTGTACAATTTTCAAAAAGAGGCGTGGAACCAAACCCCACCCCTAAATCCAACAATCATTGGGGGATAAGCAAACCATACTAAATAGTATAAATGAGGTGTACGATTTCATACAATAAGTCAAAAAGTTACAAATTGCCTTGAGATAGTGCTGGAATTTGTATATTTAAAGCACGTTTATGCATCGTGTCATATCACTCAGCTCTTTCTGTGATTTTTCTGGAGTGAAAAGTTGCCAATAACTTAAGTAACTTCTTTTGTGTTCTCTTCTTATGAGGGTAAAATGAATTTCAAGCTGCGTTTTCATGTATGTTTTTGACCATGTTTATACTAACAGGGTAACACCATATCACAAAGCTCAAATCAACACAGATCTCAGACCAGTAGAGCCTCTTTGGAATGGCTAAACAGGAGATTTGCATGACAGATGTGCAATCTGCAGCCACTTTGTGATGCTACAATGCTAATATGATGATATATTGAATTATTGAATATCAACATTGATGCAAGAGAGTTAGAGGTTGTAAAACAAACGCTAGTAATGTTTATACCTTTGACAGCCCACAGCACGGGGAAATCGTAGCATCTGGTTGTGGAAGCAGAGTCGGTGAAGCATTCTCTCCACAGACTGGACCAGTGCCAGCCCACCGATATGATGTTGCTCCCACCGACCCCTCCAATAGGAGCGACCTTCCAGGCTTCCATGGCCATTGAACAGGACACAAAGATCCATCCCGTCACCGACAACAGAAACCCCCAGACCTGCATTGTACGAATGTTCATCCTTACCCAGATTTCTTCTTCTCCCCTTTTTTTTCTTTTCAAAACTTTGCTACTTATCTAAAATATACTAAAGTTTCTTTCTCTTGCAGCATCAACATGTTGGTTCGTGGTCCATGAAGCGAGACTGCTCTGCCTGGGACCGGTCAGGAAACTCACCGATCGCTCGTGTGAATCTATGACTCTCCATATTCCCAGGGCCTTGTTTTTAAGTTTCGGTAAGTCCGATGACTGCTTACCTGGCTTTCAGCTCAGATTTCATACATAAACATCCCAGGGAGGATCACACTACATGCATGCTGGGCTGACTAATATGTCTAATTTAAAATTATCTTATTTATTTTTAAGCTAAAAGGGCCCTTGTGATGATGTACACTTTAAAAGAGTGCTTATTGTGGGAATTATATACTTTAAAGGGACCTATTATGCAAAAAATCACTTTTATAAGGGGTTTTAAACACAGTTGTGTGGCAACAATGTATGAATATAGCCAGCTTCTAATGGTAAATTTTTTACACTACAGACAATTTAGCCTACCCAATTCACCTGTACTTCATGTCTTTGGACTGTGGTGGAATCCGGATTCAAACTTTGCACATGCAAACTCCACACAGAAACGCCAACCGAGCCGAGGTTCGAACCAGCAACCCAGCAATCTACTTGTTGGGAGGCGACAGCACTACCTACTGCACCACTGCATCGCCCAGCCATTGGTCTGTTCATTGGAAGTGACATACTGATATTTCCTCTGGGTTGCAGCTGGAAGGCCATCCGCTATGTAAAACATATGCCAGAATAGTTGGTGGTTCATTCCGCTGTTGCGACCCCTAATAAATAAGTAGATTTCAGTACCAATTAAATTAATGGGACAGTTCCCTCAAACACGCCACAATTGGAGTCTATAAAAATAATTTAAAGGGCACCTATGGTAAAAAATCTACTTTTCAAGCTGTTTGGACAGATCTGTGTGTTGGTATAGTGTGTAGACCGTCATACTGGGGTGATATGAACACACCCAGTCCTTTTTTTTCAATTTAACTACAAAAAAAGGGTCGGCCAATTGGAGCTGTTTTCAAATCGATCGCACCATTACGTAGGTGTGCGATCCCCCACCCACCGAGTTGATTGACAGCTGCGCGCATTAACATGTTCCGGTAGTCATGTGTATATGTCAACAAGACCAGGCAGACATACGCAAAGCAACCGGGAATAAAAGGTCTGTTCTGTTCGCTAGGATCAGCAATCATCATCAAATGTGATTAAGAAGAGTAAGTTTCACATGTTTAAAGTATTTTAAAACAGAGTATGTGTGTAATTAATTACAGCGTTTTACTTCAGCTTTACTTCATCAGCACAGCCGCGTGTCAGAACAATTATAAAAGAAGACGCTTCAATCCCGGTTTGTGGAAGTCAAATCAGGTTTATTTTGTACATTAGCATAACAGATATCCACACAGTACTTGAGGTTAGCCTTAACTAAGCTAAGCGCACTCTGTCTGTCTGCCTGCCTGCGTGCGTGTCATCTGCGGTGTGTGTGTGTGTGTGCGCGTGCGTTAACTTTGTAACGATATTGTGTGTGACTCATCAATGCAACTTCACAATACTGATTAGTAAAGGTTAGTTCTTACTGTAGTATCTCACAAACGCTACGTGAGACCTTCTTCCTTTAAGTCTGTCTGTTGTCGGACGCAGCTGAGGGAGGAGGCATGTAGAAATAGTAGGCGGGAAAGACTCGTCTTAAAAGCGCAGTACGACAAAACCACCCCTTGCTGGAAATCAGTATAAAACAGCATCTTGTAAAAGGTATAATGAAAAATCTGATGGGTATTTTGATCTGAAACTTTATATACACATTGTAGAGACGCAAAAGACTTATATTAAATCTGAAAAAAGGGGTAACCTAGGTGCCCTTTAAATGCAAACTTTGAAATATTTATAAGGTCTAGGGTGTCACAGTGGAGCCGTGGGTAGCACAATTGCCTCACAGCAAGAAGGTTGCTGGTTCGAGCCTCGACTGGGTCAGTTGGCATTTCTGTGTTGAGTTTGCATGTTCTCCCCATGTTGGCGTGGGTTTCCTCTGGGTGCTCCAGTTTCCCCCACAGTCCAAAGACATGCGCTATAGGTGAATTGGGTAAGCTAAATTGTCCATAGTGTATTTGTGTGAATAAAAGTATATGGGTGCTTGCCAGTTATGGGTTGCAGCTGGAGGGGAATCTGCTGTGTAAAACATACGCTGGATAAGTTAGCGGTTCAGTCCACTGTGGCGACCCCTGATTAGTAAAGGCACTAAGCCGAAAAGAAAATGAATGAATGAATGATCAGGTCCAGTACAATGAAACAATGAGGAATACATTTATTACAGAATTTATTGATCATTTTAGTTAATAATCATAGAGCTTCCAGTAAGTTATCACTCCTTTTTATTTGAAATACTTGTCTATAATCTGTAGCAGTTTTCTTTTAATTGTCATGAAAGTAAACTGTAAGGAACATGACTAAGCACACATCTTTTCCCCAAGGGGTTTCATAAGTTCATAAAGAGCCTTTATTTTCCCAGAAAACAGCCTCAGGGGTCATAACATTATTAATTTTGTGAAAGTGTGTGTGTGTGAGTGTGCATGTGTGTTCAAAGGACTTACTTAACACAATGCTATTAGGTGTGTGTGTGTGTGTGTGTGTGTGTGTGTGTGTGTGTGTGTGTGTGTGTGTGTGTGTGTGTGTGTGTGTGTGTGCGTTTGATGTTGATCAGCTTTTGAAGGTCTTGCTTGTTCCATCTCCTGGACAAGGTGAGAGAGCTTCTGAGAAAAAGAAGATCAGTGCTTTATTCGCGGTTTTACTAAGGGTTTGACATGATGAAGCCAGGGCAGGAGTGTCTATTTACACCATTATTGGGAGAGCATCAGCTGTTGTTTAAATGATTCTTTTAAAAAAAAACAATCATTATGGTTCTTGCTTTTTAGTCTAAAGCTGGCTCATGATGCCCTCTGGTGGTCAGTTTTAGATTCTTGAAAGCCATTGGTCTGTTTGTTGGAAATGACCCTATAGAAATGACCGAAATATCCTCTGGGTTGTGGTTGGAAGGCATCCGCTGCGTTTAACATATGCTGGAATAGTTGGGGGTTCATTCCGCTGTGGTGACTCCTGATAAATTATGGACTAAGCTGAAGGAAAATGAATGAGTAGTGTTTTATGTACTGGAAAAAGTATTATTATTTTAAACCGACCAAAATTAGGGTTTAATGTATATGTAGCTAGTGTGCGTTATCTATAGTAAATTAATCAAATTATCATTCTGTTATTTTTATGTACTTATTTTTGTCTACTTTGGATATATTTATTTCACTATATCGCAGGGAAATGTGCTGTATGAAATAAAACAATGATAATAAAAAAGTTGATTACATTCAAAGTGTTATGAAAGCTCGTTCCTTTTTAACTGATAATTTAATAACTAATTTGGAGTTTACATCTGACAATGAGTGAAAAAAAGTCAGAATTACGAGTTTGTATCACACAATAGGGAGCATGCTAAATAGGACTTTGAATTTGCCAGTAACCAGGGTTAAGCGCTTCCGCCTGGCCCGGATTGGCTAATCGGGAGGACCGGGAGAATTCCCGGTGGGCCGGTCCGTTTTTTGGCCGCGAGGGCCGGTGTCCCTAGCTCCAGAATCTGTTGCTCTCAGCAGTCACACTTTTTAAATATAATTTATTTATTTACTTGACCACAGCCTTCTTATTTATTATTTTACCGCAGCTCTGCTCTTGTTATGATAATGATAATATAACTAGATAAGTCACCTTTTAACGTATAGCTGTTGTGGTACAGTGGTTAGCACGTTAGGTTAAGACGCGGTCACCCAGGGTTCGGTCCTCGTCTATGAAGGTTTTTTTTTTTATATTTTTATTGTTAAGACATATAATACTGTAAGGGTTGTTGAACATTTGAAGTTCCAAAACAGCTGTTTTCTAAAAATAAAAAAAAAAAAAAAGACATGATAGTGTAATTAGAAACTGAATTGGAAATACCTTATTTTAAGATAGTCAGTGGTGAACTGAGGTGGCCGGTCTAAGGCTTGAAACTCCAGGGCTGAAAAAGAGTCCCACTCCGGCCCTGGCTTCCGCTCAACTGTATGCCAATGCAAAAATTGGCATGTATAAAGTCTGTTTTCTTTACAAATCGGCGATCTCCACTAGCTGAGTGATATTCATTATAAAGTGGGTCTCAGATTGTACAAAAAGCACCGCATTAAATTAAATGTTTCCACGCCATGTCTTTATAATGAGAGCATTTATATACTTCAGTATATTCAATGGAGCTTCTGCGCTAGCCTGCCGATTCTTACGGTTGCGTGCGAGCAAACGGCTTTTTGTCTCGTTTTACGCTTGAGCAACTAAATGAATGCCTAAGTTTATTTAACTGAATGTATTTTAATTACATTACAACAACTAGGCTGTAAAAGGAACCGTATAAATTGGAAAAAATTCACAATAACAGGTCACCGGAAGTTTATTTGTATGGGAAAAACACTAGCCAGGCATATACCCTATTCTGAGATTAAAAAGTCGCAATGACCTTTTGTTTATTCATTTTGCGGGAACGGGCTTCCATAACATTAAACATTAATAAAACATCATTATACATTAATAAAACATTATTAGTTAATTTTCCTTCGGCTTAGTCCATTTTTTATCAATTGCAAATTGTCTGTAGTGAATGTGTGTGAATGAGTGTTTCCCAGTGATGGGTTGCAGCTGGAAGGGCATCCGCTGCATAAAACATATGCTGGATAAGTTGGCGGTTAATTTCGCTGTGGCGACCCCTGATTAATAAAGGGACCGAAAAGAAAGCGAATGAATGAATTTTGAAGAATGCTGAAAACCAACCACTGACTTACATAGTATGTTTTTCCTACCATGTAAGTTGATGGTTACAGTTTTTCAGCATTCTACAAAATATCCTCTTTTGTGTTTTACAACCACTTGAGGGAGAGTAAATAGGGATCCCTTCCCTTTAATAAAAACTCCCAAATTCTCAAGCAAAGTTCACAAATACATATTTTATTATGTCATAAAATACTTCAATAGCACTATATGTGAGGAGGAATGTGACGGGAGAAGTGGACTCTGGCAGACGCTCTGAAGACTGAGCTCCGCGTCTCCAATTTCCACTGATCAGGAGGTGAAGAGAGACTTCAGCTGCACAGGCCCATGCGAGTTTCCGACTCAATTTCCGAGCGGAGACAGTGTGTTCCTATGGTTGCTGGAGCGCAACAGTCCTCTCTCTCAGCAGTTCACCTTTCCTGGAGAGCTTTCTTTTGATAGCATTGACTAATGCTTTAAATTATTGTTTGTGGGTAAAACAAACAATCATATTCACACTGTAAAAGATGTCAGTTTTTCATATTTCGTGATTAACATTTTTATTTGATTATTTATTTTTATTGGAATATTTATGGTTTAAAATGGCTTTACAGTACCTTGATCTTTCTTTCAATAACTTTTAAACTTGTGAAGTTGTAAATTTTATCAATAGCCCCTTTCACACAGTGATACCGGTAAATATATAGAAAATTTCCGGAACGACTTTACCGGTATATTTAAAAAAGCGCTGTTCACACAGGCGAGGACGTTACGGAATTTTTCCGGAAAAGAGCATTCACACATCCATTCCAAAATACCGGTAAATTCTGACATCATTAACCAGAAATGAGCTCTAAACGGCTGCGCTTGTATTTGTAAACATTTGACTACATCACAAGCTCTGTGGATGGATCAGTATTGTGAACAACTTCGATGAAAACATATAGAGAAACACTTTCGCATGTCGAGATGTACATGATATTTGTGTGCAGGCGCTCACAGGCTGCTTCAAGGGCACACGCAAAGCTTGAAGGTAAACAAACAACGGCTTATCATAAGCATCTTATCAATAATTAATTACACGGTTGGCATTAAGATAAACATATAAACGTTAACTGACTAATTTCTAGCAGCTAAATATGTCTGGTAAAATATTTAAAGGCTTTTATTCTCATAAACCGCGCGGACGTAAATGCGTTTGACTGTTCTGATTGGCTAAAGCAGACGTCTCACGTCAGCACGTTCTAGACGTGCACGCGCTCTTTCCGGCAATCTTCTTTCTGCATTCACACAGCGCAGCATTCCGGCAAATTGCCGGTAATGTTACAACTTCTCTTTCTGGAAAATAGCCAGAACGAATTTACCGGTATTTTCAAAAAGTGCCTGTTCACACATACACACCTTTGCGGAAAATTGCCGGTAATTTTGTGGAAAGGTGTGTATGAGTGAAAGGGGCTAATAACCTTGTAATAAACTGAGAGTACATTTTCTGTTATTTTATTTCTCTATATATTATTTGACTATATGACTACAGTGTCTTCTTGTAGTCTTTGTTCAGGGTTCAGTCTCTGTTCTCCCAGTGCTTTACCCCATCAACTGGTCATAAAGGCGACATGCCAATTTTGTGTATTCACAGTAGCCAAATCAAACTGTAAATAGCAGGTTATCAACTAAATTAGTGCAGGTCAGGGTTTTAGTCTTGGATGACTTGCCCGGAGGTGTGCCAAGTGAACAGACTTTCCTCTAAAGGGACTTTGGATCAATGCTCAACACCAGTCTCCCGTCCTGTTTGTCATCAGTAGACACAAATCTGTGGATCACTTTTAATAAGTACTTATTGCGAATGCCCTTGAACAACCCACAAGGAGCACTCTTTCTTGGAGCTGAGCTCAGAGGTGCGTTGCCATCACAATTTGTCCATCATCAAACTCCGATAAATCAGCAGTATTTCACATTCTGATACCGAACATAGGACTTACTGAAAGCCAGTCCTTGGGTTATACAAATATTGTTTGGTTGCCAAACATGCTTATTGCTCCAGGCCCAAGAGGGGATCATACTGTAATGGCACATCGGTATGTAAATATAATTAACACCATTTGCCCTATGACCTAAGGCTCTCCATGCAAGGATTTGTTTGATAGCTGACTGTACACAGTGTAAATGTGTTGACCTTCACTTGTTATCGTTTCCAGCTTTACACAGGAAGTTGAAATCAGACATATGCGTTCCTGCCAAACCGTCTGCCAGAGAACATCTGATCTGAGGGGTCTTTTTGAGACTTGGTGCTTTTGTTTGTCTTTGTGATCTTGGTTCTTGTTGATATGACAGATGTGGCACCATTGTAGGAGTATTCCCTGTCAAACATCAAAATGATTGATTGATTGATTGATTGATTGATTGATTGATTGATTGATTGATTGATTGATTGATTGATTGATTGATTGATTGACTGACATGCAAATGAAGAATCAAACCTGATGCTGAATCCCTCCGTCATGGAAAAACAAAAGATTAATCCTCCTAGAATACTCAGCACAGATCCTGCCCAGCCGATGAACAGAGCCGCGCCAAGTTCAAATCTAAAAAAAAAGAGGCAAAATAAACAAGCATTACACATGCTTGAAAGTCAACCCAGACTCATTCTGAAAATGTACCCCTATGTACATCTCTGGAGATTGCCAATATTATTTGCAGTTTTTGTTTTCGCGAATGCACCAGAGGCCGCTGTGTACGCTTAAGATCTCAAATTTCTCTCGCTAGTGCCGTTAGTGCCTGCTGTTCATGCGTAAATCCACCAGAGGTCGCTGTGTACACTTTTGGAGATCTCAAATTTCTCTCGCGAGTGCTGTTCACGCTTGCTGTTCTTGTGTAAATCCACCAGAGGCCGCTGTATACACTTTTTGAGTTCTCATATTTCTCTCAGGAGTGCCTTTTGCGCTTGCTGTTCTCGCGTAAATCCACCAGTGGCCGCTGTATACACTTTTTGAGTTCTCATATTTCTCTCAGGAGTGCCGTTCGCGCTTGTTGTTCTCGCGTAAATCCACCAGAGGCCGTTGTATACACTTTTTGAGTTCTCATATTTCTCTCAGGAGTGCCTTTCGCGCTTGCTGTTCTCGCGTAAATCCACCAGTGGCCGCTGTATACACTTTTTGAGTTCTCATATTTCTCTCAGGAGTGCTGTTCGCGCTTGCTGTTCTCGCGTAAATCCACCAGAGGCCGCTGTATACACTTTTTGAGTTCTCTTATTTCTCTCAGGAGTGCCTTTCGCGCTTGGTGTTCTCGCGTAAATCCACCAGAGGCCGCTGTATACACTTTTTGAGTTCTCATATTTCTCTCAGGAGTGCCATTTGCGTCTGCTATTCTTGTGTAAATCCACCAGAGGTTGCTGTTGACTGACTGAATGACTGCCTGATTTTTACCACGTTATTTTTTGGCTTCTGCTTTTTTGTTTTACCTGCTTTCTAAAACCATTCTCCACTGGACTCGAATCCCATCCTCGTGGTCAACTCCTCTCTGCGTCTCAAGTCCACTAACGTACATGGTGGGCTACTGGACAAACTTGTTACAGCGGGAAAGCTGTCCGTATGGAGGTAAGCGGTCAGCTGGTAAGCTTGGAAAGGAACAGCATCATATCGCCCCCTAGAGTTTGTTTTAAAAAAGGAAATGCAGCCATTTGTAGCTTTGGCTACCAAATTCGCAACCTCCAGAAATGTATGTTGGGCTACATTTTCAGAATGAGCCTGCGCTCTAGAAAGTTCAAGGAGATGTGATATTTGACTGATATTTCTTACTTCTGTTTCACAAATAAGGGGTCAAAAAACTCTGATGTGATCCGGTGTGCATAGAGGGAACAGGCAGTAATAGAGCAGATTCCTGGAAAGAGGATGAGATACGGTTACAGGAAAAGTGCTTTAAAAAAAGAAGAAAGCCTCACCTGGGTCACAGGAAACATTTACCACTCAGAATAAAGTGTAGTCCACACAGACAGGTGATGCGGGCTTTGGTGGTCTCTGATCCTCCTATTCTGGTGCACTTCATGCCCACTAGTGCCAGGCTGGCTCCAAAAAAGCCCAAACATACAGCTGAGATCATCAGGCCACGACACACTTGGATATAAGCTGCAGGAACAGGAAAGCAGAGGACAGATTTTTTGATGAGAAAGATGTAATAATAGCATAAACAGAAATCTGGTCAGACCACCGAAAATGCCTTAGCACAAAACAGTAATGCGATAACAACCATTGAGAACATCTTAGTAACCATGTATCAACATGCTGACAACCACTAAAACAATTTAGTAACCACATATCGACAAAATAACAACCACAGCACCTTAGTAACCACATATCAAGATGCTAATCATCACGCCAACAACTTAGTAATTAAATAGCAACATAAAAACAACCAATCAGTGATATTAATAACCACACATCAACATGCTAACCACTCAAACACCTTAGTAACCACATAGTGACTTAAGAACAACCAATCAGAACACCTAGTAACCACATCTACATGCTAACAACCACTCAAACAGCTTAGTAACCACAGTGACATAATGACAACCAATCAGAACACCTTAATAACCACATCAACATGCTAACCACTTAAACAGCTTAGTAACCACAGTGACACAGTAACAACCAATCAGAACACCTTAATAACCACATCAACATGCTAAAAACCAATCAAACAGCTTAGTAACCACAGTGACATAATAACAACCAATCAGAACACCTTCCTGCTAAAAACGCTGGTTGGTTGGTTTTAGCTGGTCGACCAGCCTGGTTTTAGAGGGGTTTTGGCCATTTACAAGCTGGTTTTAGCTGGTCAGACTGGAAGATGACCAGCTGAAACCAGCTTGACAATCCTAGCCAATCTGGGTGTCCAGCCAAACCCAGCTAGGTCCAGTTAATTTTCAGCTAAGTCCAGGTCATTTTCCAGCCTGACCAGCTAAGACCAGGCAAGAAATTGGAAACCAGCCTGTAAATGGCCAAAATACTTCTAAAACTGGTCGACCAGCTAAAACCAACCAACCGGCCTAGGCTTGAGCTGTTTTTTTCTGCAGGTATTAGTAACCACATCAACATGCTAACAACCACTATAGCGACATAACTACAACCCTTTAGTAACCACACATCAACATACTAACCACTCAAACACCTTAGTAACCACGTATCAACATGCTAACAACCACTCAAACAACTTGATAATCATATAGCGTCAGAATAACCAATCAGAAAACCTTAACAATACATAAAAACATTGTACTGTCTCAACACATTAGCAACCAAATATCAACATGCCAACAACAGCTCTAAACTTATTAGCAATAATAGCACGTTAGCAACATGCTAATAACTGTTAAAATCCTGGAGTTTAATTTCCATGACTAAAATAGATAACCAGGAGGCTTTCAAAGAGGGCTGAAGAGACTTTAACAACACCCTGTTCTGTGTGCCCCGAAGCACAGATTCCCAAATCAGACTCCCTGAATTTTGCATGAGAATGGCACACCCAAGAGAGACATGTAAAATGTGCAGGATTGAGGGAGATTCCCTACCCTAAAACTTCCTCCTGTGTGAAGATGTGCCATCCAGACTTAATTAAGTCGACGCACGCTTATTAAACCCTATTTTCCTACTTTCCTCGGGGTTAAACATTCCTGCAGGTTGTAACTGAAGTCATGAGCCAGGAAATACAGTTTAAGGGCCTGATTACACTTGGTATCCAGATGCAATTTTTGTTGATCTCATCACAAGTGGACAACACTAAAGACTAGCACAAACAGGGTCAGAAACATTTTGAGTTTGTCCACTTTTGATTTTTTAACCGCTTTTACTGCTTACAGCTGGTATTCAAGAGACAACAAACAAACATGTCATTATTTACTCCACATGTTTCAAACCTGTTTGACTTTCTTTCTCCTGTTAAACACAAAATAACATATACAGGAGGGAATCTAAACTGGAAACCTCTGACCATTGACTTCATTAGTATTCATAGCTTTTCTTACTTTGAATGTCAAATGGTTTCCATTTTTCAGCTTTTCTTCAAAATATCTTCTCTTGTGTTCAAAAGAAATGTTAATTTCAGGCTGAAATATCCCTTTAGTTCACACCAAGAATCTAAAGCAGGGATGTCAAATTCAATTCCTGGAGGGCCGCAGCTCTGCACAGTTTAGTTCCAACCCTAATTAAACACACCTGATCAAACTAATTGAGTCCTTTAGGCTTGTTTGAAACCTGCAGATATTTGTGTTGGAGCAGGGTTGGAACTAAACTGTGCAGGGTGTGGAGCCCTCCAGGAATTGAGGTTGACATCCCTGATCTAAAGTTTCTAATCCCCCTTAGGTGTTGTAAACCTGTTTTGACAACATTCATCCATTCATTTTCTTTTCGACTTAGTCCCTTTAGCAATCTGGGGTTGCCACAGCGGAATGAACCGCCAACTTATCCAGCATATGTTTTACACAGCGGATGCCCTTCCAACCGCAACCCATCCCTGGGAAACCCATACACCCTCATTCGCACACATACACTACACTATGGACAATTTAGCCTCTGTTTAGACAACATGGAGGAAGATTTTTTGAAGAATGCTGGAAACTGGTAGCCATTAACAACTATAATAAGAGAAACAAATACTATAAAACTCAATGGCTTTCCAACATTCTTCAAAATATCTTCCTTTGCGTTCAACAGAAGAACAAAACTCATAAAGGTTTGGAAACACTTATGGGTGAGACAATATTAAAAAATACTATGGAAGCCGATGGCTTCCGGTTCACAACATTTTTCAAAATATCTTCTTTTGCGTTCAACAGAAGTAGGAGTCCAAGGTTTAAAAAAAAATACTATGGAGGTCAATGGCTTCCATTTTCCAACATTCTTTAAAATATCCTCTCTTGTGTTTAATAGAAGGAAGAACTAATGGTTTGGAACCACTGGAGGGTGAGTATGTTTTCGTTTTAGGGTGAAATATCCCTTTAGAATTACTTGCTTTTCACTCCCCCTTAAATATTTAGGTGTTCTAAACCTGTTTAGACAACATGAAGGAAGATTCTTTTGAAGAACGTTGGAAACTATTAGCCAAGGACATGGCGCTGACTATGTTAGGGTGGGGTGGGGTGGGGGTGTGATGGATTCGCTACCAGTTTCCAACATTCTTCAAAATATCTTCTTATGTGTTCAACAGAAGAAAGAAAAAGGTTTGGAAACACTTTATTTTCAAGTAAATTTTCATTAAAATTTTCTCCCCTTAGGCATTCTAAAGCTGTATAGACAACACAAAGGAAGATTATTTAAATAATGTTGAAAACTGTTAGCCACTGACAACCATATTAAGGGAAAAAGTACTATAGAAGTCGATGGCTGCTGGTCTCCAACATTCTTCAAAATAACTTCTTTTGCATTTAATAAAAGAAGGAAACTAATAAAGGTTTTTTTTAAAGTACTATCGCTGATGGCTACCATTTTTCAACATTCTTCAAAATATCTTCTCTTGTGTTCAAGAGGGAAAAAAACTCCAAAACACCAAAAACTAAAATTACTTGCTTTTTACTCCCCTTAGGTATTTGAAACCTGCTCAGACAACATGAAGGAAGATATTTTGAAGAATGTTGGAAACTATTACATGCTATGGATGTCGATGGCTACTGGTTCAACAGAAGAACAGTTGGTAACATTTTTCCAGCATTCTTCAAAATATCTTCTTTTGTGTTCAACAGAGGAAAAGCAACTCATAAAGGTTTGGAAACACTTGAGGGTGAGTACATCATTTCGGGGTGAAATATGCCTTTAATTCCCACCCAAAAACCAAATAACTTGCTTTTCACTCCCCCTTAGGTGTTCTAAACCAGTTTAGACAACATGAAGGAAGATATTTTTGAAGAATGTTGAAAACTATTAGCCAGTGGCAACAATATTGGGTGGGGGGGTTACGATGGAAGTCGATGGCTACTGGTTTCCAACATTATTCAAATTATCTTCTTTTGTTTTCAACAGAAGAATGAAGCTCATAAAGGTTTGGGACCACTTGAATGTGAGTAAACTTTAATTTTGGGTTAAAATATCCCTTTACTTCACACCAAAGACCAAAATGACTTGCTTTTTAACCCCCTTAGGGGTTCTAAACCTGTTTAGATAACACAAAGGAAGATTATTTAAAGAATGTTGGAAACTATTACCCACTGACAACTATATTGGGGGAAAATATTATGGAAGTCAATGGCTACTGGTTTCCAACATACTTCAAAATATCTTCTTTTGCTTTCAACAGAAGAAAACTAATAAAAGTCTGAAAAATACTATGGAAGTCAATGTCTACCATTTTCCAAAATTCTTCAAAATATCTTCGTTGGTGTTCACTAATAAAGGTTTGAATCCACTAGAGGGTGCAGATGGTGAATACATTCTCAATTTTTGGATAAACTATATATTTTTAAAAGCAATAAACACAATAAACTCCTTGTTTAAAGGGTCAAGTAATCTGATTTGGCTTCTATTTATTGTGGCAAAACACCATTAGAGCAATCCAACACTATGCTACTCTTTTTTTTTTTTTTAGACATCTAAAAAATTAGACATCTGCACTCTCTGGTGAAAATACAAGAGACCAGTACATAATCAGCAATTCCTGTAAACCCTCAGAGCGTTTACTTAGACCAAAAAAGCAATGAAGTACCATCCAGTGCGAGCATTGAAGGAAAGTCCTTGCAGTTGGAGACTCCGGTTGAGTCTGTGACACATGTCTTCCACAGATTGGACCAAAAGGTGGCCGTTGTGATGACCGTTCCATCTACAGACGACACTTTCCAGTAGTCGGTGGGGAGTGTTGAGGACACCAGAATCCATCCGGAAATGGTAAGAAGAAAAGCAACGATCTCTGTTGCCATACTACCCATTTTTATCAGTTCAAATGCACAGAAAAGTCAGGAATGAGTGATTTGGTGAATCTGGACTGGAACCGTCTGCCGAAGGGTCTTTATATTCAACAGGGAGGGCTCCGGCTACTAAACTTTTTTAACAGCTGACCAATAGCCTTTTGTTTTCCCATTAACTTCCCAAACACCATACACACACACACACACACACACACCCAAACATCACTCTGCAAGAATCATTTTGAGAGATGCTGGAGGTCAGGAGGTGAGCACATTAAAGATGCATGTTATTGGAAGGGCCTGAAAAGTCAGCGACCTCCAGCGGATATTGGAGAAATGTGTTCAGATTAGGCTCGGATGTGAGAGATGCAGCTTTATAGTGTGTGTTTTTGAATAGGATTTAGGTAACACTTTACAATAACAGTACATGAATAATGATGTATTAATATGTAAACTAAACATTAGTTTATTATGAATTAATGATGAGTTAAGGTATGCACTAATCACGAATTAACTTTAACTACATGAGTCACATGAGTTCATGTGTAAATGACGGCTGCCTTAATTACTTGTTAGTACATGATTGTTTGTTAATTAATGTATTAATTACCACATTAGTTTATGCTTAATTTAACCATGATGAACTCGTGATATGTTAATGTATAATTATGTTGTGACTTTACTTGGAGGGGCACATCATCATTAACCCATTCTTAACTACTCATGAACTCCTTATGCATGTCCAATAGTGAGTTTACACTGAATAACAATAGAAAAGTGTTCTGTCAACATCAACATGAACAGGAGTTCATGAGTAGTTAAGGATGAGTTAATGATGATGTGCTCCTCCAAGTAGTCATGACAAAGTCATGTCATAGAGTTCATGTTGGTTACATTTAGCTTAAACTTAAATGTTAATTAATACATTAATTAACAACATGTACTAATTAAGGTAGTCGTTATTTACACATGAACTCATGTGACTCATGTTGTAGTTAAAGTTAATTCGTGATTAGTGCATACCTTAACTCATCGTTAATTCCTAATAATGTTTAGTTTACATATTAATACATCATCATTCATGTACTGTTATTGTAAAGTGCTTTGTTTTTACTAGTTTGGTTAATTTTTTAGTTATATTTAATTTTATTAGATGTGATTTTTCAGGTTTATTATTTTTAATAAATTTGCAAAAATTTCAAAAAAAAATTTTTTTTTACATAAGTAATGTGTAACATACAAGTTATCGTATTAATGGTCAAGGGTAAAGCAAATGATTTACAGTTGCTACTGAAATCAAACTATGTTCAGTATACGAAACAACAGTGGTCTTCCCAAAATAATTGGTTTAGGTGTAGTTGTGCCATTTCAGAAAAGATTTACTTGTTTACTTTTTGCTAATTATGAATAAACACAATTGACTAAAGTGATGATTTTATGCTGTTAAGTTGTTTACATTTTACAATGTATTTTTGTTACATAATTATTGTAGCAACCACAGCTGCCAGATTAGTAATTCTATATGTTCAACAGTTTTAAATTGTAAAAATGTAATTATTTCTTACACAACCTTTTTGTAAATTTTACATAATATTAATTTGTTTTTACATAATTATTCTGTACATAAACAGTTTTAAAGAGCCCATATTATGGGTTTTTGAAAATTCCCCTCCATGTAGTGTGTAACACAGCTCGAAGTGAAGTGAAGTATCCAGCTATGGCTTAAATCTGTTAGTGTACAGTGTTTAAAACGGTTGATTCATCTATAAAAGAGTCGACTCATAGTGCTTCAAACAAGTCGCCTTGATACCGAGTCATTAGGTGTTTCGCCATGACGTACGAACGAAACCAAGTTATTCACGTGCACGCGCAAACCCGGGAGATTTCAAACCTGAGGCCCCGCCCTCTGACGCAGAAACCCAGACACACACCCACAAACACACGCACACACACACACAAACATGCCGGTCGATTGAAGTCACACTGCAGATGGATATATTGAGCCTCTACCCAAAGATGAAACCTCAGCATTATAGCCAAGCAGTTGGAAACTACTGGAAACTTCTGGAAGCTACATGCTACAAAGAATACTTCATCAGCGTTTGTTAAAGGAAGGATCAGTAAAGAGTAACTTACTGATGGACGTCAGGATGGATTTTTCTTCCTCCATTTCTCAAGTGTAAGTACATGCGATTAAAGTTGTTGCCTCGTTTACTCGAGCTTGCAAATGTATTTAGTTGTGATTTGTTACTTGTAACCGCGTGTACTGTATCAGGTTAACTGGCTATATTCTCTTATCGCGTGCAAAGTCACGTTAAAAACGCGACGCGTGCTGCTTTGTTAACGGAACTCCGTGGACGAGGAGTAGTGTGTGTGTCTGTTTGTGCATGTGCGCGCGCTGTCGTCCGGAGGTGTGTGTGTGTGTGTGTGTGTGCGTGCGTGCGCGCGTGCGCGCGTTGTTGTCCGGAGCAGGGTTAAGTGCGTGTGTGTGTGTGTGTGTGTGTGCAATATGTGTGTGTGTGTCTGTGAAAAGAGCAGAGTGAGAAGCTAGGAGATCTCCTCAACTGTTTTTGGAGTTTTTGCTCAATAAAATAGTTAGTCGTCTGAATTTTCAAGTCCATAGTCTGTATTTACATTGACCCACTGGCAGCTAAAATCCACGCCTACACTATCGAGCGTGTATGAACTGTGATTACTTTTATATTGCTGATTAGTTGTTTGGCTTTTCACTCTCTGATTGAAGGCAGTCGACCAATCGCAACAGGCTGTCATTGGTCCAATCAGCGCAGATTAGCTTCGCGCTAAGGAGGGGTTTGGAAACAAATGAATCACTGGACGATTCATACAGGAGTCGCTGGGATAATTAGGTAAAAATAAATGCAGATTATAAGACCATGAAAGTGTTTTTTTGACCTTGCATGCATATTAAACTGTTGTTGGAGACCTTTACAACCAAGATATGACCCTATTTCATGTATGATATGGGCTCTTTAAATTGTAAACCGGTTTACAATTTTATTGTATTTTTTACAAAATTATTCTGGCAACCACAGCTGTCAAATTTTTTTTGTAAAAACAACAAGATTTTTTTGTTAAAATACAAAAAATTAATTATTTCTTACACAAAATTTCTGTAAATTTTACATATTATTAAATAGTTATTTACATAATTATTCTGTACATAAACAGTTTTAAATTGTAAACAGGTTTACAATTTTATTGTATTTTTTACAAAATTATTCTGGCAACCACAGCTGCCAAATTTTTTTTGTAAAAACAACAGAATTTTTTTTACAGTGTAGTCATTATGGGGTATTGTGTGTAGAAGTTTGAGAAAATAAATGCATTTAATTTATTTTGGAAGAAGGCTATAACATAAAAAAATGTGGAAAATGGGAAGCGCTATATGAAAACTTTGACCATGAGCGTTGGTCCTTCTGTCTATTGGCGAGGCCAGTTTTATGGGCTGGCGGGAATGCCTGAGGATGACATCCAGGGCTAATCAAGACTCGGGTGAGGGTGATCAGAGAGATCGGAGTGACTGTGAGATAAAATAAGACTAAGCTGTTTACATCAGTTGCTTTTTGAGTGTTCATTTCATGATCCCGTTTTACATGTTATAGCACTTCAACCCATTCATCACCACGCTATATGCATTTCCTCCGGAGTTCATGTAATTTCGGGTGTTTCATTTTTAATTTGTTGACTTTAACTGCAGTTTGGCACTTTCACTTTCATTCACGAACGTTTCATGCATGCTCTCCGTGACAAACGAGATAATGGATGCAACTATGAACTGCTGGAATAAAGTTTTAATGAAAGTTCATACCGCATCCTGAATGGAAGAAAAAAAAACTCTGCATTCCACGATGCAGGTGTCTGTGGTCTGTACTGACTGGGTAGGTGCAATTTGCAAAGTGTGTCAAACAGCCGCGTGCACAGACTATCCTGTCGCAAAACGCGGTGAAAAGTCCTACATAAGGTGTTTACATGTCAGTAATGCACTTCAATAATGCGACTAATATCGGCATACTCCACACGTCTTAATTCGATTACTCTTTAGTTCGATTATGACCTTAATCTGATTAAATTAATCAAAAGTAGCTGTTTACATGGTTAACTCTTAATCAGAGTGTTGTCTTTATAGCATTAAAATTAAATTATTGGTGTCCATGTAAACGTAGTCACTGAGAGAGCCAGGCCTGGCAGTTACAATTAACTGAAGTATAAGATAACTTAGGCCTATAATTTATTGAAAGCAACAAAAATGGTTTTAGTTTTAGTCCTGACTATAACCCAATTTGATCCAAAGTTGATCTAAAATTCTAATTTGTGACTTTTGTTGCCATCTAGAGGAAAGAATTTTGATAGACTGTGACTTTTTTGATATAAATATTATATTATGTACACTGTAAAAAATATCTGTAAATTACCCGTATTTTGAGATTCATGTTTTTTTATGCTTTTGAATTGCATTATGGGACCTTAATCTTTCTTCTAACAATGTTTAACCTTAAAAAAAAAGCTTGAAAATGGACTTTTATTAACATTTTTGGTTCCACTTTATATTAAGTGGCCTTAACTAATATGTACTTACATAGGAACTAATAGTTTGTTACAATGTACTAATTGTGTAAATACATGTATTCACTGTGTACTTATGCTTGATTAAATACATGTATGTAATTACATCTGTAATTACCTTTTGTAATTAGGCTGGCTTGTGTAGCAAGCCAGACTACTGTTATCCTATTAAACTTATTATTATATTTATTATTCTTCTTCTGAGACTAAAAATTAAACTCTATCTTGTCCTAGGCCTTTCAAGCTATGACCATCAAACTCGGGTCAGACCTCCGAACTATTCTGACTCGAGTTGCTATATCCTTTCCGACTGATCCGACTTTCGGTTTTCCGAAAAACGTCCCGGGACCGTCGGAAAAATCCCATAGACGTAACATTGGATCAAACTTTGTGACCTCATAACTCCGCATCAGAATGTCACACAAACTTCTAACTGGGCTCATTTAACTCAGACTATCAAACTGCCAATGACTGACCACCTTTAAACTTTCTGGCCACGCCCTAGCAACCACTTTTGGACCCTAGAAACCGTCCCATGGACTTCCATTGCAAAATACTCTCATTGACTTTACATGGGATCAAACTTTGTGAGCTCATAACTCTGCATCAGACTGTCCTACAGACTAATGGCTGAGCTCATTTAACTCAGTCTAGCCAGCAGCCAATCACTGATGGCCTTTTAACTTTCTAGCCACACCCTAACAACTAGATACTGCACCCTAGCAACTGTCCCATAGACTGCCATTAAAGAGGTTCAGACTGATATTGTCATGCTGCAGTGTGATAGAGACATGGGGGTTGTTTTTAACTGTTCATACTGGCAAGAAGCTTTGATACATCATCAGTCTAAGCTGTCAATCAACTCCATAGCAACAAAACAGACTAACCTAGCAACGATATAATAGCAGCTATATCTCAGCATCAGAACATCGTAGAGAGGCGGGGGTTGGCTTGTTTGAATCAGGCTCGCACACCATCTATCTATCTATCTACCTCTACCTATCTATCTATCTATCTATCTATCTATCTATCTATCTATCTATCTATCTATCTATCTACCTTTATCTATCTACCTCTACCTATCTATCTATCTATCTATCTATCTATCTATCTATCTATCTGTCTGTCTGTCTGTCTGTCTGTCTGTCTGTCTGTCTGTCTCTATCTATCTATCTATCTATCTATCTATCTATCTATCTATCTATCTATCTATCTATCTATCTATCTATCTATCTATCTATCTATCCATCATGCTAACAACATGCTAATTCATGCTAGAATCATGCTAGTTACATGCTAATTCATGCAAGAATCATGCTAGTCACATGCTAATTCATGCTAGAATCATGCTAGTCACATGCTAATTCATGCTAGAATCATGCTAACAACATGCTAATTCATGCTAGAATCATGCTAATTTATGCTAAAATCATGCTAGTAACATGCTAATCCATGCTAGAATCATGCTAACAACATGCTAATTCATGCTAGATTCATGCTAGTAACATGCTAATTCATGCTAGAATCATGCTAGTATCATGCTAATTCATGCTAGCATCGTGCTAACAACATGCTAATTCATGCTAGAATCATGCTAGTAACATGCTAATTCATGCTAGAATCATGCTAACAACATGCTAATTCATGCTAGAATCATGCTAGTAACATGCTAATTTATGCTAGAATCATGCTAACAACATGCTAATTCATGCTAGAATCATGCTAGTAACATGCTAATTCATGCTAGAATCATGCTAACAACATGCTAATTCATGCTAGAATCATGCTAACAACATGCTAATCCATGCTAGAATCATGCTAACAACATGCTAATTCATGCTAGAATCATGCTAGTGAAATGCTAATTCATGCTAGAATCATGCTAACAACATGCTAATTCATACTAGAATCATGCTAGTAACATGCTAATTCATGTTAGAATCATGCTAACAACATGCTAATTCATGCTAGAATCATGCTAGTAACGTGCTAATTTATGCTAGAATCATGCTAGTAACATGCTAATTCATGTTAGAATCATGCTAACAACATGCTAATTCATGCTAGAATCATGCTAGTAACATGCTAATTCATGCTAGAAGCATGCTAACAACATGCTAATTTATGCTAGAATCATGCTAGTAGCATGCTAATTCATGCTAGAATCTTGCTAGTAACATGCTAAATCATGCTAGAATCATGCTAACAACATGCTAATTCATGCTAGAATTGTGCTAATTCATGCTAAAATCATGCTAGTAACATGCTAATTCATGCTATAATCGTGCTAACAACATGCTAATTCATGTTAAAATCATGCTAACAACATGCTAATTAATGCTAAAATCATGCTAGTAACATGCTAATTCATGCTAAAATCATGCTAACAACATGCTAATTCATGCTAAAATCATGCTAGTAACATGCTAATTCATGCTAGAATCATGCTAACAACATGCTATTTCACGTTAAAATCATGGTAATAACATGCTAATCTATCTATCTATCTATCTATCTATCTATCTATCTATCTATCTATCTATCTATCTATCTATCTATCTATCTATCTATCTATCTTTTCATACTTTTTAAAACTGTTTAAACTAAATAAACTATTCCCGTCAGGCTTTCACAAGCCAGCCTCAAAGTTTGTTCTCAAACTTTAAGAATCTAGTTACATTTGTAAATACACTGTTGACCATCCCTTACACCTTAACCCACCCTTAAACCTACCCATACCACCAAACCTGTCCATAACCCAACCTCTTTTCCAACCTAAAAGCACCACAAGTGTTCTCAAATACATTATAAACACAGTAAGTACATTGTATTTATTTTTTTGATGTAAGTACATAGTAGTTAGGGACACTTAATATAAAGTGGGATCACATTTTTAATAGTTTAAAGTGATGTATTGTCTGGGTTGGTGTTGCATAAAACAAACACCCTGTAATAAAGTACATTTTCTGTTATTTTACAGACTTATTCTTCTATATATTATTTTTAATACATTATATTAAAACTACTAAAATGTCAATAGAAGTCTCTTTGCTAAAGTGTGAAGTAAAATTTTCAACATCTAAAGTCGACAGAGCAGAGATCAACATCCCATCATCCCAACATCAACATAATGCAATTTACAACCGTAAATAAATGGAAAACACTTGTGAATCACTAAATATGGAAACACAGTGTAAACCTTAAGCTCTGGGTTTTACCTCACAGTGCATTGCTACTCATGTTTTTGACTGGTCCGGTTACATTTTTATAACACATTTTGAAATTGTACATAGCAAGAGTGCCTCAAGATCTCACAGAGGAGAGTGTAAAATATCCACACACTGCTTCCCGTGAGCTCCCTTCAGCTTGAGCTTAAAATAACAGATCTTTGCTTTAACAAAATGTCACCGGTGTTTTACTGCTGCTTGATAAAACTGGGCTATTCTTCAAGTGTATTTAAAGGATAGATGTGTTTGTTTGTGTTTAAGCAGGAGCTCTCAGTTAAAGTGAAGGTCAGACGGATCCCACTGCCTGTTTGCAGCCTCAGATCTGCTGATGGTTTCCCTCGGTTCCCTGCAGAGGAGACACAACATAACCCGACCTGACCAAAACACAGAGGCTTCTTCAGTCAGCAGCTGCTCGACTCTGCCAAGAACACGCAAATGACAATTATGTAATGTTTGCAGGTAGTATCAGTTACATTGAACATTTAATTGGATGACATATTAGGTCAACAAAACAACAACATCATCTCAGGAATGTAATAAAACTGCAAAAATGCCTGTAAATATATCTACATTTCCACAAAACTGTGAGTAAAAGGTTAATTCAGTGACTGATGCTAATATTTTGCAGTGGTTGCTATTTTAAAAAGGTATGTTTACACAAAAAAAACAGCCTGATCTCACGTAAAAACGTAAGTATTTTACGTTTTGCCAGTTTAGTGGCTAATTCGTACGAATTCGTATGAGGTTAGTCGTACGAAATGGTACGATTTTTAAAAGGAGGCGTGGCACCTGACCCCACCCCTAACCCCAACCGTCATTGGGGGAAAGCAAATCGTACTAAATTGTACGAATTATATCGTACAAATTCATACGAATTAGCCACTAAATGAAAAAGTTACGAATTGCCGTACGATTGTGTTGAAAATATTGTACTTAAAAATGTGCTAAGGGACAATAACACTATCAAAATAATTCCCGATCATATAAAAAATGCAGGGCTCCACACAATTTTCCTTCAAGGTGTCCCAACACAAATCAATTAAGGTAACTTAATTGTTTTTGCAAATTAAAGTGAATTCAACATAAAACAATTAAGTTGTCCTGAAAAAAAAATCTAGAATTGTGTTGATTCAGCTAATTTTAGGCAGTTTAGACAAGCATCAACAAATTTTTTTTTTGGAGTCTAGACTAAAAATAAATGATGTTTGCTGTTTTTTTGTTGTTGTTTTTTTCAAAATACTTATTGATTCGAACAACTTAATTGTTTTGGACCCTATCATACACGACATGTATGTATCGATAAGGCATCTTGGTTTGCCTCAACGTGTTGTTATTTTCAGACCAGCGCAACCTTAATTTTCCCGTTTTTCACCACATTGTTTAAATAGCAAATCCATTTGCGCCACTTTGTGGACCCATAGGTGTTTGACACTCGTGAGAGAAATTTAAGATCTTAAAAAACATGTGGCCTCTGATGGATTCACGAAAACAAAAACTGCAAAAAAAAATGTAGCTCCGGGCATGTATTTGGCGCTCTCCAGAAATGTATATAAGGGTACGTTTTCAGAATAAGCCTGAGTGGACTTTATAAGAGTTATTATTATGGATTATTCACCTTATTCTTCGCCGACGGGCGGGCACAGCTATTTGAATCTTTTTGGCTTGAGACTTCCGGTCTCATTCACTTCCATTAATTTTTAGACATTAAAAACTGCTCGTTTCGCTGTTTGATGTTGCAAACTGATATTTATTATTCTACTTGGTCTATATAGTCATGCAAACATGTGTTTGTAGAGCAAGTAGTTTGACCGTTTTCTGCCGTTTCAAGTAATTTCTCCCATAGGCGACTAAATCGGAAGTTCTAAAACAATCGCGAAAACAGGCACACTTCCGCATTTTAGAATAAGGTCAATAGATAGCAACAAATAATTGGAACACCCCTAGCCCTTCACATGAATGCGCAAAATAAAAAGTAGGGGTAAGGGGTACAATTGAGATTGGGTCTTAGATTTTATGTGGACTTTAAGGAAAGAAACTAAATAAAGCTCATAGCGACTAAATAGCTTCTTTTACTTCAGTGTGTCATAAACACCTCCCCTCTCATACCCACAGGGGTGAGGACTCAAAACAAGCTGTGATTGTTTTTCAGGTGAGCTGTTGCCGAGTGACAAGGTCAGCGAGAACGTCAAACTAAATATCCGCCATCATAGCAACCGCACTGATTCCCTGGAGGAGATCCACGATTTCAGTCAAATTAAAGGCGCTTATCTCCTCCAACGGGCAATTACATTGTCACAAATTACACGAGTTCAATTAGATGGAGAAAAGTGGCAGGATAATTCAGATTGCGGAGTGAGGCATGCGGTTATTCATCTTCGGCCAGCGTAAAGGTCACAGGCCTTACATCAGCATGACGTTATGCTATGACTCCTTAAAACAGGTGAAGAACGGATATGAGTCAGGCAAAATAAGTTTATTTTTGCTTAGCAGATGTTACAGATTAAACCCTCACAGGGAGTTTAAATAAGGTTAAAGAGGTTGATCAGAATGACTCAGCAATAGCATTCTTCAGAAAAGTTGACTGTATATATGAACAAGTCTGTACATGTGCAATGCACCACCTACTGTATTTACACGGGAAAAGTTTGAGCTACATCCCCAGAGAAATATTATTTACAATGCACAAAGAGAGTTTAGCTTAATAGTTTGGCATCTTTCTATCCTTTGCATTCATAATCACAGTACAGTGTTTATGAAAAAAGAAATGAAATGGTTTTGTGGTTTCTCAGTGAATGTTACAGTGAACAGTTCTAATTCAGCCAAAAATGCTCGAGTTGTTTCAAATGTGTGGAAGTTAATTTCTTCTGCTAAACACAAAACAAGATATTTAAAAGGGGTGGACCACTACGATCTCATATTTTAAACTTTAAGTGATGTGTAATGTAGCTGTGTGAACATGAACAACATCTCTGAATGTAATATGCTCAAAGTTCAATGCAAGGGGAGATATTGGCTATTACAGAGTTAGCTTAGCTAAGCATGCGGCAAATAAAGTTTGGGGACTACAAAACAAATCTGTCCGGGCTAGTGAGATCACAAACGCTTCAGGTTATGCGCATTTATCATGCACATTCACGCACAGCAATGGGGCGTGACCAGAGGTAATGTTATAGCAGAGAAAGCTAAAATGGCGTCCAAACGCTGCTATTTCCACAGAGCTTGTTCTGTTTCTGTATTTGGGCTTCCAAAGGACACAGCACAAAGAGAGAAGTGCTTGCAGTTTACTTTGTTTTAACTGTTCCAGAGAATTATAAAAAAAGATATAGCTAGCATTTGACAAAGGACAGCTTCCAGAATCTCTCCCAGTTCAGTGCTGGATTTCAACTAAAAACTCCTCCAACCGATGAAGCTGTGGATTGTGAGCCACAACCTGCAAGTATTTTTATTTGTTAAAATTGATCAATTACATGCACAGTGTCTTTGCATTAATGGTATGTTGTAGCGAGGACGTAAAAACAAAGATGTAAACAAGGGGAAATGCTGTTCGGCACCGCAAACAATTTAGCTACGTATTTATTAGTCCAACTACTGTTAACACCCACGATCTTCAGCAGCGCTTTTAGTGTCTCTCTATGCTTTTCCTGCGTTATACATATCAATTAACGAACTCACAAAAGATAAGAGAACATTTTGTCTTTCTTACTCATGCTTATTCCAAATATATGGTAAAGACACTTGTCAGATTTTATTTTAGAGAGCAGCTTTAGCTGTGTGTGTGTGTTTTTTTGTTGTTGTTTTTTTCAGTTTGATTTAGGTAGCTAGCGCTGCTAAAAGCTGCACTGACTGGACAGTTTACACAGAGTAGTAGGGGCATGATGTGAAGCCGATCTGCGAATCTCAGCACATTATGTTAGCTGACCAATCAGAGCCTTTTGGAGGGCAGCCCTTTCTGAGGAACTATAAAATTTGACAGGCGTTCTCATGTTAGCTGAGTAGCTGTATATAATCAAAGTAAAATATATTTAAAAAATAACGTGATTTTCTACAAGTGAAGCATAAACACACATTGCTTTGCATCTTATAAACCCAACCAAGCCTTAAAAATACACTCTGGAACACCCATTTAAACAATGTTAATTATCATAGAAAAGGGAGCAATCCATTTCCGTAGAAATTCATAGAAAATTTTAGAAATACTATTGATGTTAATTAACTCACCCATTTTTCTAAATGTTTTTCACTGAATTCAATTGAAGAACAAAACTCAAAGGTTCGCAACTGATAACAATGTTTTGTTTTTTGGGAAATTAACCTTTTTTTCTTAAATTCAGGTAATCTGAAAATGTTATGTGTTCAGTCTGTCAAAGCAAACCTTTTTTTGGTGTAAAAGTTACTGTCAGCGTTTAACAAAGATACACTGTAAAACATATTCACTAATAGGAACACTTACATTTTTTATATCCATTTGTACGTGTTTTTAAACTTAAGTGTTAAGCTACCATATTTATTAGGGGGAGGAGGCATGGAGGGGTTTTGCGCTCGTGCACGTGCGCTCAGTTTCACGTCAAGTCGGATGTACAAAGAGAATATGCGCGGGATTCAGCGTATCCAGTGTTTCATACATCTGAATCTTTTACTGCGTACGCACATTTACAGCTTCGTGCGTGCGCAATGTTTAAGTATGAATTCAACGAAAGTCTTCGTACACGAGGCCCCAGGTTATTCGTTCATTCATTTTCCTTAGTCCCTTTATTCATCAGGGGTCGCCACAGTATGAACCGCCTTGTCATCCAGCATATGTTTTACATTTACACAGTGGATGCCCTTCCGGCTGCAACCCAGTACTGGGATAACCATCAGATTAATTGAGTTCATTTCTATTAAAATGAACATATTTTGAATACTGTTAGGAGCCATAAAATCTAAAGTACTTCGGAAATCAAGTAGGAAATAAAATACTTAGGAAATCAATGGCTACTAGTTTCCAGCATTCTTCTATATCACTTCTTTTGTGTTAACAGAACTTTTGTGTTTTTTGTTTGTTTGTTTTTAGGGGTCTTTAAATGTACAGCATGGAACCAGATGTCAATTTGGATATAAACAGAATATTTTATTGTTTCGCATATTGTTTTCATATATAGCTAAATTAAAAAGGCTGGAGTCCATTCTGTAATATAAATGACTCACTGCCTGTGAGAACAAGAGCTTATCCACGATCCTGCTGTGTTTTAACACTGGAATTAACATTCGGCTTCCAACCGACCACAAAATTCCCAGAAATAAGATAATCGTCAGAATCTACCATAACTGAAACGCCGTTGATCCAGGTTTTATTGGTTTTCCTGAGTCAGTCTTGCAGCAGAAAAACGCAATCCCTTGCTGGAACTCGGCCTTTGGAGCAAAGTTCAGATTTAAGACTTTTAGCAAAGTAATAATGACTCGACACTTAGGCTTTCTTTGAAAGACAAAGCATGGAAGTCATTCATTCATAATGCAATGATGTAATTCCCCCTTATAGGTTACCTATGGTGGATTCTTTTACCTTGGAGGATACAGACAGGCCTGGTATTCATTATGATATGAGGACCAACAAGTATAGGACCATCAGTAATTTTTGACCTTTTGCGCACATCTCCATGAGGAAAAGCACTCATAAATCGTCAAGAATTAAGTATATTGAAAACGTGCAGAATCTTTTATGTAAGGGAAAGGTTTGTTTAGGTGTGGAGTTGAGGGAAGAGGACAGAATATACAGTCTGTACAGTTATAAAAGCCAGTACTTCTATTGGAAGTCATCATATAGATTAAATAGAGAGAGAGCATGTTTGTTTGTTTGTGTGTGTGTATGTTTTTGTGACATTACAGGACACATGTATAATGACATAGGTCTTACAAGGAGAGAATGTCCCCACATTAAACTAAAACAAACCCGTCTGTGTGAGCATGTGTGTGTGTGGCTCTGGCTCAGTGTCTGTCAGCATTACCTTTATCATTGTAACGGCCACCTGCTCTGTCTCTTTGTACAGTAGGTCTCTCGTCTTCTGTTCTTTCAGTGCTTTATCTGTATCGGAAATCCAAGAACGAGAGAGGAAGGAAGAGACTGGACGAATGTATATACAGTAGGTTGTAGTTCAATGCGGTTCTCACAGTTCCATGAGAATAATTTTGAGATTACTATGAAATTATTTGGGTTCAAATGCATTTCTCTCAAGACACCGGAAGTAAACAAATCAGTGAACATATTGTTAATTGATAAATGTGATTAAATGATTTTAGTTAGGACTTCACAAACAGTGCTGGGTAGTGACTTGCTTTTACATTTGTATTGCTTAACTGGATTTCAAAAGCTGTAATTAGATTGTAGTACATTTTAAAATATGCGCTGTTATAAAAAATAAAAAAATGTCTCATGATATATGACTTATGAGCAGTGATCAAATAATTAATCATTTATTGGTTCTCCCTAATTCTTTATAATATTTAAGTCTTATATAAGTCTTTTTTTAATATTAAAATAATTTAAATGAATTACCCTTTTATTGTTTTGTTAAAAAGCATTTATTTCATTTTATACATTTATTTGATATATTTTCAATTAACATATGAATTAAATCATTAGCTTTTAAGAAATGAATGAAATCCCCAATGCTCTTTTTTTTTTAACTCATTAATGCACTTAATGCTGCTGATAAAGAATGGACTACATTTTTATTCTATTTCTATATACTCTATTCTATTCTATTATTGTATAAAACTGAGAGCAGATTAATAATAACTGATTTATTTTATCTTTGCCATGATAATATTTGTCTAAACATTTTTTAAGATACTTCTATACAGCTTATAGTGACATTTAAAAGCTTAACTGGGTTAATTAGGTTAACTAGGCAGGTTAGGGTAATTAGACAAGTTACTGTATAAAGATGGTTTAATCTGTAGACTATCGAAAAAACTAAATTAACTTAAAGGGAATAACAAATTTTGTCCTTAAAATAGCGGTTAAAAGTTTTTAAATCTGCTTTTATTCTAGCTGAAATTAAACAAATTTATTTCAACCAAAACTGTTTGTGTGTTGTGTCTGTGCGTGCGCAAACCTGCCAAAACGACGTTGTCCATAGTCACTACATCGAAAAGTTACGAATTGCTGTGAGATTGCGTTGCACTCTCAGCTCACAACATTCAAAAGAAAAGGTCCACATTGTCCCCCGATAATGTCAACAGACTGGACTGTTTTAGCAACTAGCTGAATGTAAATTGTTTCTACATTATAATTAATGTTCTCAACTCACAGCAATACAACTTTACAGTAAGTGCAACTGTTTGTATTCAATACTTTATTATTATCATTTTCCATATCTGCAATGCCTGTATTTTGGCATTTTTTTTTTTGCAGTCCACTTAGAATCCAACTTGGAAATATTTTTTTTTTTATTGGCAATGATTGTTTTAAAATGTCATTAACATGCCTGTGTTTTAATTTCTGTAATAAATATAGCTGTCAAGCCAGGATCTTGATGGTTTATTGTGGGTATGTTGTTTACATGAAGAAATCTGTGTTAAAAGTCAAACAAAAATTCTAATAAACAATTATATCTTGAATTTAAATAGTTTTTATTTTGCGTTTACAATAATTTTACATTTGAATAGCCAAAATTACAAGTTTCAGTCTTTAAATATATATATAATTAATACTTATATATACTTTTAAATATATATATAATTAATACTTATATATTCATATTTTAATTTTGTGTCTTTCGTAATGCATGTGTGTGAGTGTTGTACATAATAAATACAGCACACACTGTATATTTAAAGCTAACATAATATAAAACTGTTTTTGAATGTGATTAATAATTCACAATTTCATCTAGATGCATGGACAAAAAAAACAAGCAGTCTAACATTAAAAATACATCCACTTGTGTTTCATAGTCATCTGGGTTTTAACGATGGTAAATGGTTTTCATTTTAAAGCATTCCATATATTAAAAAAGAAATATGTGCTTTGTGTTGCTCTTTGCTTTCCTCTGTTTGGACACTTTAATTAAAGATGATTGCTTCCAGCACACTACATGAGTGGTGTGTGTGTGTCTGTGTGTGTGTGTGTGTGTGTGTGTGTGTGTGTGTGTGTGTGTGCGTGCGTGTGTGTGTGTGTGTGTGTGTGTGTGTGTGTGTGTGTGCAGAGCTAATAAAGAACAGATGGTAGACAAAAAGCCTCCTCACCCAGAAGTACAATTACACAATCAAAGCTTCATATGTACGTCTCCCCTGCTCTCTTGTGTCAAAAAACAACAACAATGTGTGTATAAAACAACAATAAACAATCATTTTTACCAGCAACTCCACCTGTTTTCCGTAAATATGCTGTAGTTCCATCCTAATTGCTGCATCCAGTAAGTAAAACCTACTATAGCGAAGCTGCTTCTCATGAATATTAATCAAATGACGTGACGTACACCATACCGATTGGCTGATATCAAGAAGATTATAAATAATCAGGCGGGTGACGTCGAGCTACTCAATATTACTTAAGTCTCTTGACCAGTCATTGCTCTTGACGCCACAGTCAAGGAGGGTTTCTAAGCAACGTAGCTATGCTCTAATTAATATTAATAACATATTCATAATCTTATCACATCTGTTAACATGACCTTAGGTGTATATATAAATGTGTGTACGTCTTGCTTATTAGCGCCCAATCAGGTTTGACAGGAGTGACAATGAGCCAATCGCTGCTCGGATGGGGCGGGGTTTGGTCTCACGCTCACAGTAGGAAATGAACGGTTTTACCTCAGCCTGTAGTTACCGACATGTGCGTGTTAGAAAGTTATACAACAGTTTACAAGGTAAATGTCTTGCGCTGGTTACAGGTTATGCGAGGGGTACCAGAGTCCGGCTGAACCGCGGGGAGGATGACAAGCGATATGGAGCCGATAAAGAAAGATGCCAAAAGCAACCCCTCAGCCTCGGCTAATCTCTTCTCGCAGATATTTTTCTGGTAAGTCAAGTTTTATAATGCCCCTAAGGCAGGGGGGAAGAGTATTTTGTGTTTCCACTGAAGTAAAAACAAAGAAAGAAAGAATGTTTGCTCTTGTTTATAATAATGTACATCTTCTGAAACTAAAGACAACCATAATTAGATGATGTGAAGTGTTTTTTCTGTCAGTCGTGTCTAATCTATGGCTTTGTTAAACTGGGAAAGTTGGTCCTAAACTTTCCCAAGAGCTTCTACAACATTTATATATATATATATATATATATATATATATATATATATATATATATATATATATATATATATATATATATATAACAGTGAAAATGCTACTTTTTCTTGCTTATGTATGTTCATTTGAAGGCAAAGAACATTTCTTTTGTACTTTTTAAGTTTTTAAACATTTCCTAGTGCTGGGTTGTGACATATGCTGGATAAGTTGGCGGTTCATTCCTCTGTGACCATCCCTGATTAATAAAGGGACTAAGCTGAACAGAAAATGAATGAATGAAAGTTTTGGGTTTTATTATGATTTTTTTCCACATCAAACGTACCGTTTTCTATGTGAACATAATTTAAAATATATCATAATTTAATTATAATCATGTAAATAAAAAGCAGATTGTCACAACATTCTGTAGAAATTGTAATATTAAAATAATATACAACTGCACTAAAAACCTCTTTATTACAAGATATTAGCTTTGAAAATGCAGTGACTGCCTGCAAGTGACAGGACAAAACACGACTCTAAACCAGGGCTCAGCAATCCTGTTCCTGAAGAGCTACCTTTCTGGAGATTTCAGTTGCAACCCTGAACAAACACACCTGTCTGTAATTATTAAGTGCTGCTTCAGGTCCTATTAATTGGTTGAGGTGCTTTTGGCTGAATTTTGCAGGAAGGTAGCTCTCCAGAGTTGGTGACCCCTGCTCTAAACCATAAGTCTCAAACTCAATTCCTGGAGGGCCGCAGCTCTGCACAGCTTTGCTCCAACCACCTCCAACTCACACCTGCGTAATCTCTAGTGCTGCGTCCGAAACCGCATACTTCCATATGTACATGTATAGTACGCTAAAATCAGTATGTGAGCCGAGTAGTATGTCCGAATTCATAGAATTCGAAAATCAGTATGCGAGAAGTACCCGGATGACTTACTACTTCCCGCGAGATTCTGAAGTGCGCATCCCATGCACGCTGCGCTATCCCATGATGCCCCGCGAGCGAATTCATGAATGGGAGTGAAGCGACGCAAATGACGCAGGTAGGTCGCGTGACCATGACAAAATGGCGGATGTAGTATGTCCGAATTCCATTCATACTTTTCACATTCATACTGTATAGAACGTACTTTTCTAACGGCCGAGTAGTACGTTTCCATTCAAATGCAGTACCTACTGAGTAGTAGGCGGTTTCGGACGCAGCCTAGTAGTCTTGAACACCTTGATTAGTTGGATCAGCTGTGTTTGATTACGGTTGGAGCAAAACTATGCAGAGCTGCAGCCCTCGAGGAATTGAGTTTGAGATCTATGCTTAACACTTTGAATTAATGACTGAAAGATGTCCAAATTAGGGGCTGCATGATATTGGTAAAAATCTAACATTGCAATTTTTTTTATTCTGCGATATGAATACAATTTCACTTAGATGAGATAAATTTATCATTTTAGATTGAAAAAAACACTTGCGAAATTATAATCCAGACTCAACGTTGCATATACTAGCGATGTGACTATTGCGAATGATCACATTGATATTGATGCTGAAATGATATATTGTGCAGCCCTAGTTCAAATAATATATTTTTCTGGATTTTAAAATAAAACTATCCACAGCATACCTTAATTATAAAAGCTTTTGCACTTGTGCATTACTTTAAATTCGTAGATATGAAAAAAAAAAGAGTATCTTCATGGACAGTTTGTTCCACATGGACATTGAAATCCATTCATTTGGCTGCAATATCAGTGGTTTTTAGGTTTTGTTTGACTTTTAGGAACACTCAGTTGTTGACTCTTGATTATTATTTATTATTTCGCAAGTGTTCTTTGATGCTTGTGACTGTGAGGCTTTTAAAAGCATTCAGGCCTAAAAAAAGTATCATTTGTAACTTTTAAGAAATTAATAACGATTAATTTGAAATTGTTTATAAAAGAAAGACTATTGTGTTTTCCGCAGGGTCTTAAAATGACCTCCATTTCAGAACCTAAAATTAAGGCCTTAAAAAGTCCTAAATTTACTGACATATTGTGTTGTAAGTCTTAAACTGTTTTTAACAGGTCTTATTTTTTCCCTAAGTAAAGCTACGCAATTTGGGCCAATATCCATCTAATAACCAACAACACATCTCAAAACCTTTATTTATTTTTAAGTTTTTAATTGCAAAGTGAGTTCATAACAGCTGTTAGACATGTTTACAGCAAATTCCCCAAATTAAATTCTCTAATCAGAGGAAAAAACTAAAAACAATTACAGGAATCCTCATGATAATACTGGGCCATTAGAATTTTTTTAACCCTGTATAAGTCTAAAATTTAATTCTTTATGATCTTAAAAGGGTCTTAAAAAGTCTTAAATTTGAGTCCATGAAATCCGCAGTAACCCTGGACTATACAGTATAGGTTGTTTTCAATCACGTGGTTCTGGTGATGCGCGTAAAAAACTAAATGGGAGACATAGAGGAAGGATGGCGATTTATACCATGTTCTAAAGGAGATGATATGAATAGAAAATAGCCACATATGTTGGGCATGATCCTTATATCATGGTCCGAGTTTTCTACTCTACTCAAATATATTTGCTTGTACTTCATAAGCTATTACGTTACATAAAAAATACTATAGTAAATACTATAGTGTTTTGAAGTTTACTTTAGATAATTACTTGACTTAAACTATCATAGTAATTATATAGTTGCTGTCGTACGACACAACTGTAGTAATAAACTAATTTTTCTATAGGTTTCAGTTTTCTACGTTATTTAATTATACACCATCACAATGCACCACAGTTTACACTAACGTTACAGCATTTATCTCAGTTTATCAGTTTACTATGCTAGAGTGTTCTGTAGCATTCATTAACAAAATGTTGTACACATTAATCACGTCACTATGTGGTGCAAAAACATGTTTATTATAAATTACTATAGTCTTTCACCATGTGGATATCTTCCAGACATCTCGAAATAACAGATGAAAGCATACAAAAGCCTGGACACATCGTCTACATTATTATTCGTTTATTTTTGTAACTGGGAAAAGTCCTTCGCAATAATAATCATTTAATTTTGTCGCAAGGGCTGCATTTTTTTTTGTTTGTTCTGTCGATGTTTATGTTACGGTGTTTATTGTGCCCAAACGCCAGTAAAGACTTGGATTATTGTAAAACAAGATTGATATTTTATTGGAGGGTATACGTTATTTATATTCTCCTGGATTTTGTATAAGTGTGCTGGTGTTTGTATCGGATTTTTATCTATCACATTAACATATAATACACATAGCTAGGCCTGTTTTATATAATTATTGGTGCTGTCTAGGGTTGTAACGGTATGAATTTTTTACGGTATGATAATCGTAAAAAACAATACCACGGTTTGACGGTTTCGCGGTATACGGTATTAAATAGTAATTCTCATAGCAAAGACCCTGAAAACAACAAGAACACGTTTTCTGACTGAACAAAGGTTTTTCTATGGGGGAAAAAAATGCATTTATTTACTGACAATGTATCTGCCCAAAAGGTCTGGGAATGAACAAAACAGAAAAAAAGTGTTACAAAATAATAGAACAGTGAAGCAAATTTGACTTTTTCCAAATAATATATTTTCAGTTACTATAAACAACACCACTTACAATGAACAAATAAAAAAATAAGAAAATAAGAAATAATGTGTCAAAGTCCAAATAAACATGGTGCAAATCCTCAGTAAAAAATAGATATAAATATTTACTATACTATAAATAGTTACATAACGAAACTAGATTTAATATGGAACATCCTTAGGTTTTATGTGCCAGCATGGATATGGTAGTCTGTGGATATGGATTTGGATATGGTTGTCTGCAATGCAGACAAACAGCTGCACCTTCATTTGCGTCTTTTGAAAACAGCAAGAGCAGCAGTTCGTCTTTGCTGTGTCACTGTTTTGTCATGTTTCTGTGCTGCTGTGGATGCAAAAGTACTTAGTATGAGAATTATTTCATGCAAAACTTTTTTTTTTTTGCGTTTTATTTAGCCGCGCATAAATGTATATCTCTCATTCCGTGTTGTTCAAAAAGCTCAGTGTTGGTCCACAAACAAAAGTGAAACCTATGCTTATTGGTTGTGATATAGCGAGTTTGAACCAATCTGGGTATGGAGGAGGGACAATGCATCAATGTATCATGTCTGGTTTGTCCGGAGACACAGTGACGAGCCTTTCTTTGTCAAATCAGCGTTGTCAAATTTTGATGACGTAACCGCACTGATTCCGGAGCCTCTGAAAGTCCGCGTTATGTGATACAGCACTGGAAAGCTGAGATTCTCTTCTTTATGCCAATCTTTGAATTGTATGAATCGGATCAGCGGATCAAAAGTTATTAAACATTTAAGAGCAATACTTATTTTTAGCCGCGGGCGGCTGTCTCGGTCTTTAAGGGTTAAAACCGTTGATATGCAATTGTTCATGGTATGATAATCGTGCACGTTCAAATCGTGGTAGACCGTCATACCGGTATATTGTTACAACCCTAGTGCTGTCAAACTAATTATCGCGTTCAAAATAAAAAGCTTGTACACATGGATGTATTAAATAAATGTTTATTACATGCCGCCTTTTCCTACGTTTTCAAGCCAGTTTCTTGAACTTTCCCCCTTTTATGAGCAAACACTTTGGAAAGTCCATAAAAGCTATTTGGTATTTATCATTTTGGCCAATTTAAACAATTATAAACAATATAAAACAGAAACATTTTGATGTTCTTATAGCGATTTCTATTTAGAAGAACCACTTTCTGCCCTCCATCTGAGTCTTGCGTGTCATTATTAGCTATGTTTCCATCCAAAAAAACTGGATTATTGCATAAAAGACATGCGAATAAAGCAGCGTTTCCATCCAACGAGTCAAAGCGAACAAAATCGGCAGTTCCTGATTAACTAGCGCCAAATATTAACAATAAAAATGGAATTTGCTGCAGTAGGAGAAGCTGCGTCAATCTTTTTCTTCATCTAATAAATGACTTGTGCCTCAGAAAGCAATCCTGACACGCTGTGAGCGCGCAGTGGCGTTTGAAGGTGTCAGGCACGGAGCACAGATGCTCTTGATTCTGGAGGTCATTAATAATATAATAACACTAATACTGAAACGGTAAGGTGTTTTAGAATGACCGAAACAACAGTTTAGATGGTTTACAGTGTGCTCAGCCTGCTGGTTTGTCCATTCACACACATTTTCATCATCACATGATCTCTGATAACAAAATCACATGACCTTTTTTAATGCGCATACTGAAATTTGTGCGATAAAAGTGTTTTTCATCTCAGTTTATGCACATCTTTACCTATTGAGTAAAAAGTTTATCCTACTCAGTTATGCGCATAAGTTTTTTATGCGCATTTTCAAAATTTATGCGCATCATGCCGTTGCCATCAGCCGTTTTTTTATGCACTTATGCAAAATGCGCATAAAAATAGGTGGATGGAAACATAGCTGCTGACGTCATGTGAAAACAACCTATTATTTTACATTTGATTATTCAATTATTGTATACCTGAATACATTTTGACTCAATAATAAAATGCTGTATATTCAATTAGCATATTTTTCTTTATTGAATTGATCTGTTTGTAGGTTGTTTCTTATACAAATATTGTGCTCAGTAAAATAAATATTACACTTATTATACTATACTTAATGTGCTCAGGTGCTATACAAATACACTTGAATTATATTTTATGCACATCCCTACCGGATCTACCCAATCAAACTCAAATCACAGATTCTTTACAAACATTTATTCAACTCATCTTGTGAAATGTATTCGTATTGCAATATATATCGCAAAATGCTAAAATATTGCAATGTGTAATTTTTCTAGTATTGTGCAGCCCTACTTACCTGCATGCATGTTTGTGCTTTTTCACTATCACTTGAACATGTGGTTTAAATGCTTTAGGCCACTGTCATCACTCATCAATAATTCAGCATGCACATTTAAAGCTTTATGTTGATTCTCTTCCCCTTTATCATCAGCTGGCTGAATCCTCTTTTCAGTATCGGATCTAAGAGGAGACTTGAGGAGGATGACATGTTTAATGTGCTTCCGGAGGATCGGTCAAAGAAACTCGGGGAGGAGCTGCAGAGGTGAGTGAACCGCTGGGAATAAAGCGACGCAAGAACAGGTTGTTCTCAAATAAACCCTCAGAGAGTCCACCCGTGAAATGTGAGAACGCTGCAGTTCCCATTAGGTGTCGAGCTCGTGATGGTCTCCACTGGTTTGTGCAAGCTGTGCATTATGCAATGTTGAGCTCTTGTGAAAATCTCTTAAATCATTCACACATTTATTATGCATGCACGGTGAAAGGGTCACTAAGCTTCCATTGAGATTAGTAATGCGAACAAACTGTACATATTTACTAAAGTATTTATTATTCTTTGATAATGTTACTTGGTTTATATTAACTCAGTGAGTTAACCAAAGTTAATACGTTTTTCTGAAATACTTGATTCTGATTAGTCAATTACAACATTTATAAGGTATGTTCCTCCCAGAGAACAACTGAATTAATAATAATAATAATAATAAAAATAATAAATTTATTTGCATATATCGACATTAAAGCTTAATTTTCAAAATACTTTAAGCTTTTAAAATACAGAGATAAAACAAATAACACAAGCTCATACAGGTTTTTGGAGTCCTAACCATTAGAGAATTTTTCATATAACAAACTATGTACATATTTACTAGAGTATTTATTACTCCTTGTTAACATTAGTTAAAGATATTTCAGCCATTCATTGTTAGTCCTTATTAATGCACAGTGAGTTAACTAACGTTATTACATTTTTCTGAAATACTTAATTCTGATTGGTCCGTCATGATATTCCAAGGTATGTTATTCCCAGATAACAACCACTGAAGAAATAACAATAATAAATGTATTTGTATATACAGTAGCACCATTAAAGCTTAATTTTCAAAACACTTAAAAAAATACTATATAATTAATAAATATATAATTAATAACAAAGACTTATGCAAGTCTTTGGAATCTTCCTATTTGCGCTTAAATAGCCACGTGAACATTTAAGTTTGCTCGCTTCATTTGCGCGTCAAACCCCGCTTTAATCGATACGTTTAGGGCCGTGTCTGAGTCCACTAGATCCTTTCTGAGGTGCATCCGTCTCTGTGAGCTCCTAAACTCCTGCAGAAACTTAACCTGGATAATGGAGGATTTCAGCGGTGCTTCTGACTCAGCTGAGCCCAGTTTGATGAACTGTCGTCGGTGTCGACCATACCTGCCAACACTCCCATTTTACCCGGGAGTCTCCCGTTTTTCAGACCCATCTCTCGTATTGTTCTGTCTCCTGGAATTCCGGGATAAGCGCGTAAAACGTGCAAAATGTTTTCTGTTCAATACTTCATATAGAAAGATGAGACGCTTTTCAAACGGCTTCCTCATTTTTGTTTTGGTTTTGTTATTGAGATAGTCACACAGCCCATATTTACATATTTATCTAGATCTAAACCTCAGGAGAGAGGGTGGCATTGGGATGTTTCCTAAACCAGGAAAGGTATTGCAAATGTCTTTTTACCCAAATAATAATAATATTTTTTAAAAAGAAAGAAAAAGTATAATGTTCCCTTTAGAGATGCAGTGAAACAAATCTTCACAAACTACACAATTTCATGATGTTATTTCAATATTTAAAACGTTTTTTTGTATGCTGGTACTTTGTGGAACCAGGCCACAAGGGCACGTGATTTAAATGGTTATACTGTTATATATACGGAGCAGAGCTCTTGGCAGAGGCTACAGAGAGCAGGATGGAGGGTGTGTGAGGTTAACTTAATGCTCCCTCTGCTTTTCCTGCTCACTTTCATTTTGAACTACACTAAAAACGAGCCTACAGGCTACTCATTTTGAGAAGTAGTAAACTGAAGTAAAACTACTTTAAAGAATAGTTAAGTACAGTACATTTGTTTATGCATGTATTAATGATATATTAATGTAATTATAATAAACATCTATCTATCTGTCTATCTGTCTATCTATCTATCTATCTGTCTATCTATCTGTCTGTCTGTCCGTCCGTCCGTCCGTCCGTCCGTCTGTCTATCCGTCCGTCCGTCCGTCCGTCCGTCCGTCCGTCTGTCTATCTATCCGTCCATCTATCCATCTATCCGTCCATACATCCGTTCGTCTATCTATTCTTATGTCCATCCATCTATCTATCTGTCTATCTGTCTGTCTCTCCGTCCGTCCGTCCGTCTATCTATCTATCCATCCATCCATCCATTTACCATCTCAAATAAATCCACTTTGTGTGAGTAAACAGTGTATTTTTTTAAATAAAATTATTGAATCTTTTAAATTGCTTTGTAAAAAGTTAGAATACAGTTAAATTTATGCAGTTAATAACAGTAATTAAAACTAATATTAGTAATACAAATAATACAATATTTTAGGGCTAAACTATGGTAATTGAATAGCCTTTTAATGTGCCCTAAGATTATTTTTTTTAAATCTAAAAATCCCTGACAATTATTTTTTGATATGTAAAATTTTATACTTAATGGTATTGTATTTTATTACATGGAAGTAGGTCATCAGTCTTTGTAAACCTGCATTTAATTACAATTTTATTATATCTTTCTTTTTACTGTTGGTTTGCAAATGTTTTGCTTTTGGCTTCTGAGGAATGTAACATTTTGTGTTTTGCATAAAATTCAAATACTATTTCAGAATTGTTATTTAGCATTACTTTTAAATCAGCATTTATGAAAGCTTCGTAATAGCTTTTGCAGTTATTATAAAGTTATTACTATTTATTGCGTTTCGGGTACAGAGTGATCCCCTCAACTCATGAAATTGCATTTAAACATTTGTAGATAAATAATCTTATCTCTATCCAAGTTAATATGTGTTTAAGGTAAATATTTGTATCTGTTTGTTTATTCCCTACTAATCAAACACATGGCCTGTCTACTTTGCGGCCCCTTTTTACAGTCCAGTAAATTCCTTATCAGTACTTCAAGTTTAAAGCTTTGTCATAATTGATTTCCACTAATAGTTTTATTGAGAAATGATCTCTTCACAGAATAAAATACAGACATTGTACAATCCAAATTTCATAGTTGTCATTTGTTCTCTCAGTCACGATTTTACATATTGTAAACTAAATCACCAAGTATGATTAGCCATTCATATTGATGTTCTTTTTTTTCTTCACCTTGAGGTTTTATTACATAAGAACAGATAAGCAGATAAATTATTTGCAGCACAGTGGAGAAAACCCGCTGATAATCAGCCGTAAAAGTTTTTATCTCCAGCCATGAAAGCGTGGAAATTAATGACAGCGAACACAATCCTGTCATTCATTAAAAAGCACCTCCACACACACTGTTTCTCCAGCCTCTAATCATGCACTTTTAAATGAATCAGTGCTGGTTCATTTAGCTCAGAGCTCGGGGCCATGACACTCATTTCTGAAGCTTTTATTGCCAGCAGCAGCTCAATGGGGCCGAGACGTAAACACTGATGTTCTGCCTTCAAGTAAACTGTTGTTTGCAGATGTAGAATTTACTGCCGGAAGTCACTGTTGGGGAAACAGCAGCCAAATTGAAAGAGCGCTTGAATATTTTACCTGGTTTGGCTAAAAATGTGCTCCCACTTTATTTTAAGTGCCTTTAACTACTATAAACTTAATATACAAATTAATAATGGGTACAATTATGGCTGCAGAACGTGATTATATAGTTGAACAGGTACAACAGTTACGAACACAATTTTTTGGGAGTAATTTCAGTTTAAAGTGAAACTTTTATAAGGTAAAAGCTTATCAACTGCATGCTTTTAAACCATCGAGTACTTTTTTGAGATTCTCACAAAGCATGAATTAAGACAACGTTAGCACCTGTTAGCCTTATTTGTGTTTAAAAGTGGATTAGTTTTGAGCTTTTGTCATCTAATTTCATCTTTTTGGTTTAAAATCATTAAAATCTAGTTACGGTAATCTAGCCTAGAGGTCATAAAAGCATGTACTTCAGTAGTTTTTCTGCGTCTGAGAAAGATGGCATTATGTGAAATTTTATTAGTTGTTTGTGTTTTTAAGACCTGTGACTGTGTGAAACATTCTAAGCAATTTTGAAGCATTTGACCGCAAAGAATTATTACATTTGTAGCTTTAACAAAGATTAATCATTTTTAATCATTTATACAATGAAGGCTGTGCAGCTTTATTGTACATTTTTGAATCTTTAATACTGCTAGACTCCTTCATTTGTTGTTTGTTTATTAAATTTGATGCATATTCACTCCCCTACAGAATCACCCGAATCAATCTAAAATTATTAACTCTTTCCAAATAGAACTATTCAAGTTATGTTGTGAAGTATTGCAATATAATTCGCAGAAATTCAAAATACCGCAATGTAGGTTTTTTCCTAATATCTCTAATAAGCTCTAGAGATAATGTTCTTATTCCTATGTTCTGTTGCAAAATACTTTTGTTTGTTCTTGGGTGGGATACGGTGAAGGTTTGAAACCGGTTTACTGGTTTGGTTTGAGGCAGCAGTATGTTTTTAACAGGTAGCAGTTACAGTTGAATAGCATGCAGGTTTTTACTAACGTTAAAATGCAAAAGAGAGTTTTGAGTCTAGTTATTTAAATGTTAGTACATAGTAGCTGATAATGTTTACCCCTTTATCTAGTGAAGAACCATATAAATTAACCTCACTGACCTTTATTTGCAAGATAATTTCATTTTGGGTCATAAAAGTTCAAGAGTCTTGTAATAACCCTTAACAACACTCCAGGGTTTTTCCAATGAAATGCGTGTAGTGGCGTATAAATGGTGAATGTAAAGGTAGATCCAGAATCTTTTGGCTTTTTTTATGCATTTCTTTTGTGCTTTGAATGCTACTTATGATGCGTTTTATATAGTCTGTAGACTTACCTAATTGTGTTACACTCAAATAAAAGATTTTTGCTGCTTCTTCAAACTATTTATTTAAAATGAGCTGAATCAACACAATTCTTGAGTTCTTTGGGGAACAACTTAACAATTGTATGTTCAATCCACTTACATTTGTAAAAACAATTAAGTTAACAGACTCAGAGTTTGCAAGTTTTCCTTGTGTTTCCTTTTGGTGCTCCAGATTTCCCAACAGTCCAAAGATATGCGGTACAACTGAATTGAATAAATAAAATTGGCCATAGCGTATGTGTGTGGATGAGTGTGTATGGATGTTTCACAGTACTGGTTTGCAGCCGGAAGGGCATCCGCTGCGTAAAACACAAGCTGGAATAGTTGGTGCTTCATTTCGCTGTGGCGACCTGATGAATAAAGGGGTTAAGCTGAAGGAGAATTAATGAATGAATGTATGAAGTTAACTAAATCAATTTGTGTTGAGGCACTATAGAGGAATTATGTGGAACCCAGCAGTGTTTTTACAGTGTACCTGTTCACCAGCTGGCCCTTGTGATCCAGGAGTGCAGTCCGTTTAAGCTGTGTAATAAATAATAAAGATTTATTTACCAAACAAAGACACAAATTGACAGATTTAATAACAGTTTGGCATTTTAAAAACTACTGACAGGACCTAAGAAAGACACACTATTTAGTGATGAGTGGGTAAGGACAGTTAATTTGGCAGCTGTCCATATTTCGTATGCGTTTATACAGTATAAGCTTCCCTTTTAGATGGTAATTTGCTGGTTTTTGAACCTGTAAAAGGGTGAAAGCATGCCATTTGTAGTGGATCAGAGACTCCGATACTCCTATTAATTCGTATTTAAGTAAACTGTATTTTAATATTATATAACCATGTCAGTAATGGTGTATTTATATTATCATAATATAGTTGTATTTTTAATTGTTGCATAATTCATATAATGTGCTTGTTGAGTAAATACAGAGGTTTTTTTTTAGTTTTTTTTTTTTTATAAAACAAGATTTTAACTTCATGTTTTATGTATATTATACATGTCAAAAGTACATTATCTGTCCCTGAAATAAAAAAAATACAAAGAATAAAAAGTATTTCATCCCAAAAATGTCTAATCAATGGCTTGATGGTTGATTTCGGTGAGTTGTTCTGTAAAGAAAAATGTCATTCATAAAAACACTTTACAAATGTACAAACTCTGTCATTGTCCTCGTCCTCAGCCCAATTGAACTTACAGCTTTAATAGTTTTGTCATGCTGTTATTTAGTAAAAAAACTTCAGAATTAGCAAGTTTAAGTTGTGATCCCTTTAAAAATCAGCCATGTTCACTGCCTGTTTGATATATGATATAAAGTGGGTCTCAGGTCGCACAAGAGTCACTGCGTTAAATTCATTTTACCCCCTGTCGTGTCTTTAAAATAGGACAGTTTATTTCACCCCAGTATTTTCAATGGAATTTCTGCACTAGCTTGTTGCTACCGACGGTGCTAGTGGTTACAACGCTCTTTCATTTCATTTTATGCTTGAACAACTAAATGAATGCTCTAGTCTATTGAACTGAATGTATTTTAATTACAACATCCATGCTGTAAAAACAAGTTTGTGTAATTGCAAATACTCACATTAAACTTTCTCCAGAAATTTATCGTTGGCTTTAAAACTCTAGCTGTGTATAGAGCCCATTGTCCCCAACTTTCGGTCAGTCCTGTCACATTTGCATTAAACGAAGCATAAAATGCGTGCAATACACCTTTAAGGCTTTGACTCAGAGAAGCTGACAGTGATCAGGGATGCGTTCTATCATAGAATTGCATGATTTTATGCTTGTTTTTGCATGATTTTGTTAGGACGACAAGGTCAAGCCTTGTCAAATTTTTTATAAGTGAAAATTAATGTTTGTAGTAGAATGTCCTATCTATCACAGTTGTCAAACTCAGTTCCTGGAGGGCCGCTGCTCCGCATAATTTAGCTTAAATTACCTCCAACACACCTGCTTAATAATCTCTAGTAGTCTTGAACACCTTAATTAGTTTAATCAGCTGTGATAAGCTTTGATAAGGGTTGGATTAAAACTGTGCAGAGCTGCAGCCCTCCGGGAATCAAGTTTGAAACCTATGGTTTAGTTCCTACCCTAATTAAACACACCTGATCAAACTGATTGAGTCCTTTAGGCTTGTTTGAAACCTACAGTTAGGAATGTTGAAGCAGGGTAGGAACTAAACCATGCAGGGAAGTGACCCTTCAGGAACTAAGTTTGACCCCCCTGCTGTGTCTAAAAATGATGGGCAATGACAACAGATTACAGTGGAATAGTTTAGACCCTGTCTGTCAAAATAATGAATGATGTGAAAGTCTAACAACCTCTCGTCTGAATGCTGAGGTCATCATGGTGTTTTATGATGACATAACATGGGTAATACACTGATTTGCAATGTTTTATGACATCCTTTTTCTCTTTGTTCATACAGTATGTGCTTGTCAGCATTTTAATTTAGTAGCCTTACTCGTTGACTTTTTCTATCTCTCCACATTTACAGCTACTGGGACCAAGAGAAGGAGAAAGCAGCCAAAGAACTCAAGACCCCAAAACTCACGAAAGCCATTATCAGGTGCTACTGGAAATCTTATGCAGTTCTGGGAGTGTTTACTCTTATTGAGGTACGTTCTGAACTGGAACTAACACCTATCTGTATGTCTTGGTAAATGGTACAGAAAGGGAAGACCAAGAAGTTTTTTTGTGGTTATTGGACATCTCATGTATTGATGCAACATTTTAGTTTAATTTTTAACCCATATATATGTGGCTGATCGATGATACAGAACATCTTATAAAATCTGTTGATGATTCATTGTCTTTATGGGAATCAGCTGAAGTGTTGTTCAAACAGTTTTATCAGCATTTGTAGATGATTTAAATGAATCTTTCTGAGATATCCACAACTGCAAGTGTATAGAAATTAGGAAAATTGCATAAAGGATTCACTCATTCACTCAAATCTTTTTATCCATCTATGTAACTTATAAAGAGACTGCCACGAAAATAAATATTTGGCTGCATTTCACAGAAATACATGAGATTTGAGTTGCCGGGTGGGCAAAATTAGGCATTAGAAATTGGCATTAAAGTCCTTATTTGCTCTTCGTGGCCGATCAAGACTGAAATCATATTCACTATCTTCTATTAGGCTGCATTTACACTGCAGATCTTGTTGGTCAATTTCGATTTTGTGACTGTATCTGAATTTTTTGACCACCTGCTTACGTCATCTTTAAAAGGGACTCGTGTCTGATGTCTGCATTCACACGGCACAGATGATATGACCTGGAAAAAAAGAGCGGGCGCTGACTGACAGCTGATCATTAAAGTGCTCTTTTCTCCGATCCTGTTTTTAATCTGTTCACTGAGTCCAATTTTTTTTATATTATTGACAAATAGCTTTAATATACGACAGAAAAGTTCTCATTTGACCTTCTTCCTTTAATCCAGGCTTTTTAAACCAGTAGGTTTTATCTTAATGCAATGTCCATGGGATGATTTATGATGTTGTTTATGTAGCGGATGTTGCACACTCTCTGTCTCGTTAACATGCTTAAATCAGACCCCCTCGTTTTTTTGGCAATTTTGCGATCACTGAATTCAACACAGTCACATTTTTTTTTTTTTTTGCGATCCTGCAAATTTCTTAATCCAAATGCAAAATAATGTTAATAATTTCATAAAAAATCTAATTTTAAACCATAAAATCAAATTTTATCCATTTTAGTTTGCAATTAATTGTTTTATATGACGTTTGCGTTCGCAGGGCACATGATGTATTTTGATTGTCTCGAAAAATAACAACTCGCCTGCCTTTGACATGCATCAGACTGCAAAAGAAAGTGGGAGCATGTTAGTTGAACATCTCACAAACGGAGCAGTGGAATATACAGAAAAGCAAGCAGCTTACAATTATATTAAATTCTATTTATTAATTATATTAAATATATATGTATTTGTGTGTGTGTGTGTGTGTGTGTGTGTGTGTGTGTGTGTGTGTGTGTGTGTGTGTGTGTGTGTGTGTGTGTGTGTGTGTGTGTGTGTGTGTGTGTGTGTGTGTGTGTGTGTGTGTGTGTGTATATATATATATATATATATATATGTATGTGTGTGTGTGTGTGTGTGTGTGTGTGTGTGTGTGTGTGTGTGTGTGTGTGTGTGTGTGTGTGTATGTATATATGTATATATATATATGTATGTGTGTGTGTGTGTGTGTATATATATATATATATATATATATATATATATATATATATATATATATATATATATATATATATATATATATATATATATATATATATATATATATTCTGATCAAGTCTGAACCTGCGTGATCGGGCCCGTTTCCGATCGGATCCGAACATCCCATCTTTTATAAATTTTTTTTTATATTTAGCGTGTTTGTGTGTGTTTGTGTATGAGTGTGTGTGTGTGTGTGAAAATCTAGAGGGTCTGTTAAATACTTGTGCTTCACAACAAAATAAAAGCTATTTTTGTGCTAGTAAATGTGATTTAAAGTTTGGGAGTCTACTGAATTCTGTTCTGAAATGAAAGCGTCAGAGTTGACATCATTCGCTACAGTTTTTATTGATGCGTGACACTCCTTGACAGTTGATAATCCGATCTACCTGCTTATAGAATGCTACCTGCAGACGCAACGATTCATGTCGGATAAATTTTCATATATGAACAATCCTCAATCTGATTTGAGTGCACTGAAGTCCATGTGATATTATTCCTGCTTACACATACATAGCCCATATCCGATCTGTGCCACATGGGAAGCAAAAATCGAAATTGGGTCACTTGAACCATTATGCATAATTGCAGCCTAGAGACGGTTTTCATCATTACTAAGTTGCATAGCCATTAAATATTGTCTAGTTACTTTTTACCCAGCCTGATCACATTTCTTTGCAGGACCTTTTCTTTAAAATGACCTTTTCTTTTAATATGTGAATAGAAAGTACAAGAGGAGTAATATAATAATTCAGCTTCAGAAATATGACTTGTTCTATTTTGGTGTCACCATTAAGTCTATTCATAAGTCTATTCAAGTCCACCACCCCAAGTAATAATGAAGACTAGAGACTGAATGTCTTAAGAAATATGAATAATGCCATTGTTTCCTCATCTAGTGTTGCTTCTTACCCATTACAGGAGTCAATAAAAGTGATCCAGCCTGTGTTTTTGGGCAAACTCATTAAGTATTTTGAGAACTATCGGCACGATGACATGGCAGCTTTATCTGAAGCTTATGGATATGCAACAGGCGTCTGTCTCTCCACCCTGGGCTTGGCTTTGCTCCATCATCTCTATTTCTACCACGTTCAAAGAGCTGGAATGAAAATTCGCATTGCAATGTGTCACATGATCTACAGGAAGGTCAGGTTTTCTTTAAACACCCAATAGCTTACCTTTGAAAAAATTGTACTGAGGAGGTGCCAAAGTAGTATTTGTGATAATTACCATATTAGTTTATACAGCCTTTTATATTTACAGCTTATAGTTACCCTGTGTTTAAAGGGATAGTTCACCCACAAATGTTAATTCTGTCATCATTTACTCGCTCTTTACTTGTTTTAAATCTTTATGAGTTTCCTTCTTCATTTGAACACAAAAGAAGATATTTTGAAGAAAGTTGGAAACTGGTAACCATTGGCTTCCATGGTATTTGTGTTTACTACTATGGAAGTCAATGTTTACAGGTTTTCAGCAATATCTTCTTTTGTGTGTTTCAACAGAAGAAAGAAAGGTATTCAACACAGAATCTCAAACAGGTTTGGAACAAGTAAAGGGTGTGTAAACAGTGAGTGTGTTTTCTTTTTTGGGTGAACTACACCTTTAAGTAAAACATCATTTTTGCTTTATTTTGTAAAAAGCTTATGGTTTTTCAAATCTGGAAATAAAATGTCAAATTAGAGCATTTTTGCATGGAATAGCAAACAAGTTACATGTTTTTAACCAAAATATATATATATTTTTTTTACTTCAGAAGACTTCAGAAATCCGTATATTTAGTGGAATAACCCTGATTTTAAGTCGCAAAAACATGAAAACTTGAATTATTTAGATAGAAATGCTCTAAATAATATTTTTCATAATATATTTTATTTGAAGTTGTTATCAGATCTATTATAGAATAAAACAAAAATGAACATTTTGCTCAAACTCATACATAATAAATTCAGAGAAACTGGTCATTTTCAACCTGTCTCAATTTATTTAGATTTTTTTTTTTGAGAACGATAGGAGTTTTATCAAAGAAAAGTCCAAAAACTCCCATCTACAAATGTTATATTACTGTATATGATATACACTCACCAGCCACTTTATTAGGTACACCTGTTTAACTGCTTGTTCACGCAAATTTCTAATCAGCCAATCACATGGCAGCAACTCAACACATTTATGCATGTAGACATGGTCGAGACGATCTGCTGCAGTATAAACCAAGCATCAGAACGGGGAAGAAAGGGGATTTAAGTGACTTTGAACGTGGCATGGTTGTTGGTGCCAGACGAGCTGGTCTGAGTATTTCAGAAACTGCTGATCTACTGGGATTTTCACACACAACTATCTCAAGGGTTTACCAAGAATGGTCCAAGAAATGTTCCGGGTGCAAATGCCGTGTTAATGCCAAAGGTCAGAGGAGAATGGCCAGACTGGTTCGAGCTGATAGAAAGGCAACAGTAACTCAAATAACCACTTGTTAAACCAAGGATGCTGAAAAGCATCTCTGAACACACAACAGAACCCTGAGTTGGATGGGCTACAGCAGCAAAAGACACACCGGGTGCCACTCTTTTCAGCTAAGAACAGGAAACTGGGGCTACAGTTCACACAGTCTGACCAAAATTGGACAATAGAAGATTGGAAAAACAATCTGGTGTGATGAGTCTCCATTTCTGCTGCGACATTTGAATGGTAGGGTCAGAATTTGGCATCAACAACAGGAAAGCTTGGATCCATCCCGTGCATCAACGCTTCAGGTTGGTGGTGGTGGTTTAATGGTGCACATCTTCTGATGGCTATTTCCAGCAGGATAACTTGCCATGTCATATAGCATAAATCATCTCAGACTGGTTTCTTGAACATGACATTGAGTTCACTGTGCTCAAATCGCCTCCACAGTCCCCAGAGCTTAATCCAATAGAGCACATTTGGAATGTGGTGAAATGGGAGATTCACGTCATGGATGTGCAGCTGAGAAATCTGCAGCTACTGCGTGACACATTCATGTCCATATGGATCAAAATCTCTTGAGGAATATTTCCAGTACCTTGTTGAATCTATGCCACGAAGGATTAAGGCAGTTCTGAAGGCAAAAAGGCGGTCCAACCTGGTACTAATAAGGGGTACCTAATAAAGTGGCCAGTGAGTGTATGCATACAAAATGCTTTTTTTTTTATTTTATTTTATTTATTTTTTTTTTAACAGTGTGGTAATAAGTGTGAGTTATGGGACTTGATTAGTAAGTTAATTTTTGCTTCAGCCAAAGGTAACTTCTTATCACAGTAAACCCTTTTTTCTTCTTCCTCTTTTAGGCTCTATGTCTTAGCGCTGCAGCAATGGGCCAAACAACCACAGGGCAGATCGTTAATCTTTTGTCCAATGACGTCAACAAATTCGATGAGGTAGGAAATTTTCATAACTTTTCGTCTTCCTCCATTCGTGTCACAGGTCCTCCTTTTCCTGTTTTCGAAGCGGGTCTCCTGTAGTGTCGTTTTTATTTTCCTTTAAAGAATCTGTCATGGCACTTTGTTTGATCAAAGTATTGTTTCCCAAACTTCATTTCCAGTTAAAAGAGCCAAAGGCAGCAGGAGTGATTTACCGTAAAGGGTTTGAGCTACCAGGGAACAGATTGGCTGAGATTCAGAGCACCAGGAGTGGTCACAAATAGATTGTCTTAAAGGGATAGTTCAGCTAAATATGAACAATACCCACCATTTACTCACATTCAAGCTTTCCAAAGAAGTGGGTATGTGTTTTGTTTTCTTCTGTAGAATTTTGGTCACCAAACAGTGAATACTTGGCTAATACTAGACTTGTGTAGTTGGGAAAAAACTATAATATGACACTTGGGACTCATTCGTTTTTTTTTTTTTTTTTGTGTGTTTTTTTTTTTTTCATTTTGTATGATACTCATGGCCAAATATTTGTAAAAATACATCCATACAAGGGTGTTTACATTTTAAGAACAAACATATATTTAGTTTTTACATGTAGTAAATATTACAGTAGTAATAAGTTTAAAGTGTATGTAAATATATAAAAAGATATGGTAATGCAAAACACAATTTATTTGAGTAACGAGTGCGTCTAAGCATATGACAATAATTTAAAACTAAAGAAATTAGGTTTGTGCAATTTAATTGAAATTAGATTTTCATTTTGGCCCCTAAATTAAGTTTTTTTTCCCTCTCCGCTGTCGCCTCTGGCTCGCATGGTTCAGGATTGGTAGAGCTACGCATCGATGAATTTGCTCTTCAGTGTTTGAACTCTCAGTAATGATTAAATCACACTGAACTGAGCTAAACTGAACTGAACTGAACTTAAACACTAAAAACTGAACTACACTGTTCCAGTTACTATGACCATTTATGTGAAGCTGCTTTGACACAATCTACATTGTAAAAGCGCTATACAAATAAAGCTGAATTGAATTGAAATATTATGATAAAACATTTAATGAATGATTAATTGCATCATATCCCACCTCCTTTCGGCAGTCCGCATTCATTCCTCTGTGTTAGCTTAGGTTCACATGGAAATTACTGAAAGTATGTTCATGACTTCTGCAGCATGGGATGTGCTTCATTTGTTGACGTGTATTTAAATAATTTATGTCATTAAAAGTGTGAAAGAGAGCTTGTTGTGTGCGTGTGTGCGTGCGTGCGAGTGTGTGTGTGTGTGTGTGTGTGTGGGTTTTCTCATCTCTGAGGCAGAGAACATGTAGAGTGAGAGTGCCGAAATGGTCAAATACATTCAAAAGTTGTGTCAAAAACTCAGTGCTTATTCACATTAACCCTTGTTTGTTATGTAATAGCTGAACACAAAGATATAGTTGAGAGTTGAAAGTGAAACCATTGTCAGAATGCACATTCTTAAAGCGACAGCGCATTATATTCTCTGCAGACTGTTTTTGTTATTATTAATCAAACAAACAATAAGACAAGGTCAAAGTCACTCACTGCTCTTGACTGAAGGACTTTTTATAATAGATTTAATAACAAACAAATCAAGTTTACTTCTGACACTGAAGAAAGCAAAGTTTGATTCACTTTTAGGCCTAGATTTTCTTTGTTCTATTGTATTTATTTTTTTCATAATTGTTGGTAGTTTTTTTTTTATCTGGTCCACTTCTGCTTCAGTATGACGGATTGTGAAATTTTATGATCTTTGAAAAGTAATAATGTAATAGCAACCTTATTTACAGGGAAATAAACTCGCTTTATCTCCACAGTATCTCCAAATCTTTTTGGTTATATGGCCCACTAAAATTCATTTTCAATAATCATGAATACAATTATGACCAAAATATTCAAGATTGTGATTTTTCCCATACTCGAGCAGCCCTAAAAGAAATACGATCTATTTTGCACCTGTTTATAAGTTCATACATGAAAAGTGTGGTGATTTTTAAATTTATTTTGACTTGTATTTTATTGCAGACAATACGACAAATATTAATTAATATGTTCCTCCTGATTTTTATTGTTGTTGTTTTTTTTTTTTCATAAAATAAATACATACTCTAATTATATTTCTTGCAACACTTCTAAAAAATCATTTACCTCGTTTTAATGCTGCCATTCCTTTTCACAACACTTAAAAGATGTTTAGGGACTGAAAACATCAAGTGATGAAGTGTTTCATGTGTCATTGTGTCCTATTTTTCCTGCAAACAAGTCTCACAGTGGGTGTTACAAGCCTGGTCTATGGTCACAGACATAACATAAAAGAACACTGGACAAATAAAGTCACTTTTATAAACCCTTGGTTTTCCAGTTAGGGGTTTCAGCTGGAAGGGCCTCTGCTGCCTAAAACAGATGCTGGATAAGTTGGCAGTTCATTCTGCTGTGGTAACCCCAGATTAATAAAAGGACTAAGCTGAAAAAAATGAATGAATGAATTATTTTTTTAAACACCCAAAACATGAAGCCAAATAGCTTTGAGAGGACCCACTGAAAAATAATAAACGAGAAATAAACCCCCTACCCAAGCACCCAAATGAAACTAAATACACCTAACAAAATAACAGAAAGAAAAATACAAAAACTACTCCTATCTCCCGGACCATATGTAAAAACAAGAGAGAAGTGTGGTGTCCAACCCCTACTGCTTCTCACGGTGTTTATACAAAGTACAATATTTACAATAACAACAAACAAACCAAAAACAAAATAAGGGGGGGACACGGATGCATAAACAACAAACAAAGGTCTAACAATTAAACACACAACCTGGAAAACACAATCAAAAATAACACCTAAAATCATATATTTCTCTCTAACATTAAACACAAATCAAGATACCAAACAACTCGTTCTTCCACTCCACACCCAGTTCCCTTTTTTTAAAAGACACCCTGGGTCACTTCAGTCAATCCCAGAGCAAGTCATCTGCGTAATTATGGTATGGCCTGTTCAGAGGAAAAGAGAGAGGGAGAGACACATACACCGGCGAATGCAACAGTGTGGGGTCTTCACAATGCACCACACATTCTCTACTGGAGACTGGTCAGGGCTGCAGGCAGGCCAGTCAACTACTGATTCATCTGATCACAAAGTGTTCATCTTTTCCACAGTGTGATGGTCCATCCCAGTCGACGGCGCTTCTGGACACTGTTAACATAGGGCTTCCTTTTGGCATAGTACAATTTTAATTGGCATTTGTGGATGTAACTACGTATTGTGGTACTTGACAAAGGTTTGCCAAAGTTGTCCTAAGCCCATGTAGTGAAACTGCTTACAGATGAATGATTGAATCAATGAATTCTTGATACAGTGCCGCCTGAGGGATTAGATATCACGATTGTTCAGCTTAGGCTTGCGTCCTTCTCCTTTACGCACTGAAATTCCTCCAGATTTCGTAAATCTTTTAATTATGTTTTGCACTGTTGTAGGTAAAATATACCTCTTCCTGGTATATACGTCTTCCTGTCTGTCTTTGAGGAACACTGTTTTTAACATTTCAATAATTTTCTTAGAACCCTGCATGGGCCTTAAATCCAAGCCCTATCCCAGCCCTGGCCCGAGTAGCACATGCTGTAGCCCTGCCCTTGTCTAACAGCTTATCAATTTTTGGCCTGAGATGGACCCGAAGTTCGTTTTTTTTCCCGCCAAACAGCTAATACTGTTCAACCATTAAAATAGAGCAGATTTGCATTTAATAGAAAGTTAATGTTTTTTCGAATATTTTTTTTTTTTATCAGAATAATTTTAAGAAATTTGAGTTTGTTTTTTTGTTTTTTTTAAATATAAGTTTTAGTTTTTTTTGTAGTGACATCGATATCCAAGCGGTATGTGGTCCACAGTCAGTTTACTTAAATTACAAGTTGTGCTATGTGCGTTACCAGTTGGCTCAGCATTTAAAGTTGTCACTATTTGAAAAGTTGACCAGAAGTTTGCCTTTCCTCTAGCATTTTTTTTCACCAATTTAAGTTTGCCAGTTACTTTTGTTCTCTTTATGTTCTCCATTGCACGTGGCTAAAAATCTTTATGCGCAAGGCATCACCGGCACTTCCAGACTGCACGCATTAGATCTCATTCAACTTAAAAAAAAAAAAAAGCAGACTCAAAGCGTGACATGCATGCTAGCTATGACATGAAAATTGGCTGATGCAGAAAAATCAGGCTCTACATTTTCTCATGTATTTATTAGCAAACTGGCGATCCTCTGCCCATCTCTGCTCCTAAAGGACTCAAACCAAATTTACAATCACCTGTTGACATCACCTCTTTCAAATCATATCATTATTTAACCAATTTACCTAATTACTAGCCCTAAACTAATCCTGTCCTGCTTTATTAGGAGTGTGTTGCCGGTCTGAATGACAGGAAAGGATGTATATTTACAAGTGAAATGAAGTTGACCAGATAAAACATGAAATATATTGTGTTCATATTGTCTGCAATGAAATACAAGTCAAAGTAATTTTTTAAATCACTACTTTCTTTTTTATTACTGTCCAAACTGTCCCAGCTTTTCCTGATTTGGGGTTGTATATGTTGTTATCAAACAACATGGAAACATTCCATACAAATTTCGCCCAGCCCTATTGGCAAATTAAAATGAATAGTTAACAGATTTAAACTCGGTCTCATGTGGCATGGCTTCTGACATACACTATAACTCTCTCATTATCTTTATTCCAGTTGAGAAATCTAGTGATGAACAGTTATGTAAAGTTTTGGCTGTGAGCCGCGCAACGGCTCCATAAACCACACATATTCATTTGAAACCACACTCATTCCAGCTGAGCTCTTAGTCTGTATATTTAAAGTAGGAACATCATTGTTCTCCATCTGTCCTTGGAGACGTTCTCCTGTATTTTCCAGCACACATCAGAGGGATTTAGAGAAGAATGGCAGGAAGTTCTGTATGTGTTCAGGCAATGTTACCTAAAATTAGCACTTTGAAGTTTAAGCCTCTTTTTTTGTGGATTCTGCAGTAATCTGTACAATAATCTCTACTGTTTGAAAAGTGATGTAATTAAAGCTTGTGCTCCCTATTCTAAGAACTACGCTAAAGTATTGTCATGTGAACTAGAACATGGAATGTCAGTGTTTTGTGCCAGTGTTTAATAGCCCTGGATTATTTGGAAAATCGATGCTTCATTTTTGAAAATTTAAACATGATTATGTATATACAGGTGTTTTATGATAATAAATTTATGCTATTCGACAATTTAAGTTCTTTGATGCTTACATGAAAATATATAACTTTTTATTACATTTATTATTATATTTATTTTATTTATTGTACTTTTTATATTCCTATTAAAATGTATTTACTTTTTTAAAAGTTTGAGGTCATAAATAGAATATTATATTAATATTTTTATTTGCTAAGGGTGCATTTATTAGATCAAAATAGAACATGATATATTTAATAATGCAGAATTTTCTTTGCAAAAATAATTTATGCTGTTTATTGTTATATTGTTTTTGAATGAAAACATTTGTTTGAAATGAATCAACTTCATTTAATGATTTTGAAAGTATCGGGACACTAAAGTATGGAGTAATTATGCTAAAATGAATTACCATCCAATGAATATTATTGTCTTTCGTTTTTTTTAATATTATTATTATTATTATTACACCATTTCTGAATAATAAATTGATTCTTTTAGATAATAAGAAACTTTTAAAAAGGTAAAAGAAAATTGTACCAGCTACGTAAAAACATGGTATTACGGTAATAGCACATTTAAAATGTATTTAAATATAATATTATTATTATTATAATACTATTGTACGGGGCGAGGCAGTGGCGCAGTAGGTAGTGCTGTTGCCTCACAGCAAGAAGGTCGCTGGTTCGAACCTCGGCTCAGTTGGCGTTTCTGTGTAGAGTTTGCATGTTCTCCCTGCCTTCGCGTGGGTTTCCTCTGGGTGCTCTGGTTCTCCCCACAGTCCAAAGACATGCGTTACAGGTGAATTGGGTAGGCTAAATTGTCCAGTGTGTGTGTGTGTGTGTGTGTGTGTGTGTGTGTGTGTGTGTGTGTGTGTGTGTGTGTGTGTGTGTGTGTGTGTGTGTGTGTGTGTGTGTGTGTGTGTGTGTGTGTGTGTGTGTTTCCTGAGATGGGTTGCGGCTGGAAGGGCATCCGCTGCGTAAAAACTTGCTATAATTTCATTCATTCATTCATTTTCTTGTCGGCTTAGTCCCTTTATTAATCCAGGGTCACCACAGTGTAATGAACCGCCAACTTATCCAGCAAGTTTTTACGCAGCGGATGCTACGGACAATTTAGCCTACCAAATTCACCTGTACCACATGTCTTTGGACTGTGGGGGAAGCCAGAGAACCCAGAGGATATCATATTAAACATTTATTTTGTATGCGATTAATCTTTGCCCACCACTAGTAATATTAATTCATTCATTATATGTGCTGTATGGTCAGGGTTAGACTGCAGCTTAGGGTTAGTTATATGTAATTAATTATGCATATTTAACAAAGTATGAACACCTGTTTGTTTGTTTTTTTGTTTTTTTCAAGAACTTGTATGATTTAATTTATGTGCTTTTTTTTATTTGTGTCTTTCCTAGTTGACTATTTTTCTGCACTTCCTGTGGGTGGGGCCTCTGCAAGCCGCAGCTGTGATTGGTCTGCTTTGGCAAGAGATCGGACCATCGTGCCTTGCTGGGATGGCAGTTTTAGTCTTTCTAATGCCGCTTCAGACCATGTTCGGGAAACTGTTTTCCAAGTACAGGTACAGTCTCAGAATCAATCTAACAGGGAATCTTTTCAATTGGATTAGGGGAAAAAAAACTATGAGAACTATGAGGCTAATCACAGTCACATGATGCTCCACATGTCAGGGTGAATAGTGTCAGAGAGCATCTCAAAAGGCACATTTATATCTTAAAAACTTGGCCAACATATATATTAATATACATTATAATCTTGAAAATCTAATGTACTACTGCATTACCTAATCTAGAAATGTTTACAAGCTTAAAAGTTCAAGAGCATGGAGAACTTTGCTTGTTAAGGATTGTGTATTTTGCTGTAACGGTAGTTATTTAGTCTGTAATGTGATGTTAATGATCTTTAGGAAGGTCATTTATAAGAAGTAATGGTGGTACATTTTTACCACAGCAAATTGCAGTGAATCATTGTCACGTTTTCAGACACATGCTCTTTCCTTCTGGCTTTATTCTAGGTGCAAGTTCAGGTTTCGCTTGTCAGATGAAAAATGACTTTAGAAAAGCGTGCTACTTTAGAGGCAGAAACATGAATATATAAATAAAATACAACATTATAATAATAACAGCAACAATAATAATATCCTTAGTTTCATTCTATATTATTAATTAATACATTTATAAGAGTTTTTTTGACAGTTCATGAATTATTTATTGTTTGAAAAGAGTTGAAAAAAACTATTTTACATGTTTATATATACAGTGTTTCTCACAGGTTTGAAATATACTTGACATGGTAGCCAGATTGAAACACCTTTTACCCACATTACATGAATAATTAACTATATGTGGCAAACAAAACGTAATTTGATTTTTAACACTAGTTTTAATATTATCTGTTTTGAACTTTTTCTATTCAATGGGTTAAGGTGAAAAAAAACAATATTTCACTTATGCCATTTCTCTTATAAATGCTATTAAAGCATTTTAGATGTATAAAATATGCAATATATTGACAACATCAAATGAATAAAATATACAGCAAATGAGAAATAAATGACAGAAAAAAGGGAATAAAAATGATTACTCAAATAAAACGTGTCGATTATTTAAATAAGACAAAAAGAGTTGCTTACCCTTTCCTTATGGTGTATGAATATTCTGCAGTCAATTTAGATGTAATTTCGTCTTCTCTTTCAAGTTGTTTAGATCAAAGAATTAATTATTTCATATCTCTCCTGCGGCTGTGCACATAAAAGTAACCACAGCTTAGAAAACGAAAGCAAAACTAAATCCCGGACATTTTAGTAGATTTAGAAACCCCGGCTGGACGCAAAAAGGTGCAAATCTCTGTGGGTCTGCAGAGATCTTAAGACTGTCTTGTTCCACACACACAGAATGAGCAGAATGAAATGGGTAAAGGAGAGAAGATTTTTCACTACTTAATCGATCGTGGATGTTTGTTTATATTGTGCAGATACAAAAAAAATTTAACAGGATGATGATAATAAAAAAAGTGTCACTAAATATACTTGGGCGGCCCACCAAAGTAAACAATGTGGGAAGTACTGTATGTGTGTGTGTGTGTGTGTGTGTGTGTGTGTGTGTGTGTGTGTGTGTGTGTGTGTGTGTGTGTGTGTGTGTGTGTGTGTGTGTGTGTGTGTGTGTGTGTGTGTGTGTGTTTGTTTGTTTGTTTATTTGTTTTTTTTTTTTAAATAAAATTTTTTTTTTTTTTAACTTTTTTTTTCTCTTAATTTTTTTTGTATAAGAAAATGTTGATTCAGGTTATGATCAAAAGTTCTTGAGTATGTTTTCACATTAATGTTACCTAATTTAAAGCAATTTTCCCCTTCCCAATACCATAATCACACTTATAATTAAAAATAAAATGTAAAATATTATTATACAATATAAATGGCTCAAAAAAAGAGTGCACTTTAAATATGCTAATGATACACTTATTTTTAGGGACGGAGCTTTCAAACTCTGATGAATAATTAAATGCCTTACAAAAATTATACATTAGACTGCTGAGGAAATCATGTGTAGTAGAGCATAATTTGGGACACACTAACATTATTTGTTCATACTGCAATGATTTCATCTCTCTCTCTGTCTCACAGGAGTAAAACCGCAGCCTTGACTGACAGCCGGATACGCACTATGAATGAGGTGGTTTCTGGCATACGTATAATTAAGATGTATGCCTGGGAGAAGCCGTTCGCCATGCTGGTTAATGATGTACGAAGGTAAATTACATAGACTTATTGAGTCTGTTTGCACTGCTGTAGCTTGCGATAGGTCAGCAGATTGTGTTACTGACAAGACGGCATTTGTCCAAAGGTTTTATGGTTGTTACTTATTTCAAGGTTGAGACTTGAAGCACAGCATGAAAATGACTGTGTTTTAAAGAACTGTAAAACTTTGGGTCACTTAAGGGAGCGATAGAAAATGCTTGTGCTGGTAATTTCATCAGTAAATTTATTATCATTTATTACATTTTTAGGGGGAAGCAAGATCAGCCTGTCACTCAAATAAGATCCAGTATTAGCAAACCACAACCATCCAATTTATTCCCAATAGGCAAAATCAAGGCCTGCACTACATTTCTGTGCTTCATTTTAGGAGCCATTTCATTTGCTTGATTGTGAAAAATATTATATTATATTTAGGGTTCAAACGGTCCTGAAAACCTGGAAAAGTCATGGAATTTTGTAATTTTCCATGACTGGATAATTTTTGGAAGAACAAATAAACACAAAATGTTTTTATATCTATTTAACAGATATTTTAATTTTAATTTTTAATTATATTTTAATTTTTTTTGATATGCAGTAATAATTTTGAACGTACATTTTTCTTTCTTATTTACCTTGTGAACGTAGACATCACATAAAACATTAGGTCATGAATATTTACCTGAAAGTTTTGGAAAAGTCATTGAATTTTAGTTGTGAAAAATATGCATGAACCCTGTATATTATATTATATTATATTATATTATATTATATTATATTATATTATATTATATTATATTATATTTTACTTTATTATTTAAAATTATATTATTTTAGATTATATTATATTATTGTATATTTTATATTATATTATTTTAAATTATATTATAATATATTATTTTATTTTGTATAATTTTATATTATATTATTTTAGATTATTTTTATATTATGTTAGATTATTTTAGATTGTATTTAAGATTACATTATTTTGTATTTTATATTATATAATTTATTTTAAATTCTATTATATTATTTTATATTATATTATTTTATATTTTATTATTATGTTATATTATTTTAGAATAGTTTATATTATTTTAGAATATATTATATTATTTCGTATTTTATATTATGTTATTTTATATTGTATATTATTTTAGATATTTTTTATTTTATATAATTTTAGATTATATTATATTACATTATTATATTATAGTATATATTTTGTTGTAATACACTGTAAAATTTTAAAGACTATTAGACAATAGTTTTATACTGAGAGTATTTGATGGATGCTTTAAAAAAAAAGTATCCCTAGGAAGAAGTTATCATATATCGAACTGAAAAAAACATATCTAATGTTCTTAATGTAAGTGTTTTCAATGGTCTTATTGAATCATGAAGTTGTTATTATTTTGTAATATGTTTTTATCTCTGCTAATCTTGCATGAAATAGCCATAGGTTGCTGAGCTGCCAATAAATAAATAAACAAAGAAACTTGCTTAAATGTCACTTCAGAGAATAATCTTTTGTTTATTTTTTTTCTGTTATTATAATTTATATTTGATCAAATAAATGTCAGTACAAAGTTGTTTAACCTTATTTTAAAGACATTGTTAGTGAAGATATTAACCACATGTATGCTACATCAATACTAGTGGTTTGCCATTATTTTCCAAAATAAGCAAACTAAATATTTTGGGGGATTTGTTTTTTGTTTGTGTTTAAATGTTTAAAGTTGGTTTAAAGTTACTCCAGTAAATGTTCTAACTGGATCTATGTGACAGTTTTTGTAACACTTTATTTTGATGATCCATTTGAGTATTAGTAGCCTGTCTGCTGAATATCTGTTGATACTGCTCCTTCAACAGACATATAACTGACTATAAGAAACTTTGCAAGTACATGTCAACTTACACTAACCCCAACCACTAACCCCAACCTAACAGTCTACTTATAATCTAATGTGAATTAGTTGGCATGTACGTAGTTGCATTGTTACTTAAATTCAACAAACTGACCATCAAAATAAAGTGTGACCCAGTTTTTTTTTCTTCTGTTTGTCTGTGTCTTCGGTATTGTTGCATGTCAGTGCTGCTTCATCTGGCTTAAAACTAGTGCAAGGCATTTGTGGTTTTTCAGTTTCTCATAGTGATGTTTGGTGGTCGCGTGATTGAGACATATTTTCTATTTTTATCTAAAATATGGTCCCCTGCACTAAAACAATGCATAAAATGTGTTAAAACCATATACTACAGACTTGTGGTTAGGCAGTGACCCCAAATTCAATTCCAGTCTTGCAGTCTTTTGCCAATAACAGTCTCTAGCCCATCTTTCCACTGTCCCATCACCAAAGAAGCATTAAAAAGGCCCAAGCAAAGTTAATCACTCTGGTAGGAAGAAAGGTCACAAAAATGTGAGAATTTGTGGTGTCAAGAAGTGTTTATCACAAGTGTTTATCATATTTTGAAGCTGGGAAATCTCAGCTCTGACCTTGTGGTTGCATATACAATGCTGCTTTTATCTGTGCTTTTGCATTTAATGTCTGTCTCTCTTTTTTTTACTGGAAAAAGACAGAACAAATTTATTTAGCTGATCTTGTAAAGTATATACTAATATTATATACAGTTGAAGCCTGGTTATTCACCCCCCTTAATATTTTTTTCCTTAATTTTCTGTTTAGCGGAGAGATTTTTTTTCAACACATTTCTAAACATAATAGTTTCATAACTCGTTTCTAATAACGGATTTATTTTATCTTTACCATGATGAAAGTAAATAATATTTGACTAGTTAGTTTTCAAGATACTTTTATTTAGCCTAAAGTGACATTTAAAGACTTAACTAGATTAATTAGGCAAGTTAGCACGATTAGGCATTGTATAAGTCATTATATAACGATGGTTTGTTCTGTAGACAATTGAAAATAGATATTGCTTAAGGGGGCTAACAATATTGACCTTAAAATGGTTTTAAAATGTTTTAAATCTGCTTTTATTATAGCCAAAATAAAACAAATAAGACTTTCTCCAGAGGAATAAACCATTATAGGAAATACCTGTGAGAAATTCCTTACTCTGTTAAACATAATTCGGTAACTTTAGAATAACTATCCATTATAACTAGCTTGTAGATCATTAATAAACTGTTAGTAAATGAATTATAATTCACTTGTTTAATAATAGCTAATAGTTTGTTAATTATTTATAACTGTGCCTTATAGATAGATAGTTTACAAACTGTTAGATAACAAGTTATAAATGACTTGTTAACTGTATTTTAATGATTTATAACTATGCCTAATAAATTAGTAACAGATCATGAGCAAGCTGTTAGTAACTTACTTACTAAAGACTTTTTTAAATATCAGTTAATAGTGTATATCTGTTATTGAGACGTTATTCTAAAGTTGCAACTATTCGTCATTTATTAACTGTTAGTAAACGAGGAATAGTTGCAACTTTAGAATAACGTCCCAATAACAGACATAAGCTAATAACTAACACTTAACTAATATAGTAACGCACACTTTACAGATCAGTTGTTCATAGTTTGATAACCATCTACTAATACCAGTGAAACTTTTATTATTTATGCTTTATATTTATTTTGTTTTGATGTTTAGCACAAAAGTCCCCAAAGCTCATGGGTTTGTATTGTGTTGTATACTGCTGTTCTGCCATGCGACGGCTCAGTATGTGTGTTTCTATACATTAAACACAATGTTCAACATTTCATCTGTGGAGTTTCTTTGGTAAAACACAGCACACAGAAAGGTCTATGAGTGGATTTTAGGGTACAAATATTTTATGTTTTCAAATTTTAAATTAAATTTCTGTAGCTTGAACATGTTCCATCTATTTGCTGTTCAACAAAGTTTCACTGGTATTAGTAGATGGTTAACAAACTATGAACAACTGATCTGTAAAGTGTGCGTTACTATATTAGTTAAGTGTTAGCTATTAGCTTATGTCTGTTATTGGGACGTTATTCTAAAGTTGCAACTATTCCTGGTTTACTAACAGTTAATAAATGACGAATAGTTGCAACTAGAATAACATCCCAATAACAGATATACACTATTAACTGATACTTAACAAGTCTTTAGTAAGTTACTAAACCCATAATTCACATAAAAATTCACAGGAGGGCGAATAAATTTGGCTTTAACTGTATGTATATCCTCCCAAATATTTATGATCTTGGACACAAAGGGATTCATTTGTTTGTTGTTTGTTATAGGAAGGAGATCTCCAAAATCATGAGCAGCTCTTACCTGCGTGGCTTGAACATGGCCTCGTTCTTTACAGCCAATAAAATCATCCTGTTTGTGACGTTCACCGTGTACGTGTTGGTGGGAAACACCATGTCTGCGAGTCGCGTGTTTGTGGCCGTGTCTCTGTACAGCGCCGTCCGCCTCACCGTCACTCTGTTCTTCCCTGCTGCCATCGAGAAAGTGTCTGAATCCGCCATCAGCATCCGCAGGATCAAGGTACGACCCATCTTCATCACACAAACTGGACTGACAATAAGCTTAATGCTCACATGGTCATAGAAAATGTGAAGTTGATATTTTTAAGATGTTTAACAGAGCAGGAATTTTTCACAGTATTTCCAATAATATTTTTTCTTCAGGAGAAAGTCTTATTTGCTTTATTTCGGCTAGAACATTTTAAAACCATTTTAAGGACAATATTATTAGCCCCCTTAAGCAATATTTTTATGATATATTGTCTACAGAACAAACCACTGTAATAAAAGGACTTGCTTAATTATGCCTAATTAACCTAGTTAAGTCTTTAAATGTCTCTTTAAGCTCAATACTAGTATGTTAAAAATATCTTGTGAAATATTATTTACTGTCATCATGGCAAAGATAAAAGAAACCAGTTATTAGAGATGAGTTATTAAAACTATTATGTTTAGAAATGTGTTGAAAAAAAATGTTCTTTCTGTTAAGCAGAAATTGGGGACAAAAATATACAGGGGGGCTAAAGATTCAGAAGGTCTAATCATTCTGACAGGGCTTGACATTAACTGTTTTGATCACCAGCCACTGTGGCTAGTAGATTTCCAACATTACTATCCACCCGCCATTATTACTAGCCACAATTTTGTTGTTGGGAAATACATTTTATATGCATAAATTTGACTTTGACATGCTAAAATCTCCAGATTTAATTTGTGTGTTATGCCCACATGCCTCCTCGTTCATTTCACTTGTGTGTGTGTGTGTGTGTGTGTGTGTGTGTGTGTGTGTGTGTGTGTGTGTGTGTGTGTGTGTGTGTGTGTGTGTGTGTGTGTGTGTGTGTTGTGTATGAGCTTGCTCTATGTGCATGAGCAAGTAGGTTGTGTTGCATTGCAATTAGTTTATCTACATGACTTTTAAGGGGTCTAAATTAAGGATTTACAGAATTTATCTCTGACAACACCAAAAATAAATAATTAATTATTTCTTAGCCACAAATTGATCAAAACAAGGAAAATATAGTCGTATACATGCACTTTTTGTTTAACAAAACCATTCTTTAAAAAAACTAAATAATTGACATTTAAAAAATGGGTCTCGTATCATAAATGAGGGGTTAATCTCCTATTAAAGCAATGTTATTGTAACAACAATGATAATTAAACCATATTGGTATTTTTGCTCACGTGAACAAAGTTATTTTCGTGCTGCTTTTCGATTCTAAGATCACATTTGCACACATATTGGGCCATCCCTATTGTCGAACACTGTTTTTAAGAGAACTACAATTTTAAAATGATTATCAACCAGACAGAGTGGCTAGTGTGTAGTTTTTTTGTTTTTTTTTATTTAAATGATAAAGCTAAAACATTTTTATTTAGTTTTATTTCAGCTAGTTGGCAATTAAGTTTGATTTAACCTTTATTTTCCAAAATAACTAAAGCTGAAATAAATACAAATAAAAACAGTATTGATATAATAAAAGATTATTATAAAGAAAACACCAAACTAAATTAGAGAAGCCAAAATTTTAAAGTAAAATGTAAAAACTAAAACTATTTCAACCTATTAAACAGACTCCTTAAATGTAGTTTTATAGTATTTTTACAGTAGTATAGAGGGATTATTAGATAAAACAATTGAGAAATCAGTTAAATATTACCATCATTATAATTTTTGCTGGCACAATAAACTCCTAATTTGCTGTTTTATTTGTTTAGATAGTATATATGTATGTATATGAGTGTGTGTTTATATATACCCATATCACGAGTAGCATATCACTATATGGCTGTAAATCAGCACTGATGTGATATTGCCTTGTACAACAGTTTTATGGCATAATCATGCATATAAAAAATAAAATCTAACATAGAGCATCTCAAAAATGCTTTTGTATGAGGAACTACTCTCTTCCGCCACTCATACACATCTGCAGCTGACGTCAGATCAGCAGAAACCATTGCTCATTCACAAATGTCACTTTAGACTAGAACTAGTAAATATTACCATCATTCACTATAACTAACAGGCTTGCACTGAATTTGTGTGCGCAGAAATCCACAGACTTTCTAGCCCATCATTGAATCTGTTTATTTACTTCTGCAAATGTATGTAAATCTTTTTTTATTCAGTTATTATATTAATTTCAGTAAATGCAAATGTTTAGAGCTTTTATTTAAATACAAATAAATACAAATAAAAACAGTATTAATATATTAAAAGATTATAATAAAGAAAACACCAAACTAAATTAAGAGAAGCTAAAATTTTAATGTAAAATGTAAAAATTTAAACTATTTCAACCTATTAAAATACTCCTTAAATGTAGTTTTTATTGTATTTATACAGTAATAGAGTGATTATTAGATAAAACAATAGGCAAATCAATTAAATATTACCATCATTATAATTATTTAGTAAATTGAATTTCTATCTTTAATTAGATACACATGTATAAGAGACTTTGTTTACCAAAGAAGTGGGCCTAAATGGATTTCCAGCGATAACCTTAAATAAAAGTTATGTTTTTTTTTATTTCATGTTTATTTCAAGTTTTTAGTCACTATACTTGATTTGTACTTGCCAAATCGTTTCACATAAATACGCAGATTTTTTTTTTTCCAGAAAATATCTTATACCACAGTTTCTGTCTGGCCATGCTATTAACTTCTAATCTCTTGCTGCTCTGTCTGCGCTGAAGTGCTGCAGGTGTCGTTTTCAGGGTTAATTTTAGATCTACTCTACAGTTCCCACTGACTCAGCTAATGTTGCATAAGGCTCAACGTGAACCTGCACATTTTGTAATCGTGATGATTTCTTTCTTGTTTGACCTCACACTGAACCACTTCTTCTACTTGTCAGAAACTCCTAACTTGCATTATCCAAAGAAACTCCAAACTGCTTCGTCATGACAGCAGTTTTCAGTGCCGGTCTTGTGTCTGTGCATCACATGTGACTTTGTGGTCTGTCTGTCGCGTGCAGAAGTTCCTGTTGCTGGATGAGCTTGTGAAAAATCACCTTCCGCTTTCTCAGGAGGAGAAGAAAGAGCCGTCGGTGGAGATGCAGGATCTCATATGCTACTGGGACAAGGTGAGATCCAAACGATGAGAAATACTGAAGAAACAAGCACACATTTGTAAAAGGCAAAACAACAAGCTGCTATAGTGGACATCAAGCAGCTGAAGTTTTCCTTTTGGAAACAGGAAGTTCTGTTAAGTAGTACTGTGTATCACAAAAGCATGTTAGCTTATTCAAAGTTCCTTTTTTTGGTCACATTTTATTCTAAGGTTCAGTTCTAGAAATTTAATAAACCCTAAACTATAACTTGTAGCTCCTTAAATAAAGAATTTGCTTTCTATGAATGAATTTGTAATAAGTGATAAGAACAAACTTTTTATTACTAATAAACAGCCAACATCTTAGGTAAATTACCGGTAATAAGAAATTGATTATAAGTAGGCCCACATATGCTCGCGCAGATTTTCCGCAGATTTCCACAGATTTTTAGCCCATCGTTATTTCTGTTTATTTTACTTGAGTAAATGTGTGTAAATCAATATTTATTCAGTTTTTTAGTTAATTTCAGTAATATTATTGACTAATGTGAAAATGTTCATCTGGTTTATGTACAATGCAGTGTGTACAGTATTATTTTCTGTCTTTTACTTGATATATTATATGATAGACTTGCTTTATTTATATAAATTGAATGTAATTGGATTTGCATTTTAAACATTAAATAAAAGGTTAAATATATTATGTTTTATTTTATATGTTAAGGTTTTAGTTATGATACTCCCAAAATGATTCTGCAGAAATCCGCAGATTTTTACCAAAATTCACCGCTAAAACGTCCGCAGATTCCGTCTGGACCTAGTTATAAGTGGGAATTAATATTCAAACTGAAGAGTTACCTATTTATTTTACTTATCATGTATAAAATGTCAAAAATCTATAAAGATTCAAATAAAAGTTTTAGAAAGTTTTAAAAAATATATATATTTTTATTTAGATAAATTTTAATAACCTTTAGTCAGAATAACTGATATAAATAGATTAATTGTTACGGATTTCTTACCTCTTTTGTAGTTGGTAAACATTGGTATTGTTGACTGAAAATGAATGTCATTATATCTCACTGATTCAGTTCATTTCTATTCTGGTCAGTTTAATGCATCTGTAGTGGACTATTAATAATAAACTTGCAAAATATTATAAAAATGCAACTGTTTTGTAGGAAAAAAATACAGAAAGTATATTTTGTTCTCACACACACACACACATTGGTAAATATGCCCTCTTGTGAAATTTATATTTTTCAAATATTTCCTAAGTGATGTGTAAAAAAAATCAAGGAAATTGTTCACTGAATTTTCTAGCATATCTTTCTTTTGCCGAAAGTCTTAATTATTTTTAAAAAATGTAAAATCTCAGGTTAATATTATTAGCTCACTTTAGATTTTTTGCTTTCATGATTTGTCTACAGAACCGATCGCTGTTATACAATGACTAATGCCTAATCAACCTAAATTGCATACCTAATACAATTATCCCAGTTATGTTTTTAAATTACACCAAGCTCAATACTAGTAGAATTGAATAAACTGAATTGAATTTGATCAGAGAGGAAAGCTGTACTCAGTCTCCTGTGATGGTTGGGTTTAGGGGTAGAGTGGGGTGGGGTAAGGTGAGGGCAATATAATATATGGTTTGGACAGTATACAATAAATGGAAACCTATGTAATGTACCCACTTTTCACAAAAACAAACGTGTGTGTGTGTGTGTGTGTGTGTGTGTGTGTGTGTGTGTGTGTGTGTGTGTGTGTGTGTGTGTGTGTGTGTGTGTGTGTGTGTGTGTGTGTGTGTGTGTGTGTGTGTGTGTGTGTGTGTGTGTGTGTGTGTGTGTGTGTGTGTGTGTGAGAGAGAGAGAGAGATTGAGAGTGTATGGGTGTTTCCCAGTACTGGGTTGCAGCTGGAGAGCATCTGCTGAGTAAATCATATGCTGGAATAGTTGGCCTCTGAAATAGAGGCTAAGTCAAAGGAAAATGAATGAATAATAGTATCTTGTAACATGACTGGTAAAATATTATGTATTGTCATTTTGATGAAGACAAAATATATTATTAATTAATTGTTAAAACTATTATGTTTAACTACTTGACAGACTCTGGATGCTCCAACATTACAAAATGTGTGTTTTACTGTGAAGCCGGGTCAGCTGCTGGCTGTAATTGGTCCTGTGGGAGCTGGAAAGGTCAGTCCTAATGCTCATACTCAAATTAAAGAGCACCTATTATGCCCTTTTTTTACAACATGTAAAACAAGTCTCTGATCTCCCTAGTGTGTGTATGTGAAGTTTTAGCTCAAAATAGTACACAAATAATTGTTTATAACACCTTGAAACTGCTTTAATCAACATTGTGCCGTTTTGGTGACTGTCTCTTTAAATTCAAATGAGATTTTGCTCCCAGCCCTCTTTTTACAATAAGGTGGAGCTATAAGTGCATATGTGTCAGCATAGTGGCAGATTGAAAACTCTAATAGCGGATGGCTGCTTCTCGCTCAGGGCTGTTTATGCTAATGAGTGAGATCATCACTAATGGGCGGGGCTTTCACCCTCTAATGAACCAAACAAAGGAAGAATGTCAATCAGAGTGTTTTTGCAGACTGTTTTTGTAAAGCGTGATTAAAAAGAAACAAATTTTACCATTAGCGGCAGGCTATATTCACATACTTTTGCCACACAACTGTGTTTAAAAGCCTTATAAAATAGATTTTTGCATAATGGGTCCCCTTTAAAGCTCTAGTTGTCTTGTTAATAAAAGGCTGATAGTGGTTATTAATCTTCAGCTCTGTCCTGCAGTCGTCTCTCCTCAGCACCGTTCTGGGAGAGCTTCCGGCTGAGAAGGGTGTGATAAAGGTGAAAGGAGAGCTGACCTACGCCTCCCAGCAGCCCTGGGTCTTTCCAGGCACCATTCGCAGCAACATACTGTTTGGAAAAGAGCTGCAGCCACAGCGATATGAGCGAGTCCTCCGAGCCTGTGCGCTTAAGAGGGTAAAATCATCCATCATATTGTACACTCCACACTCTCTATTTGTTGGGTTAACTTCTGTTTGTTGCAACAAGCTCAATAAATTATGCATTGCTGAGCATTAGTAGATTTGGGTCAGTAAAAAATATTTTATTTTGTTTTTTATTTTATTTTATTTTATTTTATTTTATTTGAATCAAATTCAAATTCATCAAGGCTGCATTTCTTTACTTTAAAAGGCCAGAACTTAATAATTTATTAAACAAATCACAGAAAAAAAGAAAAACCAAATTTCCGTCTTGAGCTGAAAGTGACTCTGATGAAGACTTGTAGTTGAAACCTTTGTTTGTTTTTTCTTCAGTGTTTTATTTAATAAATTATTGAGTGCAAACATTCTTTGGTTTTTGTCATTTAAAAACAAAAAAATGGTCACAGCACCAAACTTATCTGAAAGAGTGCTGTAATTTTGCATTTTGATTTACTTAAAAGAACCAAAACAAATATTATTGTGAAATATTATTATACTTTTAAATAACTGTTGTTTTTACATTTATATTATTTTGTCCTTATGTAATTCATTTCTGAGATTTAAAAGCTGAATTGTAGCTTTATTAAAGTCTTCAGTGTTGTACGATCCTTCAGAAATCATTATAATTTATCGATTTGATTGTCGTGTATTTTTGTAAAATATTGTTTTTCTACAATATGTGTTTTACTCTTTTATTCCTTTTTTATTTATTCCCATGTTTTATGGATTAATAGAGAAAAACATTGACTTCATTTTTATTCTTTAGTAACTGTATAACATTGCTATTGTTAAATTGATTAATTAAATGCTTAATTTTATAATTAATGTCATGATTATCAATCATTGTTGAACAAAAGTGTTAGTCCTACTCCAGAAATCTAGAAAGATTATTATTTTGATTATTGTTAAATTGTTGTATCAGATTTCAAATAGGTGTTTGCTTGCTGAGTGACTTCTGTCTTCTGTCTCTGGCAATATATTTTGAGATTTTATTGTATATTTGTAGCATGCAGCATTAAAAAAAACATTTTGTTATAAACCTCAAAACTAATCTCTGGTATAAAATGTTACTTGGTATCTACATACTGAGAGCATGTAAAGATAGTAAGCTGTAGTGTACTGTAGTAATACTGTGGTTCTGTCTGTGGTACAGGACATGGAGCTGCTTCCTGATGGGGATTTGACAGTGATTGGAGACCGGGGAGCAACTCTCAGTGGAGGACAGAAAGCCAGAGTCAACCTGGCCAGGTATTACAACCTCTAAACCCCTCATTTTACTCCATCATATTTTATAGAAGAGATTCACTACTACAATAAAACCTTTTCCCATGTGTCTTATCTTAGGCCCAATCTTAATTCTCTTTTTTTATGTTAAATCTGCTTTTCAAGGGCTATCTAGCCCTTTGGCTTAGCCCTACGCCTTCAGGCTAAAGAGAATTGGGACAGCCCTTCACATAAACGCGCAAAACGAGGGGTTGGGGTAAGGAGAAGGGCTAAGAATTGGGATTGGGCCTTAATACACTGTTCTAAACCAGAAAAGAAGAGGAATTAAGAAATATAAAGACTTAGTTTCACAGACAGAGTTTAGATTAAGCCAGGATTAGCCCATAAATAGGCATATATTTGCTGATGTGAAGTGTATTTTTAAGAGCTGTTTATGTGTGTTTTAGGGCTGTGTATCAGGATGCTGATATTTACCTGCTGGATGATCCATTGAGTGCTGTGGATGCTGAAGTGAGCAGACATCTGTTTGAACAGTAGGTTCATGCTCTTAATGAATGCTGTTGCACGTAACCTTTTTCTCTTTAAAGTGCTCTTTTTCTTACAGTACAGGTTTTTATTGTATAATGATGCTCATCACTTTAGTTCAGGTTTTAAGTTTCCTTTATTTTGTCTTTGTTCAGCCTTGGTTAACACTGGTGAGGTTGGTTAGCATTTTTTCTTGCTTCATTGCAGGTGTGTTTGTGGTATTCTGAAGGACAAGCCCAGGATCTTGGTGACCCATCAACTGCAGTACCTGAAGGCTGCGAATCAGATCCTGGTTTTGAAAGAGGTGAGTTGAAGCACATCAGTTGAAACTGCAGTGCAGGGATGTAATGAAACTTTTGGAAGTGGAGAAAATCTGATTTAAAAAAAAAAAAAAGAAAGAAAGAAGACTAATTATATCAAATCTGGCAACCTTAGATTACAGGAAATAGTTTTTTTAGGATTTTATCAATTTCTATTATTTATTTATTTAATATATTTATTTATTTTTAAAAATAATTTATTTACATTTTTTTATTTATTTAAAATTTATTTATTATTTTATTTTTATTTATTTTTATAGTTACTTTTTGTAAAAAAACATTTATGTCTTTATTTTTTCTTTTTTTCTTTTATATATTTATTTATTTTTTATTAATTTTTATTTGTTTATTTGTATATTTTTATTTTCATTTATTAATTTTTTTTATTTTCTATATTTGTTTTTGTCAATTTATTTTATTAAATATTTAAAATGAATTTACTTTTTATAATTTATTTTTAATTATTTATTTTGTTTTATTAACTTATATATATTTATGATAAATACGTATTTATAAATTATTATTTAACTTAATGTATTTAATTATGTATTTAATTTGTATTGTTTGTATAATGTATGTTTTATTGCTAGTTGTTTAGTAAATGTTTGTTGGACCAAAATTTGTAAGTCAATGGGTTTGAATATTTAAAAAATAATTTAAAAAGTAAAAAATAAAACTGCAGTTCAGCGACCGATAATTAAGTAAAAATGAGCTCCATTTGACCTCTCTCAGGGGCACATGGTGGCTCGAGGCTCGTACTCTGAGCTTCAGCAGTCCGGACTGGATTTCACCTCTCTTCTGAAGAAGGACGAAGAAGAGGAGAGCGGCAGTGAAAAAGGAGAAGCTCCTCGATCTCCACGCAGTCGCACCGTTTCCCAGAACTCCGTCCGTTCACATTCTTCCTCCGTTTTGTCGGTGAAAGACGACTCTGATCAGCTCCCGGTAACTATGATGCTGACTGGATGGATTATAGTGTAAAACATAGTAGAATTAGGGTTGTCAGTTTAAATGGACAGTTCACCCAAAAATTATCTGAGTCTGAGTTAGTTTTTTCTGCAGAATTGATTTTGAATAATGTTGGGAAACTGTAACCATTGCTTTCCATAAAATTAGTTTCATAAGTCAATTGTTACAGGTTTAACATTTTTCGAAATACTTTATTTTGTGTTCAACAGAAAAAGTAAATTCATAAAGGTTTGGAACAACCTTAGGGCTCTATTTTGACGGTCCATGCGCAGGGCGCAAACGCTTTCAGGGCGTGTCAGAACGCGTTTTTGCTCATTTAAGGAAGGGAAAATCCGCTTTGCGCCGTGGCGCATGGTCTAAAAGGGTTGAGTTTATTTTCTTAATGAGTTATAGGTGCGTTTTGAGAATAAACCAATTAGAGCCTCATCTCCCATTCCCGTTAGGAGCCAGCTGGTATGGTCTAAAATTTGACAGGTGGGCAAATCTGAGCTTGTTTTTAATAAAAGAAATATAAATATGGATATGATAAATAATACTGCTAATAATAATATTATACAAAAGCAAATTAAATGAACTGAAAAAGCCTCCCAAGATGAAGAAAGTAAGGCAGTGGTTTTTAAATCTTCATGTAGGCTAGAAATTAATATGTTTTGTAATATTTTAATCATTTATATTTATATCCTGTATATATCCTTATTGTGTATATATATATATATATATATATATATATATATATATATATATATATATATATATATATATATATATATATATATATATATATATATATATATCCTTAAGATATTATATATTTTTCATATGTAAAGATATTTGCATATTGCTCTGCATCTTGTTTGTAATGTGTAAGCCAGGCGCACTTTGCGCCAGACAATAGACCGACTTTGTTCTGGTCTAAAGAACAGACTATTTACAGTTTCTCAACAATAGCAACGCACCAAAACACGCCTGCTTTTTTTAGACCAGAACGCCTATGGGCGCACATATGAGCGCAAATGCATTTGCTATTTAAACAGCGAGGCGCAACACCTCAAAATGACCCTTGCGCCGAGCTAAAAGTAGCAAAAGAGTATTGCGCCGCGCCCTACGCCACATTGCGCCAGGTGTATGATAGGGCCCTTAGAGTTGGTAAACAGTCAATTTTTATTTTTTAGTGAACTATCCCTCAAACATGTTAGGGCAATACACTGCAGATAGAAATTACAAACACAAATAGTAACATTCCTCCACGGCTGATTGATTAGATTAAGAATTAGCAATATTTGATGTATAAAGTATGCAAAAATATTGTTTAAATATGCAAATAAGGGGTGTCACAATATACCGGTATTGATGATAATCATGATATTTAAACCATGGAATACTGATATTGTGTTAATTTGGCATGTCACAATTTACCGGTACTAGCAATAACTGCAATATTCGAAAATAATGATGCATAAATACTCTAGTGTTTCTCCACTGTTTCTATAATATATCGATATTGTGAAATTTTTGTAGCCAGTATAATCATGGTGTGAAATATACAATATCGTGACTGCGCTAATGTAAATGATGCATTATTTTGTTAAATATGCATTCATTTGCATACATTTTGAGCTCAAAAATACTCATTATATCATTATTTTTAGATATTAGAGTCAATGCTGTTTTTATCGCTTTATAATTAATGAAAAACTCCAAACCAACAGGAAAAAAAATAATTTTCTTCAGAATAAAATGATCAGGCAAATTAAATATGAACAAACTCCTCTGTAAAAATTTCAGAATATAGATATGAATAAAATGAGCTGCTGATGTGAAGATTTATGGCTTAAAAACGAGAGAATGACTTTAAAGTATGTGCTATAAATAAACTCTACATTCGTTAAATAGTAAAGTGTTATAAAAGAAGCACAAGTGTATTTTGGATGTTTACGTTGAAAATAAAATGCTCAATCTTTAAATTGACATGTAGATGGAAAGAAAAAACTGATTTTGCCTTAATGAGATGATTTAGTTATGAAATATTAGTGTTAATGTATTTAATTCAACTTTTTTATTGGTTACAAACAAGACCAGCTCTCTGCTTACTGAAGCCATTAGAATGCAGTTATATCTTTGAGTTAAACAATATCATATGACCAATAAGTGTAAAATCATAAAAGGGTTGTCATCCCAAAAAACACAAGTACAAGTTGAACTGTTCAGTAAGTCAAGTGTCTGTTATGTTTAATACACAATATTGTTGTTTTTTTTCTCATTTTAACCAGTTAAAATATTATAAGCTATTGCAAGCTATGTACATATCACATGCTGTAGAAGAAATGAGTCAACCAAATTAATAGGCATTTGGGATTGATTTGATTGATTAATTGCCACATTGTGTAGATTAGATTAGATTAAAATGTCATTTGACTGATGGCCCTAATTAGAATATATACATAACATAATCACTTCTTAGTGAACGTGACACTGAATACAGATTTGTGTTGTTATAACATGTTAACAAAATGCTGTATATTCAAGTGAAAAACTATGGAAAGGTTGATCAATAGCGCCATCTAGTGGTTTGGTGGCATTTACTGGCTGATCATAAAGATTTAAGTAATGAAGTGTAATGAGATTGGTCTTGTGTAGGCTGAACCTGTGCACACTATGGCCGAGGAGTTGCGCTCAGAGGGAAACATCGGCATCCGCATGTATTGGAAGTATTTTCGAGCCGGAGCAAACGTGGTGATGCTGGTTTTACTCTTGCTGCTCAATCTGCTGGCGCAGGTAAAACATGGTAGTTTTACTGAAAGACTTCTTGTTTGAAGATAGAAATTCATTCTCATGCTCCTTTCTGCTCCATAGACTTTTTATATTCTTCAGGACTGGTGGCTTTCGTACTGGTGAGTGAGATTTTTATTTTAATAATAATTTATTTTAATATTAATAATATTAATATCTTGAGCGCAATCTCTTCCAGTTCCATGTTAAGTTCACTATTGCATTACTTTTAATGTATTTTCTCACTAAGCAAATATAGATACAGATATGACTGCTGAGAATGGGCGTTTCTTCACATTTTTTCCTGTACATACGGATACACTTTTATACAGAAAATTTTAGTATATCTACATGTAAATACTACAAGTGGGAGTCTGGGGGATTTTATTTATATATTTAAAATATATTTTATTTTAAAGTGGTCCATCGCTTAGAACAAAATGGACAAAAGCTAAATTAGCAAAATTTTCACAACTATAAATCCCTTTTATAATAGTAATAGTAATAGATGTGAAGTGGAGATAGTTAATCACACACGTTTTGGTCATGTTTTAAACCTACCAAGTTCTGGCAATAATTATTTATTTCTTTTCAAATATTTTGCATGTATCAATTGACCCTTGCCCAGAAATATTTGGTTTAATTAAAGTTTCTAGTTTAGACAATAATACTAAAAGAAGATTCGATACTCCACTAAAGGTTGCAAAAATTTTGTCTTGTATGGCAGCCAAGTATTTGTTTGTGTGTGTGTGTGTGTATATTATGTATGCATGTATATATACACACATACATACATACATGCATGTATATATACATGTATGCATGCGTGCGTGTGTGTGTGTGTGTGTGTGTGTGTGTGTGTGTGTGTGTGTGTGTGTGTGTGTGTGTGTGTGTGTGTGTGTGTGTATATATATATATACATATATACAGTTATAAATCAAATTTATCAAGCAGCACATTCGAATATGTTATTAATAATAGTAATAATAAATGTGTATTGGAATTTTTTCTGAGCATCCTATCACACTCAATATCAGAGTAACAGTGCTGATGATTTAGATTTGCAATCAAACTAGTATATGCAGGTTTTTCTAAAAGGCAATGGTTATATTTTATTTTATTAATAAATTGATAGTCAAACTATTATATATTATGCAACTTTAAAATCTTGTTTGTGTCTCTAAAAAGTCACTCTAAAATTGCAAAAATTATGTATAACAATCATTATTAATATTATATTTAATTATATTTATAATCTTTGATACACAAACATGAACTGAAGCCATGTGTAATTTTCTCTAAGATTGTCTAATGTGATGTCATGATGTCTTGATCCGCAGGGCCACAGAGCAGGAGAAACTGGACCACAATACCAACAATACCAATACCAACAATACCAGTGCTGGAAACACGACTCAGCAACTTGACCTGAACTTCTATTTGGGCATCTATGCAGGTTTGCTCATCTCAAGTCAACAAAATATGGCTACACTTTAGGTCACACTTTATTTTGATGGTCCGTTTGTTGAATTTAAGTTACATTGCATCTACATGCTAACTAATTCTCATTAGATTATAAGTAGACTGTTAGGTTAGGGTTAAGGTAAGCAGACATGTACTTGCAAAATTTCTTATAGGCAGTTAAATTTCTGTTGAAGGAGCAGTATCAGCAGATAATAAGCAGACAGGCTACTAATACTCAAATGGACTATTAAAATAAAGTGTTACCACACTTTAATTTATGGTGTCCTTCTTATAGTTAAACATGAAAGTATTCAGTAATACTTACTCAATAAAACTCAGTAACACCACAAATGAAATTACCGTTTTATTTACTCACCCACAGATCATTCAAGAAATCTTTTTTCCTCAGTAAAACCTTAAATAAGATTTTGAGCAGAATCTGTGGTCTTCGGTGGCTCATATAATGGCAGTGAATGCTTAAAGTTTTTTTTAGATTAAAAATAAACATACAAACAAGTCCAAATCAATAGCCATGGCTCCTGATGACGCACTGTAGTCTTGTAAAGGGAAATGATCAGTCCGCGTAGGAAATTGAACATTTATTTGTACATGATGTTTTCAACTCACTGCGCAGAAAAATGCAAGCGTGTTGTATCGCATACAGCTCACATCCTGTTTGCGCACACAAGCTGTTCAAAAAAACTAACCTGAGCGTGAACTTGACTAACTATATAAAACCTGCAAATTGCACGGCCCCGTTTCCAGTTGAATTAGCTAAATTTTCACAAGGCCTAATCGAAGAAGTCCAGTTGTAAATTGCCCAGGTCTGCTCTAATAACTATAAATTATTAGCCCACCTGTATTTTTGTCCCCCAATTTTTGTTTAACGGAAAGATTTTTTTAAACACATTTCTAAAGCAGGTCACACACCGGATGCAGCGCTCGGCACCGTGACATGGCACACACATGAAAGGTAAAAGTATCGCACACCAGACGCGCATATTCACATTCTAAATTAAACTATTCTGCGGCGCGGCAGAAATAAGAACAGTGTCCTGAGTAGTGGCTGGGTGCCGCAGACAGCCACCGACTTGCGGCACCGGTGTGTGTACCCTGATAGAAACCTATGTTTAGAATTCTGAAATGCATGGTGCTGCGTGGTGCGACACTGTTCGTCGGCGAGCGGCCCTTCTGGTGTGTGACCGACTTAACCATAATACTTTTAATAGCTCATTTCTAATAATAATTTTAATAATTTTACTAGATATTTTTCAACATACTAGTATTCAGCTTAAAGTGACATTTAAAGGCTTAACTAGGCTATGGTAATTAGGCAAGTCATTGTATAACATTTGTTCTGTACACAAATCAAAAAAATATTGCTTAAGGGGCAATAATATTGACCTTAAAACGGTTTAAAAAATTAAAAACTGCTTTATTCTAGCTGTAATAAAACAAATAAGACTTTCTGCAGAAGAAAAAAATACTTGGGGAAATACTGTGAAACCTTTCTTGCTCTGTTAAACATCATTTGGGAAATATTTGAAAAATAAACAATTTCACAGGAGCGCTAATAATTTTGACGTCAGCTGTATTTGGAATGTGTAACAAGGACACTGTAAAAAAAGTTTTACCCAAAAGTCCAAACATAGGCATGCTGCATGGGTCTGTATGTGGTATAAACATTTGTGTATTTTTTTATCTGCCTAATCAGGTTTAACAGGAGCCACGATTGTCTTCGGCTTCATGCGTTGTCTAATTATGTTCAATGCTCTGGTGAGCTCAGCAGAGATGCTTCACAACCGCATGTTCAACAGCATCTTGAGGACACCAGTGCGCTTTTTCGACATCAATCCCATTGGTGAGTGCAAAAACATTGACTTCTTACATTCCTGTGCGTTTTTTTAAGCTGATTGTTGAATGTGGCCAACAGAGGGCAGCAGATCCTAGAATAATTCATCTGTCGTTTACTGTTCAGTGGAGAAGTCTCTCTTTTAAAGGGATAGTTCACCCTAAACTGAAAATGTTTTACTTGTTCACTTCACACAAACCTGTTTGAGTTATAGTCTTCTGTTGAACACAAAAGAAGATATTTTGAAAAATGCTGAAAAACATGCAACCGTTGACTTCCAAACTATTTGTTTTCCTAGTAAGGATGTCAAGGGTTATAGACCTCGTGTGTTTTCAGTGATGTTTACCAAAGATTTCAGTGTTGATTCTGAAGTGTTGAGTAAACTGCAGGCCTTTGGGCTGAGTGTGAAGTGTTTGATGGAAGTGTGTGTGTGTGTGTGTGTGTGTGTGTGTGTGTGTGTGTGTGTGTGTGTGTGTGTGTGTGTGTGTGTGTTTGTGTGTGTGTGTGTGTGTGTTTGTTTTTCTTGTGCTTACCTCTGGAAAATGATGATCTATATTGATAAGCCCTGAAGTATTGTGAGGACATCTGCCTTTTATAATCTTTTTTTTTTTCTACTGCAATGACATTTTACCTACAAGATATGAAGCAGTATTTTGAGATTATTTATTATGAAGATTGTTTTCTTATGTTAATAATAAAAGTGATTGTTCGTTTAGCAATGATTTTTTTATATATAATTTACTCATCTTTACATCATTTTAAACCTGTATTTACCTGTAATTTTCTATCTTTAGGGTGAACATTTTATATTGTGTTTAACCAAACTGTTTTGGAAATGACATAAACAATCTGTAAATATGTCTAAATACCTATTCAGATGCATCTCCTTGAAATAGCATCAAGTTAAAATAAATGAATAATTAAAAAAAAAAATTATTCATTAATAATATGGGGAAAAAATACAATATACAAAGTCTTGTCGTCGATCCCAGTTGTAAGAGCAACAAATAATAACTTGACTTCTAGTTGATCATTTGAAAAAGTTGAGAAGGTAGATTTGAATCATCTGTTGAACTGCATCCCAGTTATCACACATACTGCAGAAGACCTATTGGAACCCACATGGAGCCAATAAATCACTTTTGTCAAGTTTGGAGAAGGAAATCAAGTTTGGTGAAGGAAAAATTATGGTTTGGGGTTACATTCAGTATGGGAGCGTGCGAGAGATCTGCAGAGTTGAATGGCAACATCAACCGCCTGAGGTGTCAAGACATTTGTGCTGCCCATTACTACAGGAGAGGGCAAATTCTTCAGCAGGAAAGTGCTCCTTCTCATACTTCTCAGCCTCCACATCAAAGTTCCAGAAAGCAAAGAAGGTCAAGGTGCTCCAGAATTGGCCAGCCCAGTCCCCAGACATGGACATTGAGTATGTCTGGGGTAAAATGAAGGAGGAGGCATTGAAGATGAATCCAAAGAATCTTGATGAACTCTGGGAGTCCTGCAAAAACGCTTTCTTTGCTGTTACAGATGACTTTATTAATAGGTGATTTGAGTCATTGCAGAGATGTATGGATGCAGTCCTCCAGGCTCATGGGAGTCATTCACAATATTAAATCTTTCTCCACTGCAGCATGACTTTATATTCTATACTGTATGTTATTACTGTTAAGTGACAAGACTTTTGTCTTAGCAGAGTCAGACCTTACTGTCCTAATCAAATAACAAAAAATCAAGCCATGATCATATTTAATTTTGGTAAAATAAGCATAATCTAGAGGCCTTTGCCTTTCATATAAGCCACTTCTGATACCATATTTGTTGTTCATAAAACTTGGATAGGCGACAAGACTTTTGTCAGGTAGTGTCATATATACACATATGGCAGTTATAGCATCAATGTTTGTGTAATAAATTCTGTGTCGAATCAAAAATATCTCCAAACTAAATATCTATATCATTATTATTTACAACACACACTTATATGTGGATAATGGTGCTGTCCTGATATGGGCAGTATCCTCCAGTTTCTACTCACCATATAGAGAACAAACATCAGATCTGGGTTCTGTGCCATCGAGGTCTTCTTATCGGGGTGTTGCTGTTGATAACACCAGCAAAAAACGCATTTACAGGTCTCAAAAGTCTTTTAGAGAGTTTTATAGCGGCTGAAGAGTCAGTTGGGGCTTTTTTCATGATACTGTTATCAGCACTGAACATGTGAGGCTCCATTACAGAGAGATGCTCTCTAGAAATCACTTGTGCAATGTTTATGGTTGGAATAAGCTCATAATGATGGATCTTCTACTACTGTTGTCTGTATTATTTTGTTTTCTTTTTTCCTAATCTGTGGGTGTACAGAATGCTTGACTCTATTGGGCGTTTATATTATAATATCTGTCAGTTCTGTGACTTTGGGACTCGTAATCTCTTCTTGACAAATGAGCAACTGTTATCCAGCAGGAGCTGTTGTTGATTGAGTTCTCCTTTGTTTGCATTATTTGTGTTTAATCTGTCATTTATTATCCCTCAAGTCACTCAAAGCAGAGGTTAAAGGCCTTTATGGTCAATGTTATCCCAACCAATTAGATAAACAGTAAATGGCAATATGGTATTGTTACTGATAACAAACGCAACAAAACATAACACTGTCAGCATTTCAGATTTTATTGTTTAATTAGTGGTGCTTTTGTCAGTTGGCCAGTGACAAATAAGACCTTCCAAGAATATTTTTCCTCCTTGAAATATACTATTAACCCCTTAGTTGTCTCATTGTCCTGCCATCTGTTCACTTCATTGCAATTAAATCATAATCTAATCTAGGGATGCTCATTTCGGTTAATTTTACCAACCGACAATCGCTGCTTGTTTACCGAATATTAATGGTTAACTGGTCAGATTAATATTAAATGATTATTTAATAAAAATAAATAATTTATATGTCTATTTTGTGTCTGACACATTAAATATTGCATTTTAAAATACTGATTTATTTTAACATGTGAACAACAGCATACAGACCATCATAACAACAGCGCATCTTCAAGCACCTGCAGCATTTCCAACAGCATAGAAAAACAGAATAAACTAAATGAAAAGAATAAAATAAATATTTTTGCCCTAGATATTTTTCAACTAAATCACAAGTTTAGACTGAATCCTTTTTAAGAACCAGCATATGCTGCTTATCTAATCATATCTTTTTTTTCTTCCGTCAAATAAAAATAGCAGGCTACCCCAAATCAATCACTCCTCAGAAAATATGTATTTAATCAATGGAAACCCTGCCTCTGCTTTCATTTGATTAAAGAATGAAAAATACACTACTGGCGTACGCTTTTTCCACTCAGAGTTTACTTTATTTCAACTGCGAGCACACAGCATACAACGGCAAAAACGCAAGGCGTGTAGGACGCCGCAAAACACTCACGGTCGTTAGTAAACCATTCAAAAGATGCCCCCTCAACGCAAAAAGCGTGTTTACTGTGATCGGCCCCTGATGCAGCAAAACTTTAAATATATAGTTTTTAATTATTCAACTGATACCATTAATTGGTTAAAAATGCACCCGTTCAGTTAACGGTTAAACAGTGATTATGACCATTCATCATCTAATCGTGACCTACAATATATTGGAAAGGCCAAAGACTTAAATGCGTAATTTACTATTGTTTTTTGGAGTTACTACTGTTTTTTGGAGTTACATGGAGTAATAGATTAAAAGACATTTACTGTCACTATTCAACTTGTGGGAGCTTTTTCACTTGTGTATTTTAAACCGTTATATTGTAGTCCAAATGTAACGGAGTCATGAAAAACCATACATCATTTGAAAGCTTAAAAAAAATTGACTGATCTTACTGAAAAAAGTTATTTGTTAATTTGTGACAAGATTACTCATCAGAGTCTTAAAACATTACTTTGCTACAGCAATCCACAGTTAAAAATCATAAACTTGTCAAACTTGATTTTTATAGTAAAAGTTTAAAAGATAACATCAGTATTCTGTATTTGAAGAGAAAAGATCTGAATGTTTTGAACAACACAATCTCACGGCAATTCATAACTTTTTGGTTTAGTGGCTAATTCATATAAATTAGTAAAATCTCATTTGTACATTTTAGTATGATTGCTCTGTTTCTTTCTAACATTGTTGTTTTATTAAAGTTAGAAACAGACAGCTATGAGCTGAGTATTTCTACCTTTTAATTACCATAGCATTCAAAATGGCTGCATACTTTTTTAGTGTCTGATACTTTTCCCCTGGACTTTAAATAGTTGAAATCTTAATTTATAAAAGTTTATAAAGTTTCTGTTCTCAAAAACATAACTTTTAACTTAATAATAAAACAGCATAATCAGTGCCGTGAAAAACTTTTTATAACAAGTTCGAAAGATAACATCCATAATCTTTATTTTAAGAATAAAGTTCTGACAATATTTTAACACTAGAACTACTGAGGTGGTCATTTTGACCTTTTTTAAAAATAATTTAATAATTTTATTATTATTAGTTATAAATTATAGTTATATGCTATAGTTATAACTATATTTATTAAGTTAGATTGTAGCAATTTAATAACTTTGTTGAAATAAAACACACATATCCATAATACCCTGACTTTTCCTAAATGTGTGTTTATTTCTTTCTAACTTTTAATTAAAATTTCAAAATACAAAAGAGCTTTGAGTATTTTACCTTTTAATTACTATAGCATTCAATTATGCTGTATCGCATACATTTATTTCACTGTGTGATACTTGTCCCTGTGACTTTAAATATGCGTGTCTCTGTTGCCTAGCAACTTCCTTCTAACAAAAAAGCATAAGTTTCTGTTGTCACAAACATAACTTTACTTCAAAAATGTATATCAAAACAAATAAAAGCCTTCTCCCCTGCTTGGAAAAATGAAAATGTTTTGTTGGCTCAATGGCTTTTTCCTTTTTTAATTTCAGGAAGAATCCTCAACCGCTTCTCCAAGGACATCGGCCACCTTGACTCCTTACTTCCGTGGACATTTGTGGATTTCATCCAGGTATGTTTTGTAGCATAGCATCTGCTGAATAAACCATATAATATGCACACAGCTGATGTTTGCTGTATTAGAGCACCCATCACTTGTGGCCATGTGCATTATTCGCTCTGGTAAACCAAGTGTTGTAGACCAACAACATATTGTGGCTTTTTCCCTGGCAAATGACAATGTGGTCAATAAGTGGCTGACAGGCATCACTTTATGTGCTCAGAGCGCCATTGTCTGGAACTTGACAGTCGGAGGGGAAGTACAATAGTCTTTCATTTAAGGAGCTTTTCATTGTGTGGGGCAGCAGATCCTTCTTGTTCTCTTTTAGGATGAGAAAACTCTGTAGTCGCTTTGGCTTTCCCACAGTCCTCTCTCTCTTTAAGCGGCACAGAGCAAAGTCAGCATGTGTTGTTGAACCATACCAGTGTGTGGCTTTTAGCATCGCTCAAGTAAAGTCAAAGAGAACAAAATCGTCACTTCCTGATTAACTGGCGCCAAATATCAAAAGTAAAAATGGAATTTGCTGCGGTAGGAGAAGCTGTGTGAATCTTTTCTTTATTTACTAAATTACTTTAGTAAGGACAAATGCCGACATGCCAAATTGATTTCGCAGATTTTGAATCGGTATCAATGTTTTCTGACCAAACACCATTGTCAATATCGTAGAAATAAAAGATGAAGTTTCAGTATGAAGCGCTAAAGTTATATTAATGCCCCATTCACACGGGGCTTCAGCGTCAATGCTTCCTAGTTACTTTGAATGGGTGACGTCAGGCGTTGCCAAACTGCATTGTGGATCCGTCGGCGCCGCTTCAGAGGCGTTAATCGCTGCAGAAGTTGGGGCTAGTTCAACTTTTCAAGCACAGATGGAAGCGTCAGCCAATCAGATCGCTGTATGCAAATACACCAGCTAGACAGTGGCTTATTGCTGACTGAATTTCATTGGCTGACGCTTCTATGACGATTGCTTCAACCCCAACTTCAGACACGCCTTCAGTCAAGCGTTGACGCTGAAGCCCCATGTGAATGGGACGTAAAAGTGGCTGCTGAGCGCTCGCCTAGGAAGCAGTGCTTTGGAAGCAAGTTTGGTGTGTAAGTTTCCAATGGAGGCATGCGACAGAACAATATGGGAGCGACGTGCACATGTTGTGCAATCGGCAAGCACGTGAACCACGTGCATTTTCCAGCAACACCTAGTTAAAAAAAATCTTAACTTTTCTGAATGCCGCAAGCGCACCATGATTCATGTAAGTAGAACTAACCAATCTGCTTCACACTTTGTATGGAATAGGTACATTTTAGTAATAACAGCAGACTAATTACCTGCACTCAAACACTGCAGCGGTTTTTAATTTTCTCCATAAACTTGTCATCCTCTGAGAAAATAGTTGATGGTCACCTAGTTAAGAGAGATGCCAGGGGAGCGCGGGCACAAAGTCCATTGTAAATGGTCAAGGAATCCATGTGCACGCTTGTCACTTTAGGTCAGAACAACAACATGTGCAAAACTGAGTGGTGTATAGCAGCAGTGAGGAGATTGTAAACTAAAAAGGGTGTAAGGATGTTGCCAGAGTGGCTTTTTGGTTTCTTTTCTTGTGCATCCCAGCTACTAGCTCCCGCCCTGAAAGATTTTTTAGCATAGAGCTGATGTAGTCATTCAACTTCACAATGTGTAATGGTGCAATATGTATTTGAATAATGATGCTCGGTTCCTTTACTGTATCATTATTCACATCTTAAAGATTGCTCAGTATTTAGGCTTTACCATTGCACACACATTGTAATATTGTACTGATCAAGTTTAAGAGTCTCTTTAACATTAATGTTAATTTTATTATATAAAGAGATCAGATATATTGTTTAAATATTTTAGTTTTTGACTTGTAAAACTAATTGCCTTAGTAATGTTGGTAACTTAAAGTAGTTATTAACAAAAAATCCTAATATTCCTAATTGTATTGTGAAAAAAATTCAATAATCATCGTTATTGAATGATATGAAACATATTGCGATAATTTTTTGTTTTTTGCAATAGTGCCCAGCCCTAGCACATTGTTTGTTTTGCCACATAATTAAGAATTTCAAATGAAAACTCGCATTGCGACTGGAAATTAATAATTGTATTCATTTATTTAATTATAATTTGTTAATTTCACGAAACCATACACAGTGCTCAGTATTCTGATATTCGTTACCTGAACATGACCACAATGACAAAGAGACCAGAGTGGTTTCCTAAAAGAAGCTCACACAGGAAGAAAAGCTCGCTCTGACGTTCTTGAGGCTCTTCTACAGAGCAATTCCCAAAATCACCAGCACAGAAATGCTTTTGTCAGGTTGTGTTCCTCTGTAGTCTGTGGTCATTCGCACACTGACCTTAAGTTGTTAACATGGTTTTAGGGATTATGGGTGATTAGAGTGAGATCTGGTTCAGAAAGTGTCGAGTCATGCTGTAATGGCACCCTTCCAGCTTCTTTGTCAAATGTTTGTGGTTAAAAGAAGCAACCAAAGCCACAAAGTGTGTTTAATGAGACAGCAGTAAAACCACTCTGACGCAGGGTTTCTACAGCTCATTTCCCATTTAGAGGACACTTTGTGGCTGTACATAAGATCTAAATAAATCCTGTATTACCATATGGCTTAGTGTGAATATCTGATTGTATACTAAATGCCATTTAATTGTATTGAACATGACCTGCTGGATTGACTGAGATATTTTCATATTGAATATCAGGAACTGTGTGCTTGTAAAAGAATACAGAGTCAAGTGGGAATGTTTACTGTTTGAAAATGAAAGAAAATTCAGATGTAAATATCAGAAAAATTATTTTTTTTTTTTGTTTGTTTCTCAGTTTTTCATTTTGCAGTACAGTTCCAGTTCAGTAGTATGACAATGTTTCTTATGTTTTTTTCTTCTTAATTTTTAAATAAATAATTATAATTTTCATAAGAAATTTTTGAAATTGGCAGCCTGTAAATAACCAATTGGACACATTTTTCAACATGATCAAAAACCTGATTTTAACATTTGTAATTAACTACATTTATAATATTTGTATTATGTGTTTATCTCAGTTATGTCATTATCATAGAATAACTGATATATTTAAATTAATGTTTTGAATTCTATATATTTTTTGCTTTCATTTTTATTTTTTATTTTTTGCCTTTTTCACATTTGTAAATAATGTATAATATTTGTATTATTATATCTTAGTTATGTCATTATAATGCAGTAACTGATATATTTAAATTAATGATTAAAATAGTTTTTTGCTTTTATAGTTTAGTATTTTTGCTAATTTACTAATTATATTTGTATTATATCTCGGTTGTGTCATTTTCACATATTAATTGATATAATTTATTTAATGTTTTGAATTATTTTTTATTTTATTGTAATTTTAAAGTTTTTTTAAGTTTGTCTTTTTTGCCATTTAATATTTGCAATTTTTATTTGTTGTTTGTCTAATTATGGTAATTTGCATTTTTAAATTGTAATACAAGAAAAGCAAAACTAAATTTAAACATTAAATAAATAAAAATTTCCCTGGAAGCTAGCTGAAATAAAGTACTTGAACTTTTTTAACTGATTCTGTTTCAACATTTTTTTTTTCAAATCCAAACTTTTCTTTTTAGTGTTAGTTTTATCCAGCCATAATAACCCTGACATCTCTTCCTCTCTCTTTTTTTTATTATTTATTAATTTTATTTGTGGTTATTTTTTATTTATTTTTGTTTTTACGTGACAGGTGTTTCTGCAAATTGTCGGCGTGATTGCTGTTGCATCTTCTGTCATCCCTTGGATTCTGATCCCTGTTCTTCCCCTGTTGATTTGCTTCCTGTTCCTGCGCCGCTACTTCCTGCGGACATCTCGAGACGTCAAGCGCATCGAATCCACCAGTAAGCATATCCAGTTTTCTCCTTTCATTGCCACCAGTAATGATTCCTCAGAGCATATTTGCTGTACGTCCTGTAAGATTGTGTATTAATGCTTTTATTTCTACAGCTCGAAGTCCTGTTTTCTCCCATCTGTCCTCCTCACTGCAAGGCCTGTGGACCATTCGTGCTTTTAAAGCGGAGGAAAGGTTTCAGCAAACATTTGATGCTCACCAGGATCTGCATTCAGGTCAGTTACTTCCAGGACTAACTCTTAATGTTGTAAATGTGTTGCCTGAAATGTTACGTTTGCTTCTACAGAGGCCTGGTTCCTGTTCTTGACCACTTCACGCTGGTTTGCGGTGCGTTTGGATGGGATGTGCTCTGTGTTTGTGACTATCACAGCATTCGGATGTCTTCTTCTTAAAGACAGTGAGATATCCAACTCGAAACATACACACTATCACCAAAACACACTGCTTATATTAAACACATAATGCTTTGTAAAGTGCTTGGATTTTGGATGAAGTGCTTGAAATGGCTTGAAAATGTAATTGTGTTGCTTTTGTAAAAATTTACATTTACATTTAGTCGTTTAACAAACGACTTTTGTTTAAAGGAGGCATTCAGCGATTCAATGAGAATAGGCAATACACACACACACACACACACACACACACACACACGAAATGCTAATTATACAAAGGAACTGTTAGTGCTCAGAGACTTATGGTCTGTTTCCACTGAGTGGTACGATACGGTCCGGTATGCTTTTTATGTCCGTTTCCACTGTCAAAATGTACCAAAAAGTGAACCGTACCGTACCATTTTTTTGGGTATCAAAGCCAGGAGAATAAAAACAAAGGATGCGCCATTTTTAAATAAACAGCTGAGACATTACACCGTAATGATATATAGCCTACATATAATAGCGACCCATGAGAGAAGACCATATTAAGAAGAGCAGAATCTGCCATGTGTCCTGTTGTTGTTAATGAGGCCGTCTAAAAGCGCGAGCAGTTTCACTTTCTCCATTGAGCTATATTTGTAATACCGAACTTGAGCTGATGATAATAATGTGATTTTTGAAGCACTTCTGACATCCAATCCTTTCAGAAGAAGACAAATGCAAGACGGAAGCACAAAAAACAAAAAAGGGGAAGCCCAAAAAACAGGAGCAAACGTATGCCCTTTCAGCCAGCTGAATCTCTTTTATTTCTGCTTCTCACAGCTATGAATGCAGGAGATGTGGGCCTGGCATTGTCCTATGCTGTCACCCTGATGGGGATGTTCCAGTGGGGTGTAAGACAGAGTGCTGAGGTGGAGAACATGGTGAGAACTTCAACTACATTCAATTTTCCAATTTTTGTTTTTGTTTTGAAAAGCGTACAGTATGGTTTGCTTTTTGGTTCCTTTTGACAGTGGAAACGGCCATAAAAGCGTACCGAACCATACCACTCAGTGGAAACAGGCCGAAAGTACAGCATCCGCTGATTGCATTTTATGAACCAACAAGAGCCACAGTTTCAGCTCATAATCATCTTTGATGTTCTAGTAAAAAAAGAAAAGTCTTTGGCCTGAGGTGGATAAAAATGAACAGTTAATTTTCATTTTTTTAGTGAACTACCCCTTTAATGCTGATCATATGGCAAGGCAGCTTACTAGATTTTAAAACAAAGCTCTCTCAATAGTATAGTTCACCCAAAACTGGAAATTCGGTTTTTCATCATTTTCAATCCTTTACTTGTTTCAAACATGTTTGACTTTTTTTCTGTTTAAAACAAAAGAAGTTATTTTGAAAAATGTTGGAAACCTTTAACCATTGACTGCCATAGTATTTGTTTTTTCGCTACTATTCAAATCAGTGGTGACCAGTTTTTAGCATTCTTCAAAATATCTTCTTTTGATATTTCTCTCTTTTTTTTTTGCCCGATCCCCTTAACGTGTGTGCAAACTGATGTTCTTCTAGATGACGTCAGTGGAGAGAGTAGTAGAGTACACAGAGCTGGAAAGTGAAGCACCTTGGGAAACTCAAAAACGCCCCTCTCCCGACTGGCCAAATCGTGGCCTGATAACCTTCGACAGGGTCAACTTCTCCTACAGTTCTGACGGACCAGTTGTTCTCAAGAACATCTCAGCCATGTTCAGACCCAGAGAGAAGGTGAGTCTAGCAGCTCCAGAGCCTCACTTGAGTCTATCTGCAGACGTGAACTGATTTTTTTTGTGTGTGTGTGTGTGTTCTGCATTGATCAGGTTGGAATAGTTGGACGGACTGGTGCAGGGAAAAGCTCCCTGATTTCAGCTTTGTTTCGTCTGTCAGAGCCAGAAGGAAAAATCCTGGTTGACGGAGTGTTGACCTCAGAGATCGGCCTCCACGACCTCCGTCAGAAGATGTCCATCATCCCGCAGGATCCTGTCCTGTTCACAGGAACCATGAGGAAGAACCTGGACCCCTTCAACCAGCACTCGGACCATGACTTGTGGAAAGCTCTGGAAGAGGTAAACAACATGTGATGTATTTTAAAGGATTTAAACAGTTGAAGTCAGTATTATTAGTTCCCCTTTGATTTTTTTATTTTGTAAAAAAAACACTGTGATCAAAATTAGAGTGCAGCAATGACTGTAGCATGAAGAAGGATTACAACTAAAATGTCTTAAAGGAACACTCCACTTTTTTTGGAAATAGGCTCATTATAACATATTAGACCATTTGCATCTCGCTCAAAATATATATAAAAGAAACTTTAATTTTTCCAATTTAAAGATTGAGTGTTCTGTAGTTCCTAAAAACTACCAAAACCCAGAAACTAATTATAATTTCAGTTTTCCAAATCTAGAACAGATTAACATGTTATAATGTGCAATAAAAACATTGGTTGAGTAAAGCTCTGGTTGAATTTGTTTCTACAAAACACACTCTTCTTGAAAGCTCAGGGTGATTTAATTGGCCATCTCACCCAGTGCATTGTGATTGGCCAGCTGACCCGGTGAATTGTGATTGGCCAAGCACAAAATGTAACATCCCTAAATAATTTGTCATTTTCAGCTTTTAAAGAAATTGTGAACAGTTAAAAATGGCATGGGTTTTCCCAAGTGAACCCAGTCATAAATTTCTTTGTTTGTTTGACATTTCATTCAGTTACATTAAGACTTTTGATTTAAGTTTATGCTAGCTTGTGCGAGCGATGCTATTAGCATTTGTTTCGGTTGCTCTTGATTTGTTTTTGGATCAGTATATTCTGTATTTCAGAAAGATGCGTAATAGCGCCCCCTATCAAACAGAAGTGAAAACAGTTGTGTTTTTATTACGTGGTCCCTTCATACATTTATGTTTATAGAGACCCTGTTTACAACAGTCCAGCTAAAAATTATGGCTTTTAGCTTGCTTTTACTTGTGCTTAAATGCAACCTAGTAGGACTGCTTGTAATCATACTTTTAGGAAATTTCTAATTTCATCAAGCAGATTTCATCGACCAAATATTATTATATCATGTCAAATTAAGATAATCAAAATAAATGTACTTAAACTTAAATATTCATTCATTTTCCTTCGACTTAGTCTTTATTTCAGAGGTTGCCACAGCTAACTGAACCGCCAACTATTTCAGCATATGTTTTACGCAATGGATGCCCTTCCAGCCGCAACCCAGTACTGGGAAACACCCATACACACTCATTTAAACACACACACACACAGACACACACACACTTATATGCTACGGCCAATTTAGTTTACCTAATTCACCTATAGCGCATGGGGGTGGAGCCAAGAGCTCCCTGCTCTGTGTTTGGCAAAAGACAGGCAGACAAAGAGAAGCAACATGAGTGAGAGAACCAGCATTCAGCCGTACATGTACGACTCGGACACAGACTAAGCAGAGACTACAAAATCATTTGTGTCTTTGTAGTTTTACAGCCAACTGCTAGTTTAAAGTTCCGAGCTTGACCACCGAAACTAATAATTACGCACACTGAATTAACTTTGACTGAGGCACCAGATGCGCCGCTCAGAGCCGCGACACAGAACACCAGACACGGACATTCGCATGCTATTTAAAATTAAACTATTATAAACTATTACACCAGGATATGGTGACGTGCGGCTGTCAATCAATATTGGTGGGCAGGGGGACCGTACTCCTACGTCAAGTTGGGGTGGATCTAAAAACAGCTCTGATTGGTCCACTGTTTTTATGTTGTTAAATTGGAAAAAAAAGGACTGTGTGTGTTTATATCACCCCAATATGACGGTCTGTACACTATACCTACACACGTCTGTCCAAAGTAGATTTTTAACCATAGGTGCCCTTTGAATATTTTATTTGATAACCTGCATGTCATATAACCATTAGCTAACATCAGAGAACCACAAACAAAATTAATAAAACGGAGTGTGCTTCAAGTAAACATTTTATGTTAAAATAATTTGTATGACAGAAAATGGCGATCCCTGACATCATTTGCTAAATTAGTCTTAAAAGCGTTAAAATAAAAGCATGAAATGTGTTTACACCCAAATTGGTTCCTCCACATTTAATTGCACCACATCTGTGACCTTGATTTACCACTCTCCACATGGCTGACCCAAGCTCCCTTACAACAAGACAATGATTCGTTTTTGTAATGTGAACGTTTGCCCAGTAGACTTGCATTGCGATTGTAGATGTAATGCAGTTATTAAGTGATGTCAAAGTCCAGCTGATGGAGTGACTCTGTGCTCAAAGGTTCAGCTGAAGGCGGCTGTGGAGGAACTGCCTGGAAAATTGGAGACCGAACTGGCTGAGTCTGGATCAAACTTCAGCGTGGGTCAACGGCAGCTCGTCTGTCTGGCCAGAGCCATCCTGAGGAAGAATCGCGTTCTCATCATCGATGAAGCCACCGCAAATGTGGACCCTCGGTGAGTCCCTCAGGGCCTTTACGAATGATTATAGAATTGCGTGTGTCAGACTTCCAAATTAAAGTCCGCGTTAAATCGAAATGTACAATGTTTATTTTTTTCTAGCACACATTCTTATTCTTTCGGTGAACAATTGATCCTTGCAAGATACTTAATTGGAAATGGAGTAGCCTTTGTTGCTGACATGGCATTAAATAAAGATACATCACATTCACATTTGGAGTGGTGTTTCTTCTATGTTGATGTCAGTTTGTTGGTTTTAAATATAGTAAGAAACTCTAGTTTGGGATATTATCTGCATAACTAGCAGTTAAAGACGGCTAAACACAATGATTAATAGTGATAGAGACCTGAAGTTACTGTACAATGGAAGTGGCCGCTTGTACATGGACAGTAACTTCAGATGTGTGTTATGTGTTTCTACAGGACAGATGAGCTGATCCAGAAAACCATCCGTGATAAGTTTAAGGAATGCACAGTCCTCACCATCGCACACAGACTCAACACCATCATAGACAGCGACCGCATCCTGGTGAGTTCTAGAGAACCCAATGTCAATGTGTGCAGGTCCATTTTGACCTTTTTAGTGTCTGGACCAAAAAAAATAAAATCTAGTAAGGTAAGAGAAATATAATCATTTACATTTTTAACAAATTAGGATGAAAACATTTTAACATTTTATGTATTTTTAATATATATATATCATTTATATTTGTGAGATTCATATATGATACCTCACAGACTTATTGTTTTCAAGAAACAAATACTCTTGCATATTATGAAACTCTTTAAGCTGAATGTGTGTGTGTACAGTACCTGACATAGTCTTGTCATCGATCAGTTGTAAGAGCAACAAATAATAACTTGACTTCTAGTTGATCATTTGGAAAAGTGTCAGAAGGTATTCAGATGAATCATCTGTTGAACTGTATCCCAATCATCACAAATACTGCAGAAGACCTATTGGAGCCCGCATGGACCCAAAATTCTCACAGAAATCAGTCAATTCTGGTGAAGGAAAAGTTATAGTTTACGGTTACATTCAGTATGGGGGCGTGCGAGAGATCTGCAGAGTGGATGGCAACATCAACAGCCTGAGGTGCTGCCCATTACATTACAAACCACAGGAGAGGGCAAATTCTTCAGCAGGATAGCGCTCCGTCTCATACTTCAGCCTCCACATCAAAGTTCCTGAAAGCAAAGAAGGTCAAGGTGCTCCAAAATTGGCCAGCCCAGTTACCAGATATAAATATTATTGAGCATGTCTGGGGTAAGATAAAGGAGGAGGCATTTAAGATGAATCCAAAGAATCATGATGAACTCTGGGAGTCCTGCAGGAACACTTTCTTTGCCGTTACAGATGACTTTATTAATAAGTGATTTGAGTCATGCAGAGATGTATGGATGCAGTCCTCCAAGCTCATGGGAGTCATACACAATATTAACTCTTTTTCCACTGCACCATGACTTTATACTCTATACTGGACATTATTTCTGTTAAGTGACAAGACTTTTGTTTAAGCAAAGTCAGACCCTAGTGTCCTAATTAAATAATAAAAAATCAAGCCATGATCATATTTTATTTTGGTAAAATAAGCGTAATCTAGAGGCCTTTGCCTTTCATACTGACACCAAATAAGCAACTAGAAGTCAAGTTATTATTTGTTGTACCTTAAACTCGGATAGGCGACAAGACTATATATATATATATATATATATATATATATATATATATATATGTATGTGTGTGTGTGTAGTGATATGTAGGTTTCTAAACTGACATATTTTTAAGCATTTTGTGTTTCCTCAGAATTAAATTTTTCCCTCATCAGTGTAGTATCTGTAATTCATGTAAAAAAAGATTTTGAACAAAATTCTAATTGAAAAGGGACAAATGTAACACTATGCAAAAGTAGCAGTACAATAACTTATTAATAAGTTATTAATTATACAAATTATGAATCACTTAAAATATGGTTTTAATCGAAAAATAATATTCAGGAAACAGTTCTGTCATCATTTTGCATCATGTTATCATTCAAAATCTGTATATTCTTCATTCAAATATATGATGTTTTTAAATCATGAAGCTTCTAAAAGTGTAACAGGAGCCCCAAAGCAAAATTGACATAAAAGCAACATTAAAAAGAATCATTAGGTTTTTTTTTTTTTTATGTACATAAGCTGGATGACAGTCAACGGTTGCCAGGTCCAATCAGGAATGAAAGTAGTTGAAGAAAATAATCAGATCCCAACCCTAAAATCTGTTTCGATTTTTCTTGCAGGTTCTAGATGCCGGTCGGATCCACGAATATGACGCTCCACACGTTCTACTACAGAACCAGAGCGGGATATTTTATAAGATGGTGCAGCAGACGGGAAAAGCAGAAGCGACGTCTCTGCTACAGACGGCCAAACAGGTGAGCAGACCACCAGACGTCCACAACAGCGCACACTGACCCATGTGGCAGTTTACTACCTAGGGTATAGGTCAAAGTTATTAGCCCTCCTGTATATTTTTCGTCTCTTTTCAAAATATTTACCAAACGATGTTTAGAAGAGCAAGGAATTTTTCCACAGTATTTCCTATAATATTTTTTTCTTCTGGAGAAAGTCTGATTTGTTTTATTTCGCCTAGAATAAAAGCAGTTTTTAATTTTTTTAAAAGCATTTTAAGGTCAATATTATTAGCCCCTTTAAGCTATATATTTTTTCCCTTGTCTTCAGAACAAACCATCGTTATACAGTGACTTGCCTAATTACTCTAACTTGCCTAACTAACCTAGTTAAGCCTTTAAATGGCACTTTAAGCTGAATACTAGTAACTTAAAAAAAAATAATAGTAAAAAAAATAATAGTAAAATAATATTTACTGTCATTATGGCAAAGATAAAATGAATCAGTTATTAAAACTATTATGTTAAGAATAAAAAAATCTTTCTGTTAACCATAAATTGGGGAAACACATATACAGGGGGTCTAATAATTCAGGAGGGCTAATAATTCTGACTTCTGTATGTGAAGTGTCCCATCCGTGTGGCTGAATATGTGGCACATGTACCTGTGCCAGAAACCCACAATACGCCGCGTTTCAAAGAGCCCAGGCCTTTGTGCTGTCAGTCAGTATTAGTTTCCCCTCCTCAGCGGCATGTTGTTCTCCCTCCGGATCGGGTTCCTCTCCGCCTCCTTCAGCCGGTGAGCTCATACCGCGCACCGGGCCCTCTGGAGCTGACCGCCGGGCCTTTCAAACACACATCTACCTGATATTAGACCACTCCGCCTTTGTGCGCTCTCAATGCCGCCTCAATTGAGAGTATATCTGATAGTGTGGCCAACTGTTTGTCGGCCATGCTTTGTGTTGTTGGGACTTTTTTTCTTCTCTGTGTATCTGCAGGGGTTGTGGGGGGGACCGAACACCAGGTGCTTTTTCTTCTTTTTTGTCTTTACGCTCATTGTTAGCCATGGGTGCTTTTAAATACAATGAGAGGTTTTGATTACTGCATAATAATGATATTAAATGAGGGGGGATTTTTGCTTCCTTTCAGGCTCGCTGTGTTCTGTCCCCTGTGTTTAGAAAAGCTTTGTCCAGATAGGTTTGGGAAAAGAGTGACGCCTTTCATCCTGTTCCAGGTCTAATTAAAGGGTCATATACACAACGCTGGGTTACTTACAATTCTGTCATACGTTACAGATTGGCAAATTAAATAGTGAGAATTTCTGTTAGTAATGTGATTGGAATGTATTTGGATTACTTTTAGATTACTTTTTTGTGAGCATATTGATTTGAAATGGACAGACTAGGCTGATCTCATGAGAAAAAGTTACTATTTTACGTTTTGTCAATGAGGTGGCTAATTCTTATAAATTTGTACAAATTGTACGAAAATGTCTGATTTTAAAAAGGCACCCCCAATCCCAATATTGAAAATGGCACCCAACCCCACCCCTAAACCCAACCATCATCAGGGGGTAAGCAAATCGTCCTAAATCAGACGAATGAGATTGTACGAATTCATGCGACTTAGCCACTAAATCAAAAAGCTACGAATTGTCGTGAGATTGTGTTGGATATATTCGTATTTATTCTATAGGGCTGTTGAGTGCCTGATTCTGATTGGCTGATGAACATTCTAAGGCACAGGTGTCAAACTCAGTTCCAAAAGGGCCGCAGCTCTGCACAGTTTAGTTCCAACCCTAATTAAACACACCTGATCAAACTAATTGAGTCCTTCAGGCTCGTTTGAAACCTACAGGTAAGTGTGTTGGAGCAGGGTTAGAACTAAACTGTGCAGGGCTTCGGCCCTCCAGGAATTGAGTTTGACACCCCTGTTCTAAGGTGTGGATTTACTTGTGGTTTTGTCTGCATTACAGTTTTGTATCACTGTGCTGAATGACTTTAGTTATTTCACGGCCACAGAAATCCAATCAAAACAAAATAAAGTTCCACACCCAGGAGTCATTTAAGGACGAAAACCTGAGAATTTGAGGACGAAAACCTGAGAAAAACCTTGAATTTCAACATCTAAACATTACTCTACATTACTAAACAACTCTACATTTAAGTGGAATAGTTGATGACGGGCCATAAATTATTAGAATTCAATTAGACAGTTGAGTTTTACCATTTTTGAATCTGACCTCCAGGTCTGGCAGGAGCACTTTTAGCTTAGCTTAGCATAAATCATAGAATCTGATTAGACCATTAGCATATTGCTCAAACATTTTTGCTCAACAATGCGTGGATGCTTTCTTGTCTTGTTTTTGTAAATTTAGTTAGGAACAATCCCCTTTGCTTGGAAAAAGTGCTGCTTTACAAGTCACCTAAAGTTAAACAGTTGCATTTTACCATATTTGGATCCGATCTCCAGGGTTGTTGCTAGATAAGATAGGGTCGAGGCCGAAAGTTAACAAGAATTATTTATATTATTTATTAAATTTCCCATTTATTGTATTTTATTAACGTCTACCCTAAACCCAACCGTCACAGTAAGGTAAAAACAGTATTTGTACCAAGTATTATTTATGCTATCTATTCAATTACCTAACAAATTGTATTTTTTTAACATTTACCCCCACCACAACCCTAAATCCAACCGTCACAGTACTGTAAAAATATTAATTATTGTTATACAGCGTCATAAAAAATGCTGCTATATTGATGTGCATATTGCACCTCCAGCCGGCCGCATATCCGATCTAGACTTTACCAATCTCCAGCTCTGGCAGGAGCACTTTTAGCTTAGCTTAGCATAAATCATAGAATCTGATTAGACCATTTGCATCTTAATCAAACAAAGAGTTTTAAGACTTTGACTATTTAAAGCCTGACTCTTCTGTAGTTAAATGGGAAAATTATCTAAACTTTTTTTTTTTTTTTTTTAAGTTTTTGAGTGAGATGCTAATGGTCTAATCCGATTTAGTGATCTATGCTAAGCTAAGCTAAGCTAAATTTGCTCTTGCCAGACCCTGAGATCAGCTGAATGTATTCAAAAATGGTAAATCTCAACTGTTTAACTCTATAAGACTTATAAAATAAGACTATTGAAAAATAAAAAGTGTAGTGTTCATTTAAAGCAGCAAAACAGAATGTCACGTCTAATCCAAAGAATAAACCATACAGTATTTCTTAATTTTACTAGTACATTATATTTATCATTATTCATTTATATTTTCCTTCGGCTTAGTCTCTTAATTATTAGGGGTCGCCACAGTGGAATGAACCGCCAACTATTCTAGCATGGTTTACACTGCGGATGCCCTTCCAGCTGCAATGCATTACTGGGAAACGCCCATACACTGTCACATTCACACACACACACTCATATGTCATGGTGAATTTAGTTTACCTGATTCACCTATAGCGCATGTCTTTGGACTGTGGGGGAAACCGGAGCACCCAGAGGAAAACCTAGTCCAACACGAGGAGAACATGCAAACTCCATACAGAAATCCCAACTGACTCAAACCAGTGACCTTCTTGCTGTGAGGTGACAGTGCTAACCAATGAGCCACCAAAAATCTCTTGTTTTGCTATTGGTTGTAGTATTTGCTGTGTCATTGTGTTGAAATGCAGTTTTGTGCTGCTGCTGTTGTTGTTGTTGTGTTTTGTTCTCATTCACTCTTTTCATTTTCAGGCATACGCAAACCGCAGTCCGGCCCACCAGCTCAATGGTTTTGCCACCACAGGAGATGGCAGTTTGATTATATTCGAGACTGCTTTATAATAGCCTGGAAGTGCCTGATGTAAACGGGGCACAGCTTCCCCAGAATCCTCCTCCTGCGCAGGACAACAGGCACAATTTCTTCACCAAAGAAAACCCGGCTGACAGAGCCAAAGACACGTGCATGAACGATCACGCCAGAGAGGACAGAGCTGCAGGGAGACTTCAACACCAGCATTTCTCCAGTTCAGTGGAGATTGTACACCACTGTATGTTATGATTATTAATACGTGCCTTAATGTGTAAGTGTAGCATCAGGACTGTTTTGGGCCAAAGAGATGCTTGCCTTTGCTCAAATGAAGCTAGACTTGTTTCGTTTTTTGCTGGTGCCTTTATAGTGCATGAACCTAAAACACTGCTGATTCTAACAGCAGCAATTAAGACCGTTATAAATAGTTCACCCCAAAATAAGCACTCCATTGTCATTTGAAACCCGTGTGAGGTTTTTTTTTCTGTGAAAAGATGCTTTGAAAAATGTTGAAAACCAAAAAGTTTAAAGTTTAATTTACAATTTTCAAACTGCTTTGTTTAGAATATTTGCTTTTATCGTCAACAGAAGAAAGAAAATCGAAACATTTAGCAATAATGACTGAATTTTTATTTTGGGGTGAAGTATCGCTGTGCTGAGAGGGCGTCTATTTGTTTATTTATTAATATTATTATTTTTTTGTTTTGACACTCCATCTGCCTTAAAAAAAGTCACTTTTCAATAAGCCAACAGAAAATAATGTATCTGCTGAAAACAATCGTTGTGTAGCTTATGTTGTCGGTCACACTTTATTTTGATGGTCCGTTTGTTGAATTTAGGTTGCATTGCATCTACATGCCAACTAATTCTCATTAGATTATACGTAGACTATTAGGTTAGGGTTAGTGTAAGCAGACATGTACTTGCAAAGTTTCTTATAGTCAGTTATATGTCAGTTGAAGGAGCAGTATCAGCAGATATTAAGCAGACAGGCTACTAATACTCAAATGGACCATCAAAATAAAGTGTTACCAGGTTTTCTATTGACTATAGTGTGTCTTAGTGTTTGACACAAAGTTTGTGTGCGATGCAAACCAAATTAAACCTACATTTGTGTCTTAAATTTTAAAGTTGATTCCCTTTTACTTAAACAAACAGCTTATATTTTTATAGTTTTGTTTAGTGAATTTGGAACTGAGAGAATGAAAGGGATGTTGAGTGAGTTGTTGTTTTGTATTATTTTATTGTTTTATTCATGTTCAATTTATTTCCTTTCATGAAAAGGAGAAAAGAAAGTTGCAGTATCCACCAAAATTGTTATTCATATTATTATTGTTGAGTTTAGTTTAGCCCAAGGGCTATATTTAAGTTTTACCTCTGAATTCAACGTTTTTTTTACCATTAAATGTTTGTTGTCATCTCCTGTCTGTTGTGTTCTGTTTAAAATGGCTGCATGATTTCTGCTGGTTGGAACAATCAGTGTTCAACAGTCCAAAGAACATGTTTGTGTTTTATTTGTTAAACATGTTTGCAATTGTTCAGTCTTATCAAAATGTTATTTTGGGATTAAACCACTTTGAATCACACAAAATATGGTTTGGTCATTTATTTGTTATTATTGCCTACGTTTACATGGACATCAGTAATGGAATTATTTGCCTTAATCTGAATAAGACAATAATATGATGAAGGTTGCATTTTAAATGTTTCTGTCATGATCCCGTTTTACATGTTATAGCACATACAGTAGATCAACTTTGGTCATTGTATCACCACGCTATCCACATTTACTCTGGACTTTCATGTAATTTCGGGTGTTTCATTTCCAATTTATCGACTTTAATTCTTATAATAACTTTTAATTCAATTTGGCACTTTCATTCAGGAACATTTCATGCATGCCCTCCTGGATAATGAGATACTGGATGTGAGCATGAACTGCTGGAAGAGTGGTGTTTTAATGACATTTGATACCGCACAGGGGGGTGGCTAGAGCCACTGCCCCTTTGCCCTTATTTGCTGAGGTGCCCCTGAGCCAACCCAGCCCGCACCCCACGACATGCCATGACCATATTGAGGCTCACACGATGTGCACTACGTCGCCATTCGGTGCATTGCATTGCTTAGCAGCGTATGCAAAACAATGTAAAGATCGCTTGACATGAAGAAACCAGTAACGTTAGAGATGTGCCTTTGTTTATGGCGTCAGCGTGTGTTACCGTCACAATAGATTTCTATCGTAATGCACCATAACTTCATGTGAAGAGCATGTTAAATCTTAAAGAGACTTTGCTAGCAAGCAGTGTTGTGATCATGTGGGCTTTGCACGCTGGCTCTGGATGCTGCTGGATAGAATAGCTGTAACGGAGTTAGAGCGCATCGGACTGCTTATATCGGAGATTTTTAACACAGTCCGATGTAGTTGTTTAGACTGATATCGGACCTATTTTAATATCAATATCAGATCGGGACATCCTTAAACTCAAATAGTTTGTAGCAATCGGTTTCCTGTTGAGTTTGAGTTGCCTCAACTTATTGGGTTTTACAGTACTTAGTTGGTTTGAGTTCTCTTCATTTATTGGGTTTTACTGTGCTCAAAATGCTTCGTTTACTCAAACGGATTAAGTTCACAGTGCTCATCAGTATTAGTTTTTGAACTTAAATGGTTAGTTGTTGTAATCAGTTTCCTTAAATGGTTTGAGTTACCTTAACTTATTGGGTTTTGCAGTGCATTAGTTACATCACTCAGAGTACGTAGTTAACTAGGTCAAACTAACCAGACAAAAAACATGAATCCTGAGTTGCACAGACGGAACAAACAAGACCTTTTGTGGAATTTATGTAGAGCTGAGGTGTATGATTATCTATATTATTATTATTGTTTTTATTATTGCGCTAGATTACCACACTTAAATAATTAGGTATTTACCCTAATACTTACCATGTCACAATGCAGCATGTTCTCCTAGCCTTCATTTCCATATGGCTTGATTACACTGGGAAACCCCCTGTATTCCAATAACCTGCTGAAGAAAAAAAAAAAAGTTGTCACTTTACATCCCACTCCATAATGGCTTTAAAATTTGGTGCCGGAGGTGACAGCCGGTATTTGTTTACAGTCTGTCATCCGTGTCCCATGGTGTTTTGAGACGTTGTTATGTTAGGGCATAAAGGAATTAACCTGAAGGCAAAATTCTGGATTGACCGAGAACAAGAGGCAATGTGTTAGGCAAGCAGGCATCGAATCACAGCCTCTTGTTCTCGACATTTGTGGCTTTGTCTGTAATCGTAACCATCATCTCTGGAGTGTAAGCGATACTGTAGGCCTTTCTCCTCCTGGATGGACAAACAAAAGTGTGAGATCTTTGCAGTAGACGATCCTATTGTGCTCAGTTCAAAGGTGCGCACAAGAAGGAATGCTTGCCTTTACCTCTTCATTGAAAAAGCACTTTCAATACACTCTGGTAATGCGCAAAAAGTTGTGAGAAGATATGAAAGGATAGCCAGATCTATTATTATGAGATGAGATGTGGTATGTTTCCCTCACAGCGATGATCTCATGGCAAAGTTGAACACACACACACACACACATTATAAAGCATGATGATAGGCTAAAGTTACTTTAATTCTGTGCATTAAACGTGTTGTTTACATTCCTGTACTTGTTATTCATCCAAATTTGAGATTGCTATACTTTATGAAAGGGGTTATGTAATTGTTTTAATAGGATTGTTAAAGCGTTCACCCAAAAATGTAATGTCTTTTGTTAATTATTCACCATCATGTCATTTCAATCTCTTGAAATCTTCATTTTCAGAACACAAATGAATATATTTTACAAAAAATCCGAGAGATTTCTGACCTTAAATAAGCATCCAGAGATGCCCAGAATAGGAACCAAATGCATTGTCAAGACTTTCATCTGAATTTAGTAATAGAGGTAAAGTTGGTTTTATATTCGCACATTCGTTCATTTTGCAGTCTCTGTATTGTTTACCATATTACTTTGAATATTCAATTGGAATTAGCATGCAAGTATGACTTTAAACAAGATTAACACTGTTTATTTGACTGTGAACAATGTTGTACTTTATCAGTCATTTGCTGCTAATATGATTTTACTATTTAGAATTTGCAAAGAATATTTTATATGAAATTATATTATTAATGAGAATGTCTGAATATCCAAATATAAAACCAACTTTACCTCTATAATTTAGTAGCTTAACTGTAATCATATGAAGCTCCAAGAACTATTTTGTTCACACTGTAAAACCCAACAGTCAACTTTTATCAAGTGAAATGAGTGGGGTTAACTCGAAATTGACTGAAAGTTAATTCTACTCATTTGAAAAGAGTTTTGAACTCAGTGTTGAAGGAAATTAATTAATTAAATACCTCATTCAACTTAAATGGAGTAAGTTTACAGTATATTAAAGGGCTCCAGTCGAAATTGCGACCATTTTGGTTGCATATGCGCCCGAAATTGCATCATTGCGACCTCAAAATATATTTAGGAGCATTTCTGTGAGTGCATAAAGTTGATGTCGTGCGACCAGTTTTCACAGCAAAATGTTCACCACGTGCGCAGAATTAGGAGGCATTCACGCATTAAGCATCTTTGCACCTAAAAACACCAAACAGCGCTCAGGAATGGTTTAAAACAGTTGACATGTCAACTTCCTGCAGTAAACAAAGCCTGCAATGCTTGCCCCGCCTTCAAGCTCTTCTTATTGGCCCACTTCGCTAGAACAGGACGCCAATGGATTGGTTTATATCAGCTGTCAATCACTCAGTTCTGATAACACGGAGCTACAGCCGCGAAAATGTAAAGGTCTGGATCTGAGAGAATGAAAACAACAACGGCAGATTTAGTTTTAGAAACCAGCTAGAGTTCAAGTTATGACACATCTGATTAGTGATCATGTGCTGAATGTCAATCCAATATTTACACTTTTCAAAGAGTGGACTTCCAGTGTTTAAAGTCTGCTATGAAAATGACTTGAGCATTCACTGTAAAGCCGGTGGAACAGAGTTTGCAGGTAACGTAACAGTGTTTGCCACTGAATCTACACATTTTAAGCACGAGATGTTCTAACGTTCTTTAATCAGTCGTGCGACTGACACCGCGTTCACCATCGCCAAAGAGCTGCATTCACTGACATAAATCTAATATTGCAGCTCATGTATTAAGATGACGTATGCCAATTAATAAGTTATATGTCAATATCATCTGTGTAATATCAGACAGTTTATCTATATAAGATATCATCATCTCATGGTTTGCCAAAATTGATCCCGCCACGGCTACATTACAACTTTTCATTCAAAACATTCAGTCGTGTTTTTTTTTTTCACGTATTAAAAGTGAATAATAACAGCGCAAACTTTTCTGTAACCGTAGTGCTGTGCATGCGGCCAGCACTCCAGGACGCGTTAATACCGTTTTTTTAGTACAACAGTGTACGTGTCTCCAAGATATCCAAATATGCTGATTTAAATAGTAAAAAAATAAAAATAAATCAGGGTTTTTGAAACAAATGAAGACAGCAGAAGTCAATGATCCACTTGAATTACTTAGACTGACATGTTTACTGTTTAAAAATATTTTAATGTTTCCCAAATTAAAATATATTGTGTTCAAAGGGAAAAATGTTTTTTTTTTTTTTTTACCCAGACATTTAACAATAATATATTTTAGAGCAGTAATCTCAATACCTCAATGTTATCAAACCGTCAGAATCGGCCCATGCCTATACTCTTAAGTACTTTTGAAAGGTCTACTACTCTACTCATACTTGAGTAATAATTTACAACAGATAATTTTACTCTTTTTGCACTACATTTTCAGGCAAGCAATGGACCTTTTACTTAAGTATGATTTTTTAGTACTCTTTCTACCACTGTTGGGAAAACATGAAGGAATTGAAGAACCCAGTATTTGTTTAAGTGTGGAGGAAACTAGGAGAGTAAATACCTACATATGTATATAACTCTCTCATGTATAAGCTGACATCTAATTGCAAAGATAAAAACCTTTTGTTTTTGCAGACTTGATGTTGGTGTTTTGTATTTAATGTGATGATATTCAGAGTTGCCCAGAACTTTCAGAGGTAGTTTTTCATGCCGTTGTTGATGATTTTCTATCGAAGCAGAACAAAAGAACTAAAGTTAATTCTTCTGACCAATTCACTTTCTGACAGAAATTGCTTTTCTGGAGCAAATTGCCTAAAGGAACAGGGAGAGAAGCATTTGTCATGCTAACACCCCCATTCTCCGTATTACGGCACGCTCTTAATATCAGTTGCAAAGCTGCTCAGTGTCACGATGAAGGCGACCGTGCCTTTGGAAATCAGTGTGTCATGGAAAGCAGCTGTTTGCTTCTTCTTTAGTTCGCTGCGATCTAAGGCTGCAACGTAGATTGATCACTGATTACACACGGCACACTCAATGGGTTTTTCAAAACAAGTTAAGCTGTGAAATTCACCACTAAAGTTTCTCTTGAATTTGTAGGAATCAAGAGTGTTGTCTATGAGCCACGAGAATGTACAAGCATGCATAAAACACCGA